TATGGCACGTCATTCAACAGCAACCTAGACTTGGATATATCTTTCACCAGCCACCGATTGTAACTTAAAGGAAGGAAAAATTACCCAAGGGTTAGAAGATATTGGTTGTGTCAAAATAAAATTTTTCCGACCCTCCATTAAGGCTTTGTAGTATTCCAAATACCCACCCCTCTCCATTCGCTCAGAAAAATATGCGATCCCACATAAACTCTGCAATCGTTTTCGACAATAAGCTAGACGACCGATTTTCTAGTAAATATACGCATAAGTATTCAAAAAAGAATATCTCAGCCAGTGAAAAAACTGTTTGCAAGTTAAATACAATTTATTGTATTGTAATGTTTTTCTAACCTTAAATTGAATTAAAGGTGATGCTTAAAACCGTCGAAGATGAGTTTTTCAATAAAATTATTACTACGCTGATGGAGAGAATTTACAAATGATTTCATGACTCGGGAAAACCATGAACAATATATTGGTCTACCAGGTGTCGTTGTTTTCCGAGTAGGAAGCTAATGAGGCATACGATTATTATGCCGCAATCAGTGATGGTAATTAGTTTGCGGTTTTGAATTTTTTAAGAATTCTATTGCAGCATTGACCTGTCAGAATCAAATCAAAGTGTTCAAGATTTTCAGAGTCCTACCACTCGACCGTCGACAAAAATATCGATAACTTACAATTTGACGTAACGTGAATCTTTTTAGATACATATCAAACTCACGGGGTACAAATAGTCTTAACATGAATATAGTGACCACGCCCACTTCAACGCCCCACTCAAATCAAGTGTAATTTTCGAACATTTTACCATCGTGCGGATTCTCTACGGAAAAAGCACTCAATGTACCTCTGGAATATTAAACTAAAATATTGTTGCTTTCTATTTCGCTAATTTTCTAACTTGAAGGTAAAGCTTTTCCCTCGTCATTTTAACCTTTTCTCCGAGCGGTTGCGTGAAATTAACAAGGCGTTTTTGTTCAAAACACAACCGAGCGAAGCGTCTCGGGCGATATCCCTTTTACGCAAGCGCAATTTAAAAATGTACCGCCAGAATCGAAAAGAGGAACACATTTCCTTTGTTTTGATATGTAAAATGTCGAACAAAAAGCAGATTAACCCTCGTCAAATGGCGTTTCAAAACAGCTGTATCTTCCTCCTTTTGATTTTTTCCTTTTTTGTGAGCGTGAAAGCAGTGGGGAGGGATCGAGAAATTCAGAAAGCACTTCGGGAATCAATCTGCCATTGTTTACTTACGAGATCAACAAGTAAGATTTGTGAAGTTCATCGCAGTATGAAGTCTAAATTAATGCCTTTTTTAAGCTTGTTCGCTGGATTTTTCGTAAACTTCCCTGATTAATTTTTCGTTTCAGCTTACTAATCTATACTATTTCAAAGCAAAGAAGTTTTCAGAGAAAACCATGAGTCGGTCCTTTCAATAATTTGTAAACAAAGTGTTTGAGCAATCAGGTATACGAGGTATAATAATCAATAGCCATATATCAGAAGTCTTCAGAAAGAAAATATTCTGTTTTCAGAAAGCTGTCAAGAAAGCTAGTAATCGTGGCAATTAAATGCATTTCTTAGCAATTTGGAAACGGGTCCTCGGTATCGATTTAAGGTGTATTACAACGAGGTTGATGTACATCAGCTTAAAGATGAGAACAGCCAGTTGGGGGGAGAAAAAATAAAATTAGAAGAATCGTTGGTACAGGAGAAGGCAAAGCGATTGCGAGTGGATAAAAAATCCTGAGAAGCTCTCGAGAACGCTGAGAAGAAAGGGGCCTTCTACAATAACAAATTTGTTCAGTTGGCCAAAAAGTGATTACAAATGGGAAAAAAGGTAGAGGCCCAGCTGAGAAGAAGTTTAATGACTATTCCAAGCACCATCAAAAGAGTAGTAGTTGCCAAACTACACTCTCCTTTCTTGGGCTGTACAGTTTTGTTGCAACCAAAATTGAAGTCCTGAACACTGAGACTAATCAATATGAAACTTTCAATCTTGTTGGAGAGGGAGAGCTGCCATTTACAGAGTCTGACCCAAAGGCCCTTAATAATGATGACATTGATAACATAAATAGGTGGCTCTACCTCAAAGATAAATTCATTATTTCAAATGAGGCCTAGCATGAAATTGCCATTAAGGCTAATGATCTCCCCAATATATATTCCATCAAGAAGCAAATTAATGAGCTAAACAGTAAATGGAACTTGAAACCAACACCAGGAGATGCTGAAGGTGTTCAGTTAGGATTTGCAGAAAGCTTGCAAGAGCACATTGTTAGGCTTCAGAAGAATGGAGAAATCAATGATGGAGAAACTATTAAGATCAAGCTTAGTGGTGATGCTACAAATATTGGAAAGGGGCTGTCAACTTCACTTTTACTATTCTCCATGAAAAGGATGTGGCAATGGGTGTGAAGGGAAGTTATATACTTGATGTTATAAAAACTACAGAGACATATGATAATCTGAGAGACAGCCTAGCAGACCTTCAAATGGAAATGTCAAACTTAAAGGAGATAAGTGCAAATAATTGCACCTATAAAATTGAATACTTTTTGGATGGAGATTTGAAATTTTTAGCACTGGTATTATGCTTGTGTGTGGTGCAAGTGTCCCAGGGAGCAACGGTGGGACACAAGCAAAACATGGTCAATTAATGACCCCAAATTTGGTGCTAAAACTGTCACCAAAATAGCAAGGTTTTCCACTGGAAAGAAATTAAACTGTAAGGCGCAACCATTATTTGATTTTATATATATGGACCATGTCATCATAGATACAGTACATTTTTTTCTGAGGATTTCAGATGTTTTGATTGACTTGTTCATAAGAGAGCTGAGAAGAAGTGATGCTATTGAGAAAAAAAGACCTCTGATGGATTCCCAAGGGATAAATATAAACACATGGAATGTTATGAAGAATTTATCAAAAGTATGGGAATCACTTTTAATTTTAGAATTAACAAAGAGAGCAAAAAGCTGGAATGTAGAGATCTTACTGAACCAGAAAAGTTAAAACTCTTCCAGAATATAAACATTCCGACCTATGCTTGTCCCTCATTGCAGTCAAAACAAAGACATACAAGTGATCTGGGCTAAATTTATGGACATAATTGGTGATTTGAAGCTAGATTTTACATCTGAAGAGGGTATTCTTGAGCTGCAAAGAAATATCAAATCATGGTTTGAGCACTTTCTCAAAGTTTACCAAGCAAAAGATGTCACTCCCTACATGCATGCACTATGTTATCATGTTCCTGACTTCCTGTAACTTTATCAGAACATAGCATATTACACACAGCAAGGCTTGGAAAAATACAATAGTAGAGCTTCTAAAGATTTCTTCAGATCCACAAATCACAAAGGGGTTGATGCCCTCAAACAACTGTTGAGTTCCTGGAGGCAGCAGGTTATGAAAGGGTTAAGAACACCTACAATGATGAGCTTGTATTCAATGATTGGACTTCTTTGTCCCAGCCAATACTTAATAGTTCCTGGAATTACATAGGCAAAATCTCCAGCTACATTTAAAATTCTTTCATCCCACTTCAGCCCCAGATATGAATCAGGCACCCTATTTGACTCCAACTGGTAAACCATCTTCCCTCTTTGAAGAACGCCGGGCAAAACACTCCCAAGACCTTCCATGAAAATATCTTGGTCAACATTAAGGTCTTTGATTATATCAGGGTCCTCTCGCCGTCCAGACCAAAGCTTTTTTTTTTATTTCACGAACAAGTTGGCCATGGAACGATTCTTTTCTATCCTCTAGAGAGTTTTCCGAGGAAATGAACAGCTTTTTGCTGCGAACAAACGGAAAATATCCAGATCCTCTATCGGCCCTGAAGGGTGTCCATTCATCGAAGCATGTGCTATAGCCAACGTAATGAATTTTCAACCTCTCTTGTTGATTTTGTCAACCTCCCTGATCTCAATATCATACAGTTTTGTATCTTTCTATCGTGGATTCGCCTTTATAACGGGGGCGTATGTTAAGTATTTATTGTAAAATCGCTTTGCTTCTTTATTTCCCTCTTTGACCTGTCCGCCAATTCGCAACGGAGAGCATGCGCATTACTTAAGATTAGTGGTCGCGTACACCTGGAACCGAGAAAAACAAATGTTCGTCGCGCTAGGGAAAGAGTTTGATATGCTCCACCCCATTCGCCGGAATTCGACCAGGGGAGCCCATTTACATTGCACATTAACTGATAGCTCTACCCTGCACCGCTGGTGAAAGATATTATGTTGACTAAGTCGACATCCTTTTAATTGGACAGTGTAATAGAACCGTAAAAAGGACAGTTAACAATCATCCCTGTGTAGGTGGACAGAATGCATCAAGTGCGCGTGCTGTCGTCTCGGATTTCACCGAGTTTTTTTTGTTTTGGTTTTGGTTTTGTCTTTCTTGTGAAAACGTACAATCGATGTCTAGATTATTTCTAAAATTTTGTCCTAGTTTTGATTAATTGTTAACAGGACTTCGTGTCGCCAAAATCTATCTTTAATCATACTCGAGATTGACAAATCGGACTCCCGCTTCGCGGTCTTTTGATTTTGTAAATCACTTTTATAATTACAGACGGAATTGGACTCCACTTAGTCCTATTACCATTATTTATGAGCATTTAGCCTGACGATAACAAGGGAAAACTTTAAATTTCATCTTGTTATTTGTTTTTGCTTTTTTATTTTTGTTATTTTGTTGTTTTGTTTTGTTTTTGTTTGTTTTTTATCTTTTTTACTAAAAGCATAATTTCAAACGCACTTCAGATAAAGCATATGCAAAAAAAATATCATTGGCCGAGTTACTTTCCAAAGTAAATGCGGCATCCAAGCCTTGACACGATTAATAAACAGCTGCGTCATATTCCGGAGGGTCACGAGTAAATGAGAAAGGGACCATGCTAATAACCTCTCACCCTTCCCCACTGCGTCTTGGTTTTAATGCTACTTGTTTTGGCAACCGTCAATCCAGCGGAAACGAACTTTGGACTGAAGAAAAGGCGAGATCGGTCATCTGACAAATACACTTTCTTTTCGCTTCAATTTGTCTTGGAACTTTAGGAACGTCAACAAGTTAGTAAGCGTCAAGGCAAGAAAGGTATTGAAATATTACATTATTAACCCACGTATTCACTATTAATCTTCAGTGCTGACTAAAACCTCTGACAGACGGATTCAATGACGAGTATCACAGACGGCCAGATTGAGGTTCATTGCTTTCCCATCCTCACTGATTTGTGCAAGGGATTTACTAGATGCATCAGATAGGCCAGATAAAGCTTTTAGCCTTCTCCAGTCTTTTCCTGGATTTTCTCATCGCTCGCTATTACGTATTTCAAAGGAAAAAAGGGGTTCAATTTTTTACATAAATGGTGACTTATTTGAGTTGACTGAGGTATTCTACGACTCTTCTTTGACTGAATTGTACCTGTTGGCCTAAATTAGTTTTGGAACGTAACACACACATCGATCGAAAACGAATTTTTAGAAATACTTCATAGTGGATTTGAAATTTTTGTTTCTTCTTCTAAGCTACTAAATGTATCGAATATAGCTGGATCATAAAAGCTCGTAATTTGTTTATCAAGCAGCGGATCTCAAGCGTATAAGATTTGTTTTATTTTTTAAGCATCAGAACGTCGACAATTTGACGCTGTATGTAAATATATTGATTCTTGGTCAACTGTAGCGACATCATCAAGTAAAAGGCTTTCTTCAACATAAAATGACGATAATTTCCAAAACTCACATATGTAATGGAAAATATTTCCTTCTACACAGTAAGTTTCCGGTCTTAGACGAATGCAATACAAGGCCCAATATGCAGTAAATAATTTTCCCCATAAACTAATCGCGTGGTTGAGAATGCATTCAATTATATCTGTTACAAAGCGAGTAACATTTGAAATTTGGTGAATGTGGCAGATAAAAGCCATACAAACTTCTACAAGCCTTAAACGCGATAAGGTTAATGTCTTAAACTAGATTTTTTTTATATCCATTCTGACACTTTCACAGTTTGCAACGTTATTCGAACACGATATCAACCTTGCGTTCAGGTCAATACAACCAAACAAACGACGTGTCCTACAGTGGTTATTCTAAAGATTAATTCAAAAAGTTGAATTCCGTAATTAGCTGAGTTGTAATTAGCGTTTCTTGACTGGTAAGTATGTATGCGTGTTTTTCGTTATCTGAGGCCTATCATTAATCATTAGACCACTTTGCCCAACAAGTGGCACCCATTGTTTTCGCTTAGTGACACTAAACTAACTCAGTGGTCCAATACTGTCCAGTATTGCTCTTAAGGGCAAGAGAAGGGAGAAGGGGGGGAAGGTTGATTCCATATTTTCATTCATTTTCGCGTGTGCCTCCTTCTTCGTTGCGCAAGTAAATAGACCTTTATTTTTAGCAGTTCAAAAATTAACGACCTAAGCGAAGCATTTATTTCACTTCTCCAGCAGTTAAAAGGAAGTTAAGTGAATAATCTAATCATTTCAGAGAGCATTTTATCGGTATTGCCTTTTTGATGTTTGATTTCTAAATTTCGCAATCAATCAAAAATATTAAAATGTAAAATTTGAAGACTCTCATAATACTTTAAGAGACGAAAAGATACGGATCCTTTTAAACGAATGGTATATTTACGGAAACCCTCTCACCTGAACGGCTATGAAATAGTGAAGTCAGTTCCACGAGGTGACGATTTTCGCGAGTTACGTTCTTGTGCATGTACCTTTTCAGTTCCGCCATTGAGGAATTATGGCAGTAGAGGACTCAAACGGATGAAACTGAGTTTCTATTCATCAATCTCTGAGATCTCTTTCAAAATATCGTAAGTTCTGGGCTTTATAAAGTCGTGGCTTTTTGACGTAGTAGTTTCCTGCGAGTTTTTTTTTTCTCTTTTTGTTTTAGCCTTCCTCAATCCTTTAGCAAAACAGCAAGCGTTATCCACAGATCTATCTAATGAAGCTCGAATATTTTAGATCTAGGACACGTTTGATTTACCTGGCTGATACAGTTACACTGACATTTACAGCTCAGTATAGTTCAATACCGCAAGCATGTCTGGATGTTTCTGGGTATCTAAGGCCTGAAGTCAATCATTAAACTGCTTAGCTTTACTTTTCAGAAGGACTCATGAATCTAAGTTGCTATTACCCGTTAAACACGGGAAAAGAAATATGAAGGGGTGAGATGTCGACGCTTCCGAACTGAATCGTATTAAACCTTTGGTTAGGCAGGACATGGTTCATTGAGTTCTACTCCCGAAGAGCATGTCCAATGTGCCTTTTCACCATCTAGAGCTAAGCGGAGCCTGCTCGGAACCCATTATATCTAAAAGTATATAACTAGGGACAAAATGTATGATTCGGTGATGGAAATAGGATCAAAAGCGCCAAAAACCCACAGAACGCGTCATTAAGCAAACATGTTGGGGCAGGTTTCGATATCTTTAAGTGTTTATGATACGAAATTCTTTTCTGCATTTTTTGGTTGATAGCTGTTTTTAAAATTAGAAATAATCGACTTCAGCACATAGCGAATTTTCCTTGACCATTTTTTGACCAATGAAAGTACGATTTGGCGGCCAAAAAGTGTCCTTATCAAGCGCGCGGCCAAAACGATCATGTTACATAGCTGTGACGTAGAAGACTGTAGAGACACCTCGGCAACTATGGTGGAGAAAGAAGAAATCTAGAAGAGAGGACGAACGTGTTGCATGGTCGGAGAGCCAAATGATGTTAGCTTCAAGGATGATACACCTATACCGGGTATTTCTATACACTACTTTCCAAAGGATGTAGCTTTATGGCCAAAATAGACGCGTTTCGATCGTTGACATCGAGGAGATTTTACTCTTCGACGTTGTCCGCCTTATGCTCCGTGCCGGCTTCGAAGACGCCTGTTACGAAAGCATGTCACCAGTCAAATCAGGGGAACATGACCAATGACTTCAGCTGAAAAGAATGCTGATTAAGGGGTCTGTTCCCACACTAAACACGATTGTTCAACATTCTTTACGGCTAATATTTCGCCAGTCAAGAGTGGTGAGCTCCTTATTCTTGTTTATTTCACGCGCTTGAGATGTACTCATACTCCTTGTCTTTCCACGTGACTACATCTGCGCTTTTCTCATGGAATGAAAATCCTACCAATTGTAATTTCCATCGTATCTTAATAACAGAAATACATTATTTGTAATGAAGTTGAAGCCCTCGTGAGCTACCGAGGCAAAAAATTTAGACGGTCAGATTGTGAGTAAATGCTGAATTAACACACAATTGTGCCCCGTTTCACCCTCGTATACACATGTTTACCTTCTCCCGAAAAATCCTCGTCTGGTGATAGATATCTCTGTTTCAAACATAGGGTCAACAAGCATCCAGCTTTCGTTGTAGCCGCCAGCCTCACCATAGGCTTATTTCCGCACACAATTTCAATATCATAGTATCATCAAACAGACGGGGTGAGAGGTAAGCCGCCTGCACTGGACAAGCAGGCATGGCATATGATTTGATATAACCCCACGTTTTTAGCTAACAGAGTCCTTATAAGGAAATGAATGGCAGAAAGTCTGGACAATATTGATTTCTTAGCAGTTAAAGATCTAGAACCCATGTCACGCAACACGTTAACAGTCTAGAATCATTTGGAACCATCTATACTGATGTCGGCAGGGTTTGTTGAGAAAGAGCTAAATGCATTTATCTGAATAATTAATTAAAACTATTCAATAAGATGCGATTGCGGTTTGACTGAAGTGAGAGGTATAGTATTCCCACGAGGTCAGTTTATAATAAAATAGAAGAAAAATTTTAGTTTCTTATCGCCATAAGTAAAGGGTTGGAGGTGAAAGAATTTTTATGGACAAAAATCCAGGTACAGTTAAAAACTCGTACTGGTATCGAAACAGGTTCAATTACTGGACCATTTGCTGAAAGAAAAAAACATCAACAACAACATCACTTGTGACGACCATAGGAACCTTGCAGTTTAACCTGCAAGGTAAAAAAAGTATAAAAGTAAAAGTATAATGTTTGATCTAATACATGACAAATGAAGATATCATGTAACATAATTACCGTCATGATGCACTGATATATCCTTCTCAATTTTCCGAGTTCTAGAGATGGCCGATCAGATTAATATCCATGTGACCTACGAGGTTACGAAGCGAGTCATTCCCTGTCCAAAAGGAGAAGTTGTCCAGGGTTTTGCCATTCTTTTTCTCCAGGCCTTCTCCGACGTGTTACCGCGTGAGGTGGAGCCAAGTGATGTCAAGTTTCAGCTTTACGTCGAAACATTTGATGAATATGTGGATCTCCAGGGCAACGAACCGCTTAAAGATGGTATGAAACTTCGAGCTCTAATTCTAGGACAGGTTAAAAAGGCACTTTCTATTAAGTAACGAGCTTAAAGTGGCTTATTTTTGATTAATGATAAGTCTCGTATGCACGTGTGTTACATAAGTAATAACTCAATACAAGTAATCGGCAACGTTTGAACAAATTTAAATTTTGGCACTCTGCGGATTAGGTCTGTAAACTGCAAAGAAAGTTACAGTGTAACAACGATCTGTGGAAGCAGCGAGTGCTGTGTTTCTTGCGGAACCAACGTTCGATAAAGAATGAACGAAAAATAAAAGCAAACAGAAAAGCAATCCGATTTTTTAACTTTCTGCTCTGTTGCTGCCAAGTAAAACTAAAATCTTCTTCTATCGTTAAGTGCTGGAGAAATAAATCTGTGCACTCGTGTTTTTTTATTTATTCATATACACATTGTCTTAATTTTTCCGCTTCCGATGAGATCGCAGATGAAAGAATGAGAGGTTCAAAATACCAAGAAATAAATGCCACAAACGCCAAACGCTAATTCGACTCAAATAAAACGATCGACGAGTGTTAGTGGTATCTACAAAATTTCACCTATCAATTTTTGTGTGATTTTTTTTTAGTCACCTTTCAAGCCTCATCCAATCCAGCCAGAGACCATTTATCGACTGTGGAGCCCCGTTAGCAAAAAAAATGATGGTGTTATGATGAGGAATCCAAGCACTGACATTGTGACTTGCGATGGAACTTTTACCTCCGGTGGTGACAGTACGCACATCATTCTGTTACGTGGACTGTATGCAATTTCTACCCAAATGTCCCTGAATAACTGAAAGCTTCGCAATTTCAGTGTATATGTTTTTGATAATTCCCGCCCATTCCCCCTCATCTCATCATGACCGTCTTCCCTCTCCGTCTCATTGACACAACTACTGTGCAGCTGATATTAACCCTATGCCTCCCATGAGTGACCGAGACAGAATTTCTCCTTACAATATCAATGCAATATCGTGCGTAGAAGTAATGAGAATAAAGTAAAATATCACATTAGGGATTATTAGCTGATTAAATGCCAAATTCTTCTGGTTTACATCGCAAGAATTGTATGTCAGATAATGAAGAGAATTGCTAATGAGATCTTGGGAGTTAAAGGGTTAACCTTCACACAGTACCAACCCTCATTAACTGACCTTAATGTTCATACCAGATGGAAACAAGAGGCTTTTTTCATAACAAAGCAGCGAGAAGAAATTACCCTAGCGTACTAACAATGGTCAAAATAAGGAGCATATTTCTCGCAAATGCTACATGACGCCTCCCATCTAACAGCCCAAAATTTAACGTGGATGAAAAATTCACCAAACTTTGTAACCTAGGTTAACAGTCTACTAATTAAGTGATTAGCAATTTGATTAGAATCTCCTAAACATTAACGATATCGCAGCGCCCTGGGAGCGTTGATAAAAGTACTAAAAATTGCTAAAACGTTTGTGAGTTAAGTAACTGGTGTGACTTCAGCTGGTAGATTGAGGAACTCGTTTAACATGATCGGCCCCCTGAACCGTTATCATAGGAGTTGAAATATTATCTAACACTAAAGCTACTTTATGTCCCTTTTAAGCTCTTATGGAGACCATTGATAAAACAGATGGTCATACGCCAGCATTTTCCCTTGTTTTCAAAGATGGAGCAAGCACATTGCTAGCACTGACTGCCCATGGAAAAGGAAATGCTGTCACAGCCACGGTAACTAATGGCATATTCTGTCTTACTGACCTCTCTCTACTTCATTTGCCAGTTCCTTTATCTTTTTTATCTAGTAATTAATACACATAGAATCGTTCTCATTCAATCGCTTTCAAATTTGTCATAATCAATTTATTCTTTTTATTGTTTCATCCCTATATTTTTCCCAGGGTCCTTTTTAAATAATTGATTTCTCCAACTAAAATGTATTTTCCTCCAACGCCAAAATTAATACGTGCTCTAGAGAAAACGTGTCTTAACTCGAAAGTAACTTTAAGCACTCTTTGATTGAGTGCTGTAGCTAAAACCAAGACTAGCTGAAAGCCGGGAATCGCAACGGAAGGGACCAAATCATGATTGGTTTTAGTTTTGCATCTGTTGGTTGAGAGAGTGGCGCGAGTTTTCTGGACCAATCACAGAGCGAAAGCAAAACTTGAGCTATTCCGGATTAGTTTCGACACTCAATAAAAAATTGTTCAATAGAGGGACTACTATAAATTACCTGAAAAATGTCAATTGTGTCTAAGGTTGTGGCTAGGAAAAGTAGCAAGGGAAAATAGCGTTATTTAGCCATGAGAAAAAAAATACATTATTGTTAATTCAAAGCTATTTTTGATTAAGGTAATAACACCTCCAGTGAAGACCCCAGATGATTCCATCTTTGAGCCTGAATACTTCTGGAGCTACACGATGTTCAAACAACGTAACAGTGACTACTACCTGGGATGTGATGCTTCTGGAACTCTGACTTTGGTTGAAAATTGGAACCTTGAGTATCCGAATCCTCAAGCTCTTTTTATTGCTAACAAACCTAATAAGTCCACCTAAGATGGCCAAAGATTCATTGACTTGCGCTTATTAATACTTTGCTTTTTCAAATTTCTGTATTTGAGTCGATAAAATGTTAACAGGTGTATTAGAGTTGCAATAACCTTTCAGGTCTCTAATAAACCATTAAATATTTTGAGATGTTCAGTTGTGGTCCATTTCTATATCATGGGTTAAAATGACTAACACTACTAAATTCCTATACTACTCAAAGGAGTGAAAGTAAAAACGATAGTTCGACCGATCAAAATCTGAGACAAGGTTATTTTTCTTCCAAGGAACACAGATGCTCTCATATTCAGAAAGGGATGTATGCGCAAATGTTCATTTGTGTGTTTCTCATCAATGTCGGGCTGCTGAGTGGTCACCCTCCTGACTATTCAGAACTGCAATAAGCCGATATTCGCACACACACGTCGACAGACTAAACACAACTAGAATTATGGTGGAAATGAAGCCAAACATTGATCAAGTGAGATGGCAAACTGTAACCTCCGCCATGGAATGAAAAAAAAAACGTTTTTGAATTGAATTATGCGTCGACAGAGCATAAAAGTTAACATTCATTTATACGCAAAACACTACCGGAAGGAGAAGTAATACAACAGACATCCACAGAAGAAAAACTCACTTTTTCCAAAATGTCCTGAGTGAATTTAGGATAAACAACTCCTTAGGATAGCAACTTAAATTAGTATTTTTCACCTTGATATTTACAAGTCATACTGCTCTCATGGGCACCTTCCAAGTACTTTGTCTGTGTTAGGCTTGAACAACCCGCCAGTACGCGTTCCAAACTTTGTGAGGATTTGCTAAACAATCTACTTGTTACATCATTGTGAGCTGATTTTCCATTCTTGAACGCCAGGTAGACTTTAGTAGGGGAAAGCTGTTCACATAACCCCAAAACACCAGCGATGCAGTGGGTTGGAGCACTCATCTACTTACTCAGCCATGTGAACAACTCTTATTATAGAGTTGGGTCACCATCTTGTCAATGATAAGGTTGTCTGAGGTTGCATTAAATCCAGTCTTCACCCCCCTCTGTTCTCCTTCCATCACGCCATTTGCGTTAAGGTGGATGTCAAGTGGAATCTGCGCGCACGATGTGAGCCATTTGTAGATGTTGCTAAGACTAGTGATAGGTCTAGTTTTAACTCGAGAAGTCTCCCGTTTTGGCTATGAGTCGTGTTTCACCCTTTGCAAACCATAGCGGGTAGGCCTCATTGACTTTAGAAGTGGCCTTAAACGCTTCCATAATCCCTTCATGATACCTTGCCCATTTCCACCAAAAGTTGACTAATCTCTCCGGATTAGGTGCACTAAAGTTTCTCTTCTTGAGGACGACCTTTACGCCTACCTCGGTTTCTAGCATCCAGTCCTGATCTCCAGAGGACTGTACCTTTCTGGAAATTGCTGGTTTTATTTCCTGAAGCCATTCAGCATTATTGTTACCAGTCCCGCTTGTTTCCTATAGGCTCTTCCAAAAGATACTCGCATCCTCAATATTCTCGAATACCTTAGTGTTGCTAGTGTTGTATGTCGGTCGATCTTATGTTCCATCACACATGAATGCAAACAAAGAGTAGGACCGCCTTGTATCTTGTTTAAATTGTTGTTAAGTGATCTTTCCTCATCTTGTTTCAGTTTCCTGCTGTCCCTTGTCTCTCCAGCTCTGCCTTCGCAATGGATATTTTCTTGCGGATTTCAGCCGCTTTATCCTCAAAAACGTTCTTCTTCCTGGTACAATTCTAACTTCCACTGTGACTCGTGGCTATCTTCCAGCCTTTCAGCAATAGAAAGGCAACACCGGTTAGGTGGAGAGCGCAGTTATCGAGACACAAATAGCCAAAAGGGTTTTCAGAGGACGATACGCGGTGCCGGTTCATAAATTCCATCATACTCTTATTTATGTGTTATTATTTTTATTATCTCTTCCATCACAGTCTTAACTGGAGATTTTTTCGAGCATCAGCCGGGTGCAAACCATGCACCTAGGGCATCAGTCACGCAAATCAATCATTCTCTTCATGCGCTAAGCACCTTTTTGAGGATTCACGCGGATCCCATGTGCTTCTGATACTTTCTTTATGTCTTCCACCATCCCCTTCTTTACTGTACCAAGCGCACTAACAACCACAGGGATCACCACGGTTTTCATATGCCACATTCTCTGTATTTCTTATTCTAGGTACTTGTACTTGCTTTTCTTCTCCACCTCCTACAGAGCGATGTTTCTTTCTGATGGAACAGTCATATCAATCAGTTTGCGCATGGAATTCACTGGATCTCTAAATACGATATCTGGTATATTTTCTGTTATAGTTCAGTCAGTATTGACCGGCATGTCCCATATGATAGTGATGTTGTTGTCTCTGTGTGCATCACAGTCTCTGGCTCATGTTGGTACCATTTGTCTGTAGTCTCGATATCATGATCTTAACAGATGCTCCACTGGAGTTGGAGTCCTAGACTTGAATATGTGTTTCAGGGCCTTAGCATTTTCCGAGGCCAATTTATCTCCTCTGTTCTCAAGCTCTGGCATTGTTACTTCCCTTTTGAACTTAGTAGCATTCTTGGTTATTGAAATTTTGTCTTTAGATCTTTCATGTTCCAACACCTGCTTTGGATATTGCCCCCTGTGTACCTCAGATAATGATTGAGCGCTATTGTTGCTGTTTTGAATGCCGTTTCTACATCAATCAGGCCTCTTCCTCTATCTTTTCTTGGGATGTACAGCCTTTCCACATCTGCTTTAAGATGTAACATCTTATGCATTTTCAATAGTTTGCGTGTTTTTGTGTCAATCTCCTTCAGTTCGGAGATTTTCCAGTCTATTTGACACAACTAGGACTGCAAGACTATTGATAGCTTCTACTTGGATTCTTCCATTGAGCTCAGTTTTTAGGATCAATTTGACTCTCCTATTGTATTCGTTTCTTATCTTCTCTTTCAATTTGCTTTGCTGGATACCATCACTCTCATCTACACCCAGGCATTTGTATATCCTTTCCTGGTCCAACTCTTGCAATTCTGTGGCTTCATCTATTACTATGTTTCCAGCTGAGGTCAGTTTACCTTTCTTCATACAGGCTTTGGCGCATATACCAAGGAGTTTGCATATAATTTGCTGTTGCATATAGGCCAAATACCATACCGATATCATCACTGAATTGTTTCACTATTTTCAGTTCTCCAACTTGTTCCTGCTCCTTCTTGCTGTATAATTTTAGATCATCAATATAATGCAGATAAACTGATGTTAAAGACACAAGGGCTAGGCAAAGTAGCAGAGGTGAGAATGAATCTCCTTGAAAGATTACCCGTTTGATCTTGATCTGATCCGTTGTGATGCATCCATTATTGTAAAGCAGCTTCATTGTAGTTTTCTAGTTGCTCATTAAGGTTTCCACTAACTTGATTAGTTTTTTATTTCTGCTGAATTCTTCAAGATGGAACGCCAAAATGTTTCTGTTGCTTCTTTCTGGTGGTTTTTCAACTGATGTCTGTTCTTTACCAAGGATTCTAAAGAATTTTTTCTATTGTTTGCAAACATCTGGTTTTGCCTGAATTGTTTTCTTCTTTTTACATATCTCCTGAGTTTTTGGGCTTTTGCTTGAATTTTGATGGATTCTCTTACTGTTTGCAGTTCTTGATTATAATTATCATTATTATTATTATTATTATTATTATGATGATCATTATTATCATTCAGTGAGAATCAAAGTGTGAGAGCCTAAAAGTTATAAACACACTACGATACTCAAATCTATATGAATCCACTTGAGGAGCAAGGGAAGCCCAGAAAAAGACAGAAAAAGGCACAAATACTTGCTTTTACAGGTTAAATTATCTCGCATGTAAACGTGGTATGAAATTAATTTCGTTCCGGAACGATTTGATATGTGTCACGCTTGTCATGCAACTGATATAACAAGATGGAGAAGATATGTAAAACGGAACTCAAATCTGGCTAGAATGTCGTATAGCATAACGTGATCATCGAAACAGCAAATAAAATCATAAATAAACAAGATAAGAGTGTTATGTTAAACGGTGGCGACAAGTAGGCACGCCATGTATATTTCATAGTCGCTAGCAAGTAAATTTGCCAGACTTTGAGTTCGTCTCAAGATAGAACAACACAAATACACAAGGAGATTTTTACAGTAACTTTTTAACCATCCTTTTGTCTTTTAAAAAGCTTCATGCTACTTTTGGAAAAAGTATCTGGGACAAAAATATTCGCCAATAAATAAATATTTCTTTACCAGCTTCAACAATGACAGAGGATTAAGTTTAGTTAATAGAACAAAGGATTGTGAGGACAGAAATACCGGAGGTCAAGTAAATTCGTGACATGAGATCATACAACTCGGGAAATATTCACGGTGAGAAGTTGCATATTTGAGCGGTCGAACGAAAAAATCATTCCTCGAAAGCTGAAATACATTTTCACAAAAAACCTACACCACAACCATTAGGACATATTGGGCTACAAAGTATGAAAGCAGGAGTAAAAGCAAACTTTTGGTGACTTGCCGCTGTTTGTCTCATGCATGTTGACATTAGCTCTTAAAATCTCACTTGGACGATTTTTCACTTCTCATCTCCGATTTTTTTAAGCACTATATTTTCGATCAAATGACGAGAAAAAGTTTAATTTTGGATTGCATTACGAGTGCTATTAGTTTTAGGTAAATGTAAGAGAATAATATTTCAAGACTGAAATGCAACGCCATTTTATTTCCCTCTTTTCCATAGTTGCATACTGGATTTTTCTGATTATTAATCCGATTTAATTCTTATCAAGATATTTACAGGCACAATCATTTCTGTCCATATCTTCTACATTCACATTATCGTGCAAAAATCTGCAGAAGAATCCGCCCGTTGTGACGCATGACTGTGATCCCGTACAAGCAACAAAGGGACAGTTGCAATAGCTTCCATAATCATCTTTGGTATGAAAGTTGTCACAGTCTTTCCAGTCGCCTCTGTACTTGACTCTGGCATATCTCTTTGGTAAAGAATATCTATCTACAATGAAATAATGAATAAAGTTCTTATTAACGATAGTAAGCAAAACATGTCATAGTTTGCACAAGCCTAAATCATTCTCTTCAATCTCCAGACGTCGACAGAAATCGTTACTTAACAAGAAAGATTAAGTGACAAAATAAGTACAAATGTAGGAGCACGGTTGTCCCATTGAGCACACCGTCTGCAAGGCGAGTGTATCTCCTTTCTTTTAACTCATAGTTCACATTACACAAAAGGCTTTTGTAAAACTTCTTCTTGCATGATGCAATTGCAAAAAGTCGAACTTTCACCCATAAAAAGCGTGAAGTTCACGATGAAATCCATACACAAAGATAACCAACGCCACGCAAGAGAATAAGACGAAAGAAAAGAAGCTGTTATATGGTCAAATATCGGAGACAATTGTTTAAGACCATAAAAATTGTAAATTTTACAAGGCGAGGCGAGTGTATCTCCTTTCTTTTAACTCATAGTTCACATTACACAAAAGGCTTTTGTTGAACTTCTTCTTGCATGATGCAATTACAAAAAGTCGAACTTTCACTTATAAAAAAGCGTGAAGTTCACGATAATACATACACAAAAATAACCAACACCACGCAAGAGAATTAAATGCAAGAAAAGAAGCTGTTATACGGTCAAATATCAGAGACAATTGTTAAAGACCATAAAAATTGTAAATTTTACGTGATTTCTCTACTGCTTAAAGGATACCATATAACGACGAGCTTTGATTGAGAAAAAGAAATTGAAGAATGTCCGAAAAAAGGTTTCAAATATGAAGAGACTTTACCTCAAGACTTATTAATCAACAGACCCCTTGGTTGCGTATGGATTGGAGAACTGAAACGTGATTGCCCTGCTCCGTAAATAAAGTTTTTCATGGTGACTGCGTGGGACAAATCTAACAAAGCAACCACACTGCAACCAGACAAAAACAGCCAAAAAATTTCGGTGAGCTTGGTGGAATATTGAAGGTACAGTCTGATAAACTATCAGGTTTATATATATTTATTACCTGAACAAGTGCTGTATTTTGAAAAGGGTGATTGGCATGGTGCTTTGTCTGTTTTTCATTAGCTTCTTTGTCTCATTTTTAACCCATTCTAAATCACCTTTGTTGCTTTTGAGAAAAATAAGAAAATAACAGGAAATTTTTTAAAAATATAACAAACGCGTTTTAAAACTTCCGACTAGCAAACCAAAGAGACAGATGCGTCTGTTTATCATATGTGCGCTTCTCAAAAGGACTAGAAACTGTCCAACTATATTATTGATCTGGTCAATATTTGTACATTTACACCGATATTTTTGGCTTTTTCCCCACCAAGTTACATAGGACAGAAAATAGCCGATCCTTATCCATAAAAGTAAATGGAACAGAAAAAGGGGAAGGCATTGGCAACTTCATATCAAGTTACGAGCAAAGGCAACGTCGAAATTGAAATGTTTTTACAAACGCAAAAATATAAAAGCATTAAATGTAATACTAAGAGCGACTGAAAAGTATGGAAGTAGTTTTGAGAGTCACCAAAAGAATGAGGTTTATTGAAAACATACCTGCCTTTGTGCTGGAGCCCCCTTTGTTTAAGTGTTTTTTCAATTATCATTATTTTTGTCTCCGTTCGTCAACAAGATGGTGCCAAGTACGATCTATGCACAGTTTTTTTAAGCTGCCTGCATGAAAGCCCGAGATTAAGGATGCACTTCCACTACAGCGCAGCAAAATGTATTCAAGTTTTGTCAGAGCGTAAACAGTGACAAACTTGAAGACTGTACATACAACATCAACGTTTTCTGCGGTGATTAGTCTAAGATCGCAATGCTGAACTGACGAGAACTGATCGAGCCACAGACAGGCGTCAAATTCACTGCATTTTCTTTATCGAGCGTGTACTAGAATAACGGCCATTTTTTTTCTTCATTAACCAAATGAGTCAAATGACAGAATCGATGGAAAGGAAGAGTGAGCCATAAAAACTGATAAAATAACTGGCTGGGGAAATTTAGTTGCATGTGGTATGGATCCTAAGGAGAGTCTAAGCCATCGGAGTTACATTGTGTCGTCATCGAGCCAGTCAGAAGATTGTAACATAAAACTATAACTACATTTCGAAACGGTAAGGTACGAAGCTCCAAAAAAAAAAAAAATACCTGGAAACATTCTGCCGGTAAGAAAAAAGTTCGTAATATTGACTGCTTAATGCATTAACTCTGTTATCTTAACTCGTAACTCGTCAGATAAGACATCGTTTGGAGTCCTTACACCATTCAAAATTAATAACAAATGTCAGCAAAGGATCGAAAAAAGTTTATGCAAAATCTGTTTTATGTGTCATACATAAAATGTATCTGCCAGCGCTATCACTGCAGATGAACTTGTTCGCTGCTCTCGTCTTGAACGGCTATTCAACGAAAGTCAGTCATTACGAAAAAGAAAATTTCCCCAATTACAGAGGGTTGTTACATCTTGAAATATGGTTTTATTAGAATTTATTAATTGGTGCGTCGATAAATCCTATACAATCTTTCTAAATAGTCATAATAATTAACAAAATTCCCCCCCTTAGACGAAAAATGGAAAATGTAGTTCAAACGAGACTGGTTTTCAAAAGAGGCACTGTACTGAGAATAGATGTTGAGAAATGAGTGGTTTAATTCTTAAAACTTTCGTTCATACGTTTAACACCTTTGTTAATGGAGCTCTTCTTGAGATGGAGATAAGCTAAATATGTATCCATGAAAAACACAATTTTACAGCAGAATTAATTAGCCAATTTTTCTTATTTACCACCGGTTCGATTATTTTGAGGCTAATGGTAAAAACTTCCGACTTTTAAGTGGATTGGTAGCTCGCGAGTTGATCTGCGTCTAATAAATTTCATAATTTCATCCTCGGAAGAATTCTTTGACTCACTGTTCCTGTTATATTTAGTGTTGTCTTGTGAAGTGATGGGTACCGAGTAAGACTCTTCGAGCTGACGTAGTTTAGATGAAGTTCTTTGGCATGGAATTTCATGATTGTTTTTAAGGATTTGACTGATCACATTGAGCAATTTTGCATCCTGTTGTTCATCTTCCATAGCGAGATCACCGGCCAACACACCAATCCTTTCAACAGCTGTTCTAATGAAGAATCCAAATCAAGCTCACTTGAAGAAATTTTTTCGGGTGTTTCGGGCTTCCTTTTTGAAGATTTTGGACTAATCTGTCTCTCGAACTCTAACTTGGTTGTCAAATGCTGTGATGGGGATTTTTTAATGGCTGTCTACTTAACTTTGGCCTTCAAGTTTTCGTTAGGTTTTGAGCCGCTTTCATCGGACGTTTCTCTTGGAGGAAAATCGAAGTTATCCTGGGAATTGGTAGAAGCTGCGTCATCCTCCCTCACTGAGGCATTCTGACCCGCATCTTTCCCTCGCTTGCTAATTCCTAACATTTCAAACACTCTCTCTCTAGTATAAAATCAGCCATCTCAAATTCTTTGTATTGTTTATCAGTGTTGCTTTTGACGTCTTCAAAAGAATCGTTCAAAATTGCCACGAAAAAGTGTACAAAAATGAAGGACATCATAGAAAGGAAGGAAATACCGTATAAAGGACCCAAAAAGCGATGAACTCCTATTACCTCATGAAATCTCATTTGGCCGCCAAAGCACATGATAACTTCAGAGAACAATGCATTGTAGACTGATGAGTAACCATGAATGTGGTCGCCTAATGCCAGCTTCCCCATCTGAGCGTATGAGACGAAAATAATGACAAAAAATCACAGAATAGGACAACAATAAACTCCTACAAACGCGAAATGAGGACATCATTATGGAAAAGTGCCTATTAAAGCGAATTATGTGTAGAAGTTTCAAGGTTGCGAGGAAAGCTGCAATGATTAAAACAGTGGTTTCTGCATGGCTCTAGGTAACGGCTTCTCCAAAACTAACGGTGGCGAATGGGTTTTCCTTCACAATAGCAGCGAGTTTAAGTATCAGCTTTGACTTAATTATGTAGAATACCACGACCAGCACCGACAATAATATTCGTAGAATTTCCACCCAGTTCCACACATATCTAAAATAGGTCCACTTAGCTCGATACAGCTTATACATCTCGACGATGAAAAAGACGAATGCCATCATGATAAATAACAACTGACAAATCAGATAAAACTCGTAAAAGCCTGTTTCAGTACTTTTCAGCAGAAGAGTGTCTATCTTTGAAAAAGGATAGCCATACCCTGTGGGCAATATTTCAAAATGATACGCTGAAATGATTAGGTAGCCCATGTTAGGGTTATAGATAGTGAACTCAAGTAGGACGGCACGGGTCTGCCGGTCGATCCAACCGTATTCTATCAAGTCGGAGATGACTGCCTGAGCTTTACTGCTATTGTAGCCTAGATCTGCAACATAACCACCTCCGTCATGAACATCGAAGTAACCCCAGCTAGGTGAGAGTTCTTCGTTTGGCACATATTGCCATGGTACCGGGCATAGTTCGGAAAAATTTGCCCATTCTACAGAACCACTGAAGGGTTCCCAGCCTGGAAGGTTTGCAGGAGTTTTATCCTCTTCATCGAAATTATAGAGGTCGTAGCAGCCCCTGTTTATGATGCCTCGTACCATCCTTGTAACAATGCAAAAAAATGTAAATTAATGTCGAATACAGTCCTCACAAGTTTAATTGCCTTGTGTACTTTTCTTTCGTGTTGCCGGAGCGAAGATTTCATTGTTATAATCAGAGGAATCTGCCCTCTCTTTATTCTTTTATTTCTTTTATTATCCAATTTTTCCCTTTATTCCCTCTCTTTCTTTTCTTCTCCATGATTTAGGTTCTAATATTTGCTATATTTGCACTAACTTGAAAAACAGAAAAAAAGTTGTGAACTTTATTTTAAATAATCATCACAATTTTCTGGCTCCTAGGTTCACCGTCGACGATAATTTTTACCAATTCTACGTTTATGAGAATGAAAGTTTTTAAATAATGTCATAATTATCTTTCTTTATCCTTAGTTGTCTCAAGCGAGGCATTCCTAAGAGAATAGACGTCTTATCACCAATGTACTCTTGCTTTTTGATTTTGTGGTTGTTGTACCAGTTACTGCCGTAGACGCCGTCCACAAACTGAAAATCGAGCCGTTTCCAGAAATACGGTGGATCGCAAGCCTAGCCAGGAAAAAATGTTCCAAAACGTGTGGTGACCACAAACCAAAAGACGCACATGCCAGGGAGGTAGAGAAATATTCTGCGTAATTATAACGTGATAAATTAAAAATTGAATGTGTGTGTTTTCAGTTGCTTAAGTGCAACTAAGTAATAGCCATCTCTAAAATAAACTTTGACTTCCGTAGAAGGAATTTTCAGTAGTTAAATCTCGCTTTGACATAGAATATATCAGTATCATATCGCGTTCAGTTAAATTTAAATGCACTTAGTGAAACTTTTACCATTCATTTAATACATAATGCGCTACCTAGAAGACAAATAACACAACAGACATTGACAGAAGAAAAACTCACTTTTTCCACAACTTTTTTGGGTGAAATTAGAATAAACAAATTATTGGGATGGTTACTTAAATTCATGTTTTTCACCTTGATATTTACAAGTCACACTGCTCTCATGGGCTCTCATTGGCACCTTCGTTGCAGCGTTGTCTTTCCATGTACTTTGCTTAACAACAGTCTGCATGTTACATCATTGTCAGTTGATGTTCCATTCTTGAACGCCAAGTAGTCTTCAATAGGGGTAAGCTGTTCACATAACTCCAAAACACCAGCAATGCAGTGGGTTGGAGCATTCATCCACTCACCCAGCCATGTGAAATAACTCTTATTATAGAGTTGGGTCACCATCTTTTCAATGATGAGGATATCTGTGGTTGCATTAGATCCAGTCTTCGCCCTCCTCTGTTCCCCTTCTATCACGTCATTTGCGTTAAGGCGTATGTCGCGTGGGATCTGCGTGCACGATGTGAACCATTTATAGATGTTGTTAAGACTAGTGATAGGTCTTTAGTTCTCACTCCAGAAGTCTTTTGGTTTGGGTATGAGTCGTGTTTTACCCTTTGCAAACCATAACGGGTAGGCCTCGTTGACTTCAGAAATGGCCTTAAATGCTCGCATAATTGCTTCGTGACACCTTGCTCGCTTCCACCAGAAGTTGACTAGTCTCTCCGGACCAGGTGCACTAAAGTTTCTCTCCTTGAGTACGACCTTTACGAGTACCTCGGTTTCTAACATCCAGTCCTGATCTGCAAAAAACTGTACCTTTCTGGAAATTACTTGTTTTATTTCCTGAAGCCATTCAGCATTGTTGTTACCAGTCCCTCTTGTTTCCCATAGGCTCTTCCAAAAGATACTCACATCCTCAATATTCTCGAATACATCAGTGTTGCCATGGGAACCGTTCTTAGCTTTTTTTTTTTCTACGTAGGTCGATCTTATGTTCCATCACACATGAATACAAACAAAGAGTAGAACCGCCTTGTGTCTTGTTTAAATTGTTGTCAAGCGATCTTGCCTTATGTTTTTTTTAAGTTTCCTGCTGTCCCTTGTCTCTTCAGCTCTGCCTTCGCAATGGATATTCTCTTGCCGAGTTCAGCCGCTTCATCTTCAAAAACTTACTTCTTTCTGGTAGAATTCTTAGTTCCACTGTGACTCGAACCTATCTTCTAGCCTTTCAGCAATAGAAAGGCAACAACGGTTAAGTAGAGAGCGCAGTTATCGGGCCACAAATAGCCAAAAGGGTTTTCAGATGACGATACGCGGTGCCGGTTCATAAATTCCATCACACTCTCCTTTATGTGTTATCATTGTTATTATCTCTTCCATCACAGTCTTAACTGGAGTTTTTTTTTTGAGCATCAGCCGGGTGCAAACCATGCACCTAGGGCATCAGTCACTCAAGTCAATCATTCTGTTCATACCCAAAGCACTTTTTGGAAGATTCGCGCAGATCCCATGTGCTTCTGACACTTTCTTTATGTCTTCCACCATCCTCTTCTTTTCTGTAGCAAGCGCACCAACAACCACAGGGATCACCACGGTTTTCATATGCCACATTCTCTGTATTTCCTATTCTAAGTACTTTTACTTGCTTTTCTTCTCCATTTCCTTCAGAGCGATGTTTCTTTCTGATGGAACAGTCATATCAATCAGTTTCCAGATGGAATCCACTGGATCTCTAACTACGATATCTGGTATGTTCGCTGTAAGTTATAGTTCACTCAGTATTGACCGGCATGTCCCATATGATAGTGATGTTGTTGTCTTTATTGTGCATCACAGTCTCTGGCTCGTGTTGGTACCATTTGTCTGTAATCTCGATATCATGATCTTAACAGATGCTCCAATGGAGTTGGAGTCTTGAATAAGTGTTTCAGGACCTTAGCATTTTCCGAGGCCAAATTATCTTCTCTGTTCTCTAGCTCTGGCATTGTTAATTCCCTTTTGAACTTAGTAGCAGTCTTGGTTATTGAATTTTTGGCTTTAGATCTTTCATGTTCCAGCACCTGCTTTGGATATTGCCCTCTTTGTACCTCAGATAATGATTGAGCGCTATTGTTACTGTTTTGAATGCCGTTTCTACATCAATCAGGCCCCTTCCTCCATCTTTTCTTGGGATGTACAGCCTTTCCATATCTGCTTTAGGATGTAACATCTTGTGCATGTTCAATAGTTTCCGTGCTTTTGTGTCAATCTTCTTCAGTTCGGAGATTTTCCAGTCTATTATACACAACTGGGACTGCAAGACTATTGGTAGCTTCTATTTTGATTCTTCCATTGAGCTCAGTTTTTAGGATTAGTTTTACTCTCCTATTGTATTCTTTTCTTATCTTCTCTTTCAATTTCCTTTACTGGATAACATCACTTTCATCGACACCCAGGTATTTGTATATCCTTTCCTGGTTCAACTCTTGTATTTCTGTGTCCTCATCTATTACTATGTTTCGGCTGAGGTCAGTTTACCTCTTCAAACAGGCTTTAGCGCATGTCTGACGGCCAAATTCCATATCGATATCATCACTGAATTGTTTCACTATTTTCAGTTCTCCAACTTGTTCCTACATCACACCAAAGATCATACACAAAGATAACCAACACCATGCAGGAGAATAAAATGCAAGAAAAGAAGCTGTTATACGGTCCAATATCAGAGACAATTGTTAAAGACCATAAAAATTGTACATTTTACGTGATTTCTCTACTGCTAAAAGGATACCATATAATGACGAGCTTTGATTGAGAAAAATAAATTGAAGAATGTCCGAAAAAAGGTTTGAAATATGAAGAGACTTTACCTCAAGACTTACGGATCAACACACCCCTTGGTTGCGTTTGGATTGGAGAACTGAAACGTGATTGCCCTGCTCCTTAGATAAAGTTTTCACGGTGATTGCGTGGGACAAATGTAACAAAGCAACCACACTACAACCAGACAAAAACAGGTAATATATTGAAGGTACAGTCTGATAAACTATCAGGTTTATATATATATTTGTGACCTGAACAAGTGCTGTATTTTGAAAAGGGTGATTGGCATGGTGCTTTGTTTGTTTTTCATTAGCTTCTTTGTTTTATTTTTAGCCCTTTCTAAAGCGCCTTTGTTGCTTTTAAGAAAAATAAGAAGATGACCGGAAATTTTTGAAAAATATAACAAACGTGTTTTAAAACTTCCGACTAGTAAACCAAAGAGACAGATGCGTCTGTTTATTATATGTGCGCTTCTCAAAAGGACTAGAAACTGTCCAATTATATTATTGATCTAGTCAATATTTGTCCATTTACACCGATATTTTTGGCTTTTTCCCCACCAAGTTACAATAGGACAGAAAATGCCCGATCCTTATCCATAATAGTAATTGGAACAGAAAAAGGGAAGGCATTGGCAACTTCAAATCAAGTTACGAGCAAAGGCAACGTCGAAATTGAAATGTTTTTACAAGCGCAAAAATATAAAAACATTAAATGTAATACTAAGGGCGACTGAAAAGCATGGAAGTAGTTTTGAGATTCACTAAAAGAATGAGGTGTATTGAAAACATACCTGCCTTTGTGCTGGAGCCCCCTTTGTTTAAGTGTTTTTCCAATTATCATTATTTCATCTCCGTCCGTTAACAAGATGGTACCAAGTACGAGCTATGCACAGTTTTTTAAGCTGCCTGCATGAAAGCCCGAGATTAGGGATGCACTTCCACTACAACGCAGCAAAATGTCTTCATGTTTTCATAGAGCGTGAACAGTGACAATCTTGAAGACTGTATATACAACATCAACGTCTTCTAAGGTGATTAGTCTAAGATCGCAATGCTGAACTGACGAGAACTGATCAAGCCACAGACAGGCGTAAAATGCACTACATTTTCTTTATCGAGCGTGTACCAGAATAACGGCCATTTTTTTTCTTCATTAACCAAATTTGTCTAAGGCTGGCCTTTCAACAGCTATCTCAGCCCTGTTTCAACTGGAGTCAAATGACAGAATCGATGGAAAGGAAGCGTGAGCCATAAAAACTGAAAAAATAAGTGCCTGGGGAAATTTAGTTGCATATGGTATGGACCCTAGGGAAAGTCCAAGCCATCGGAGTTACATTGGGTCGTCATCAAGTCAGTCAAAAGATTGTAACATAAAGCTATAACTACATTTCGAAACAGTAAGGTACGAAGTTTAAAAAAAGATAATGCCTGGAAACATTGTGCCGGGAAAAAGTTATGTATTTTCTATAGGAGTTTATTACGGAACGTCAGTGTTCACACTTTGTTTTTCTATCTCACCTTCGTGTGCATTACTGTTACGTAATACCTGTCAAGTATGCATGATTTCTGTACCACATGGGAGTAAGGTGTCATAGCATGTACTGCTATATAGTCCAGTAGCCGTATGCTTGTTTCACTTCTCGCGTCACCAATATAGCTTTGCTGTATTCTGCTTTCCCGCCCACCCGCCCCTCCTTTTCTTTTGTGTTAATGACCAAGTTTTGCTCTTTGGTTGTTATTTGTCGTTACTTAACTATTCATATTTTCGTCCCATCTTGACACCTGCAGGCCGTCCAAGCTCTTATGCACATGGGGACTGCTTCAGGTGCGGAAGGCCAGGTCACTAGGCCAAAGATTGCAGGGCCTCCAGCTTCTATCCCCGCCCTTTCGGCCAGTTCAAGCCAACCGCCTTTGCCCCAGCCTCCACCACCACAAACGCTTCAGGAACCGGACTAAAGGGAATCGGACATTCATGAGGAATTCGACAAGTTTACGGATGTACTTCAGGTACTGAATCGTTTCGAAATTGACGAAGATCTAGGACGGAATTACAATGTAAAGGGCAATTTAAAGAAAAATTTAGAATTTTGGGTATTTTTAGGTGCTTCATCCTTCATATTAAACGTAATTAAATTTGGTTATCGTTTGCCTTTCTGGGATGTGCCGCCTGCATATTATTCAAAGAACAACGCTTCTGCCCTGAAAAATATTGATTTCGTAGAGAATTCTATCACTGAGCTACTGGAGTCCGAACGCATAAAGCAATTGTCTTACAAACCCCATGTCGTCAATCCATTGTCGGTTTCCGTTCAGTCTAATGGAAAGAAAAGGTTAATTCTTGATTTAAGATATGTTAATCATTTCATTAAGAAACTGAGGATTAAGTACGATGATTGGAAAATTGCTTCTCTTATGTTTCGCAAGAATGGTTATATGTTTTCTTTTGATCTTAAGATTGGCTATCATCACGTCGAGATCTTCCAACCACATCAAACATTCTTAGGTTTTTCATGGGATTTTCAAGGGGAGACGCGGTTTTACGTTTTCACAGTTCTTCCTTTTGGCCTTTCTGTAGCTCCTTATATCTTTACAAAGATACTCCGCCCTTTGGTTGGATGGTGGAGGGCTAACGGTATTTACATCGCGGTATTTTTAGATGATGGTTGGTCCATAGCTGACGACTATAATTCGGCGACTATTATAGCTAGTAGGGTTCGTTCCGACATACGTTTAGCCGGATTTATAACAAATAGCGAAAAGTCAATTTGGGAACCAACGCAAATTATTACTTGGTTAGGATTGGTCTGGAACTCCACTCTTGGTACTATTAGTATTACACCGAGGAGGGTCCAAGGTATCGTTGATTGTGTGGCTTTTATTGAAGCTCAAAAATGCACAATTGCGGCTAGACAATTGTCATCATTTGTCGGGAAAGTTATGTCTACATGTCCGGTTACTGGAAATTTACCCAGAATTACTACCAGACACTGTCAGATGACAATTGCTATTGCTGAGCATTGGGATACACCTATGATTTTCGACGAGTATTGTAAGGATGAAATCGTTTTCTGGAAGAACAATATCCATCTACGCAATTTTAAAAATTGCTTTGTTTTCCGCAAACCTCAGAAAGTAACTTTTTCAGATGCTAGTAATATTGCCTGCGGAGCTGTTTCTTATATCAATGACGGCGAGCATGTTTGCCACAAAATGTGGACGCAGGACGAAAGGAGTAGAAGTTCTACGTGGCGAGAATTAAGTGCAATTGAATTCTCACTTCTGTCTTGCCTTCCGATTTTAAGTTCATCACATATTAAGTGGTATAACGATAACCAGGCCACTGCCAAAATCGTTGAGGTCGGTAGCATGAAACTCGAGTTACACACGATTGCCTTAAGAATATTCAAGATATGTTACGAACACAGCATTCATTTGGATATTGAATGGGTTCCTAGAGATCGCAATACCAGGGCAGATTTTATTAGCAAACTGGTGGATTTTGACGATTGGCAGGTCACTGAGGACGTCTTCAAAGACTTGGATAGTCTTTGGGGTCCCCACACGGTGGATTGTTTTGCCACGTATTACAACAGAAAAATCACCAGATATTTTTCTAGATTTTGGAACCCGGAAACGTCGGGCATTGACGCATTTATGCAGTCGTGGGAAGTTGAGAACTGCTGGTTAGTTCCGCCAGTTTATCTTATTCCCAGAACGCTTGCCTATATATATAGTCAAGGAGCCAAGGGCACCCTTATTGTTCCACTGTGGAAGTCAGCCGTGTTTTGGCCCCTGTTAACCAATATTTATTGCAGTTTCATCCAGGATTTAAGAGTTTTGTCTATGCCTCAAGCTTTGACGCACGGGCGAAATCACAATTCTATTCTGGGTTCGCCAACTACTCCGGGATATGTAGTGGCTTTAAGATTGAATTTCGTTCCTTCGGGGTAAGAATCTGAAAGGTTGGCCTTTCGGCCACAATCTAGCGAGTGGAATTTGTGCTGACTGCGAATAGCACCTTGGCAGTGTTGCGTTTTTTATTTCACTTTGATCATTTTATATGAGGTAGATGTGCTGACAACGAATAGCACCTTACCAGTGTTGAGGTATTTATTTCTTTTCGGCCAGTGTCAATGTGCAGAAGTTGTGTCGACAACGAATAGCACTCCAATAGTGCTGTGTTATTTATTGCCCTTTTTTGATCTTCATTTAATGAATGTAGTGGTGTTGAGAACTAACAGCACCCGGGTTGTAGTACTTATTCCCTTTTAGCCATGAATCAGTGAGTAAGATTGTTCCACCTCTACACCCCTCTGTTATGTGTTTTTTCCTTTTGTTTTCCTCAACAGGCCATCTCTGCTCAGTCCTGTTGGGCAAGTCTCTATGGATCTTTAGCTCCCTTCAAGCTGCGCCTCATTACTGATCAGTTTAAGGCCAGACAACCTTCGACGATGAATAGATATTTTTCAAAAATTTATGCGTTGGTGCAATGATGTTAAGGCTCAATTCGTTTTGCCACAAGAGCCTGTTGTTGTAGCGGCCTATTTGTCTCAACTTCACAGGAAGACTGGTTCTCCCAGCACTGTTAGTATGGCTTATGCTGCATTAGTTTGGCTACACGATGTAGTAGACGTAACTTGTAGTAATAATCATTTGAAAACCGGAGTGTGTAGAAATGTTGTTGAAGCTGCGAAACGTAATGGCACACAACGGAAGAATAGGAAGCTCCCTCTCTCTATTGATATGGTCAAGAGAATAGTTGCTAAACATGGCAAGGTAGACGCTAATCTAAAAGATCTGCGAATTTCAGTCATAGTCCTCTTAGGTTTCGCAGGTTTCTTCAGATTCAATGAGTTAGCAAATATCAAAGCTTCGCATATAACTTTCGCAGATGACCATATGTCCATTGTTATACCAAGTAGTAAAACAGATGTCTACAGGGAAGGTAATAAAGCTATTATTGCTAGAACGGACAATGCCACTTGTCCAGTTCATATGGTCCTTAGGTATATGTCTGCTGCAAGAATGGACCATAATGCAGACGGTCTCCTAATCAGGCAGTTAGTATTTCAGAAAAATTATAATACTTATGTTTTAGGGAACAAAGGAATTTCGTATTCTAGGTGTCGAGAAATCTTTTTGGAAGCTCTCAAGGCTCTAGGTTACGACTCCAAACTTTTTGGGTTACACAGTCTTAGGTCCGGTGGGGCAACCGCTGCCGAAAATTCACCTAGCGGCCCTGTATCAGACAGGTTATTAAAATTACACGGGCGGTGGAAATCTGATTACGCCAAAGACTTGTATATTCATTGCTATCATTAAGTTTCCACGCGTGATGGGACACGCTAACGTTTTTGCTATCTTTTAGTTACAGCCTAGTTTGTATGATTATAATCAGTGCTTTCACTATAATTTAACCCTATCATATGTATTGTGCAATGTACTAGCTTAATGAGGATATAGCTTCGCGTATCGTATTTCTGTGGGACAAAAAGCAATGTGACCGTTTATACACATAGTGCTCGAATACAGTAATAAAGCTTATATTGGCTCTCCGTGAGTTACCAACCCATTTGACTGTGGTTGTCGTGTTGTGCAAGTTCCTATAACGGTTTAGAAAATAATTTTCATATGTGCGAACGCAGTGAGTTAAAATGAAACGTTATATTCACTGCTTAATACCGGACAACTAAGTTATGTCCAGCATTAACTCTGTTATCTTAACTCGTAACTCGTCGGATAAGAAATCGTTTGGAGTCGTTACACCATTCAAAATTAGAAGTAAATGTCCGCAAAGGATCGAAAAAGGTTTATGCAAAATCTGTTTATGTGTCATACATAAAATGCATCTGCCAGCGCTATCACTGCAGATGAACTTGTTCGCTTCTCTCGTCTTGAACAGCTATTCAACGAAAGTCAGTCATTATTACGAAAAATGTTTGAAATCGTCATAAAGTTTGACAAGCAAGTTTCTTTCAAAACAATGGCAGTTCCTCAATTACGGAGGGTTGTTACATCTTGAAATATGGTTTTATTAGAATTTATTAATTGGTGCGTCGATAAATCCTATACAATCTTTCTATATAGTCATAGTAATTATAAAAATTCCCCCTCTTAGACGAAAAATGGAAAATGTAGTTCAAGCGAGACTGGTTTTCAAAAGAGGCACTGTACTGATCCTTACACTTGTGCACTTAGAGTCGATGTTGAGAAATTAGTAGTTTAATTCTTAAAACTTTCGTTCATATGTTTAACACCTTTGTTAATGGAGCTCTTCTTGAGCTGGAGATTAGCTAAAAATACATCCACGAAAAACACAATTTTACAGCAGAATTGATTAGCCTATTGTTCTTATTTACCACCAGTTCGGTTATTTTGAGGTTAGTGGTAAAAATTTCCGACTTTTAAGTGGATTGGTAGCTCGCGAGTTGATCTGCGTCTAATAAATTTCATAATTTCATCCTCGGAAAAATTCTTTGACTCACTGCTCCTGTTGTACTCAGTGTTATGTCGTCAAGTGGTTGTTACCGAGGAAGACTCTTCGAGCTGATGTAGTTTAGATGAAGTTCTTTGGCATGGAATTTCATGATTGTTTCTAAGGATCTGGCTGATCACATTGAGCAATTTTGCATCCTGTTGTTTACATTCCATAGCGAGATCACCGGCCAACATCGGTCTCTCGAACTCTAACTTGGTTGCCAAATGCTGTGATGGGGATTTTTTAATGGCTGTCTGCTTAACTTTGGCGCTCAGGTTTTCGTTAGGTTTTGAGCCGCTTTCATCGGACGTTTCTCTGGTAGGAAAATCGAAGTTGTATTGGGAATTAGTAGAAGCTGTGTCATCCTCCCTCACTGGGGCATTCTGACCCGCATCTTTCCCTTGCTTGCTAATTCCTAACACACTCTCTCTACTATAAAATCAGCCATCTCAAATTCTTTGGATTGTTTATCAGCGTTGCTTTTGACGTCTTCGAAAGAATCGTTCAAAATTACTACGAAAAAGTTCATAAAAATGAAGGACATCCGAGCAAGAAAGGAAATACCGTATAAAGGACCCAAAAAACGACGAACTCCTATTAACTCATGAAATCTCATTCGGCCGCCAAGGCACATGATAACTTCAGAAAACAATGCATTGTAGACTGATGAGTGACCATGAATGTGGTCGGCTTATGTCAGCTTCCCCAACTGAGCGTATGAGACGAAAATAATGACAAAAATCACAGAATAGGATAACAATAAACTCTTAGAAACGTGACATGAGGACATCATTGTGGAGACGTGCAGATTGAAGCGAGTTATGTGTAAAAGTTTCAAAGTTGTTAGGGAAGCTGCATGGCTAAAACAGTGGTTACTGTATGGCTCCAGGTAACGGCTTCTCCAAAACTTACGGTGGCGAATGGGTTTTCCTTCACAATAGCAACGATTTTAAGTATCAGCTTTGACTTAATTATGTAGAATACCACGACCAGTACCGACAAAAATATTCGTAGAATTTCCACCGGCCCAGTTCCACACATCTCTGAAATAGGTCCACTTGGCTCGATACAGCTTGTACATCTCGACGATGAGAAAGACGAATGCCATCATGATAAATAAGAACTGACAAATCAGATAAAACTCGTAAAAGCCTGTTTCAGCACTTGTCAGTAGAAGAGTGTCTATCTTTGAAAAAGGATAGCCATACTCTGTCGGCAATATTTCCAAATGGTATACGCTGAAATTATCAGGTGGCCCGTGTTAGGGTTATGGATAGTGAACACAAGCAGGACGGCGCGGGTCTGCCGGTCGATCCAACCGTATTCTATCAAGTCGGAGATGACTGCCTGAGCTGTACTGCTATTGTAGCCTAGATCTGCAACATAACCACCTCCGTCATGAACATCGAAGTAATCCCAGCTAGGTGAGAGCTCCTCGTTTGGCACATATTGCCATGGTACCGGGCATGGCTCCAAAAAGTTTGCCCATTCTACAGAATCACTGAAGGGTTCCCAGCCTGGAAGGTTTGCAGGTTTTTCATCGAGATTATAGAGGTCTTAGCAGCCCCTGTTATGATGCCTCGTACTATCCTTGGAACAATGCAAGAATCTGATTTAAAAAAATGTAAATTTATGTCGAATACAGTCCTCAAAACTTTAATTGCCTTGTGTACTTTTCTTTCGTGTTACCGGAGCGAAGATTTCATTGTTATAATCAGAGGAATCTGCCCTCTCTTTATCCTTATATTTCTTTTATTACCCAATTTTTCCCTTTATTCCCTCTCTTTCTTTTCTTCTCCATGATTTAGGTTCTAATATTTGCTATATTTGCACTAACTTGAAAAACAGAAAAAAAGTTGTGAACTTTATTTTAAATAATCATCACAATTTTCTGGCTCCTAGGTTCACCGTCGACGATAATTTTTACCAATTCTACGTTTATAAGAATGAAAGTTTTTAAATAATGTCATAATTACCTATCTTTATCCTTATTTGTCTCAAGCGAGGCATTCCTAAGTGAATAGACATCTTGTTACCAATGTGCTCTTGCTTTTTGATTTTGTGGTTGCTGTACCAGTTGCTGCCGTAGACGCCGTCCACAAACTGAATATCGAGCCGTTTCCAGAAATACGGTGGATCGTAAGCCTTGGCAGGAAAAAACGTTCTTAAATGTGTAGTGACCACGAACCAAAAGACACACATGCCAGGGAGGTAGAGAAATATTCTGCGTAATTATAACGTGATAAATTAAAGGTGAATGTGTGTGGTTTCAGTTGCTTAAGTGCAACTAAGTAATAGTCACCTCTAAAATAAACTTCGACTTCCGTAGAGGAAATTTTCAGTAGTTAAATCTCGCTTTGACATAGAATATAGCAGTATCATATCGCGTTCAGCTAAATTTAAATGCAATTAGTGGAACTTTTATCATTCATTTAATACATAAAGCGCTACCTAAAGGAAAAATAACACAGACATTGACAGAAGGAAAACTCACTTTTTCCACAACTTTTTTGGGTGAAATTAGAATAAACAAATTATTGGGATGGTTACTTAAATTCATGCTTTTCACCTTGATATTTACAAGTCACACTGCTCTTATGAGCTCTCATTGGCACCTTTGTTGCAGCGTTGTCTTTCCAAGTACTTTGTCTGTGTTAGGCGTGAACAACCCGCCAGTACATGTGCCAAGCTTTCTGAGGATTTGCTAAACAGTCTGCATGTTACATCATTGTCAGTTGATGTTCCATTCTTGAACGCCAAGTAGTCTTCAATAGGGGTAAGCTGTTCACATAACTCCAAAACACCAGCAATGCAGTGGGTTGGAGCATTCATCCAATCACCCAGCCATGTGAAATAACTCTTATTGTAGAGCTGGGTCACCATCTTTTCAATGATGAGGATATCTGTGGTTGCATTAAATCCAGTCTTCGCCCTCCTCTGTTCCCCTTCCATCACGTCATTTGCGTTAAGGCGTATGTCGCGTGGGATCTGCGTGCACGATGGGAACCATTTAGAGATGTTGTTAAGACTAGTGATAGGTCTTTAGTTCTCACTCAAGAAGTCTTTTGGTTTGGGTATGAGTCGTGTTTTACTCTTTGCAAACCATAACGGGTAGGCCTCGTTGACTTCAGAAATGGCCTTAAATGCTCGCATAATTGCTTCGTGACACCTTGCTCGCTTCCACCAGAAGTTGACTAATATCTCCGGACCAGGTGCACTAAAGTTTCTCTTCTTGAGTGCGACCTTTACGAGTACCTCGGTTTCTAACATCCAGTCCTGATCTGCAATAAACTGTACCGTTCTGGAAATTGCTTGTTTTATTTCCTGAAGCCATTCAGCATTGTTGTTACCAGTCCCTCTTGTTTCCCATAGGCTTTTCCAAAAGATACTCTCATCCTCAATATTCTCGAGTACACCAGTGTTGCCATGGGAACCGTTCTTAGTTTTTTTTTTTTTCTACGTAGGTCGATCTTATGTTCCATCACACATGAATACAAACAAAGAGTAGAACCGCCTTTTATCTTGTTTAAATTGTTGTTAAGCGATCTTGCCTCATGTTGTTTCAGTTTCCTGCTGTCCCTTGTCTCTCCAGCTCTGCCTTCGCAATGGATATTCTCTTGCCGAGTTCAGCCGCTTCATCTTCAAAAACTTACCTCTTTCTGGCAGAATTCTTAGTTCCACTGTGACTCGTGCCTATCTTCTAGCCTTTCAGCAATAGAAAGGCAACAACGGTTAAGTAGAGAGCGCAGTTATCGGGCCACAAATAGCCAAAAGGGTTTTCAGAGGACGATACGCGATGCCGGTTCATAAATTCCATCACACTCTCTTTTATGTGTTATCATTGTTATTATCTCTTCCATCTCAGTCTTAACTGGAGTTTTTTTTTTTGAGCATCAGCCGGGTGCAAACCATGCACCTAAGGCATCAGTCACTCAAGTCAATCATTCTTTTCATACGCCAAGCATCTTTTTGAGGATTCGCGCAGATCCCATGTGCTTCTGATACTTTCTTTATGTCTTCCACGATCCTCCTATTTTCTGTAGCAAGCGCACCAACAACCACAGGGATCGCCGCGGTATTCATATGCCACATTCTCTGTATTTCTTTTCTAGGTACTTGTAATTGCTTTTCTTCTCCATTTCCTTCAGAGCGATTTTTCTTTCTGATGGAACAGTCATATCAATCAGTTTGCAGGTGGAATTCACTGGATCTGTAAGTACGATATCTGGTATGTTCGCTGTTATGGTTCAGTCAGTATTGACCGGCATGTCCCATATGATAGTGATGTTGTTGTCTTTATTGTGCATCACAGTCTCTGGCTCATGTTGGTACCATTTGTCTGTAGTCTCGATATCATGATCTTAACAGATGCTCCAATGGAGTTGGAGTCCTAGACTTGAATATGTGTTTCAGGACCGTAGCACTTTCCGAGGCCAAATTATCTTCTCTGTTCTCAAGCTCTGGCATTGGTAATTCCCTTTTGAACTTAGTAGCATTCTTGGTTATTGAGTTTTTAGCTTTAGATCTTTCATGTTCCAGCACCTGCTTTGGATATTGCCCTCTTTGTGCCTCAGATAATGATTAAGCGCTATTGTTACTGTTTTGAATGCCGTTTCTACATCAATCAGGCCCCTTCCTCCATCTTTTCTTGGGATGTACAGCCTTTCCATATCTGCTTTAGAATGTAACATCTTGTGCATGTTGAATAGTTTCCGTCGCAGCTTTGTGTCAATCTTCTTCAGTTCGGAGATTTTGTAGCCTATTATGCACAACTGGGACTGCAAGACTGTTGATGGCTTCCTACTTGGATTCTTCCACTGAGCTCAGTTTTTAGGATCAATTTGACTCTCCTATTGTATTCTTTTCTTATCTTCTCTTTCAAATTCCTTTACTGAATACCATCACTTTCATCTACACCCAGGCATTTGTATATCCTTTTCTGGTCCAACTCTTGTAATTCTGCTTCCTCATCTATTACTATGTTTCCAGCTGAGGTCAGTTTACCTTTCTTCAAACAGGCTTTGGCGCATTTCTGACGGCCAAATTCCATATCGATATCATCACTGAATTGTTTCACTATTTTCAGTTCTCCAACTTGTTCCTGCTCCTTCTTGCTGTATAATTTTAGATCATCAATATAAAACAGATAAACTGATGTTAAAGACACAAGGGCTAGGCAAAGTAGCAGAGGTGAGAATGAATCTCCTTGAAAGATTACCCGTTTGATCTTGATCTGATCCGTTGTGAACCATCCATTATTGTAAAGCAGCTTCATTGTAGTTTTCCAGTTGCTCATTAAGGTTTCCACTAACTTGATTAGTTTTTCATTTCTGCCGAATGGTTGTTCTCTCTTTTTTTCTTCAAGATGGAACGCCGAAATGTTTCTGTTGCTTCTCTCTTAGGTGTTTTTCAACTAGTGTCTGTTCTTTATCAAGGTTTCTGAAGAATTTTTTGCTATTGTTTGCAAGCATCTAGTTTTGACTGAATTGTTTTCTTCTTTTTACAAATCTCCTGAGTTTTTGGGCTTTTGCTTGAATTTTCATTTTGATGGATTCTCTTACTGTTTGCAGTTCTTGACTATTATTATTATTATTATTATCATTATTATCATTATTATCATTCAGTGAGAATCAAAGTGTGAGAGCCTAAAAGGTGTAAACGCACTACGATACTCAAATCTATATGAATCCTCTTGAGGAGCGAGGGAAGCCTAGAAAAAGACAGAAAAGGGCACAAATACTTGCTCGTACAGGTTAAATTATCTCGCTTGTAAACGTGGTATGAAATAAATTTCGTTCCGGAACGATTTGATATGTGTCACGCTTGTCATGCAACTGATATAACAAGATGGGGAAGATATATAAAACGGAACTCCAATCTGGCTAGGATGTCGTATAGCATAACGTGTTCATCGAAACAGCAAGGAAAAATCATAAATAAACAAGATAAGAGTGTTATGTTGCATCTTTTGGCAAATTGTAGTGATGTATGCCAGTAAACGGTGGCGACAAGTAGGCACGCCATGAATATTTCATAGTCACTGGCAGGTAAATTTGCCAAACTTTGAGTTCGTCTGAAGATAGAAGAACACAAATACACAAGGAGATTTTTACAGTAACTTTTTAACAATCGTTTAGTCTTTTAAAAAGCTTGATGCTACTTTTCGAAAAAGTATCTGGGACAAAAATATTCGCCAATAAATAAATATTTCTTTACCAGCTTCAACAATAAAAGGGGATTAAGTTTAGGTAATAAAACAAAGGATTGTGAGGACAGAAAAACTGGAGGTCAAGTAAATTCGTTACATGAGGTCACACAACTCGGGTAATATTCACGGTGAAAAGTTGCATATTTGAGCGGTCGAACGAAAAAATTATTCCTCGAAAACTGAAATACATTTCCACAATCATTAGAACATATTGGGCTACAAAATATGAAAGCAGGAGTAAAAGCAAACTTTTGGTGACTTGCCGCTGTTTGTCTCATGCATGTTGACATTAGCTCTTCAAATCTCACTTGGACGATTTTTCACTTCTCACTTCCGATGTTTTTCGCACTATATTTTCGATCAAATGACGAGAAAAAGTTTAATTCTGGATGGCCTTACGAGTGCTAATAGTTTTAGATAAATGTAAAAAAATAATATTTCAGGACTGAAATGCAACGCCATTTTATTTCCTTCTTTTCTATAGTTGCATACTGGATTTTTCTGATTATTAATTTGATTTAATTCTTTTCGTCAAGATATTTACAGGCACAATCACTTCTGTCCATATCTTCTACATTCACATTATCGTGCAAAAATCTGCAGAAGAATCCGCCCATTGTGGTGCATTCCTGTGATCCCGTGCAAGCAACAAAGGGACAGTTGCACCAGCTTCCAAAATCATCTTTGGTATGGAAGTAGTCACAGTTTTTCCACTCGCCTCTGTACTTGACTTTGTCATATCTCTTTGGTAAAGTTTCTGTATCTACAAGAAATGGAAATAATGAATAAAGTTCTTATTAACGATAGTAAACAAAATATGTCATAGTTTGCACAAGCCTAAACTATTCTCTTTAATCTCTAGACGTACTGATGTGCAATGTATGACACGTCACCAACATTAAGGGGAGTACGTTTCTACAGAAACTTTGGAGCTGCGTTGGTAGAGGGTATTGCAAAATAAAATGGTTTTATAATGTGATTTGACAATGTAAATTGGCCACCGTAAAGAGCGTCTAAAGCTGACGTTTCGAGTGTTAGCCCCTCGTCAGAGCAGAGAAAATAGGAGCACAATTGAGATATAGCATCCTTTCCTCCTTCTCGTTTTTTAAAATTCTAATAGTTTAAGGCCAGATTCAAACTGGTTAACAGAATTAAATAAGTCAAATTGAAAGCAGAGGTTTTAGAATACTTTACCTTGCATCTTGGTTTTGTGTTTTTTCAAGTGTTTGGCAGGAGCCAAAAGAAATGCCAAAGACAAAAGCAAAACAACACTTGTGAGTTCGAAACTCATCTTAGAAATAGAACACACTGGAAACTGAAAGAAAAGCAAACAGGAAACCAACAAAATCACCAGGAGTAAGAAATTGTTACTTAACAACAAAGATTAAATGACAAAATAAGTACAAATGTAGAAGCACAGTTGTCCCGTTGAGCACACCGTCTGCAAGGCGAGTGTATCACCTTTCTTTTAACTCATCGTTCATATTACACAAAAGGCTTTTGTTGAACTTCTTCTTGCATGATGCAATTACAAAAGGTCGAACTTTCACATATAAAAAGCGCGAAGTTCACGATGAAATATATACACAAAGATAACCAGCACCACGCAGGAGAATAAAATGCAAGAAAAGAAGCTGTTATACGGTCAAATATCAGAGACAATTGTTAAAGACCATAAAAATTGTACATTTTACTTGATTTCTCTACTGCTAAAAGGATACCATATAATGACGAGCTTTGATTGAGAAAAATAAATTGAAGAATGTCCGAAAAAAGGTTTGAAATATGAAGAGACTTTACCTCAAGACTTACGGATCAACACACCCCTTGGTTGCGTTTGGATTGGAGAACTGAAACGTGATTGCCCTGCTCCTTAGATAAAGTTTTCACGGTGATTGCGTGGGACAAATGTAACAAAGCAAGCACACTGCAACCAGACAAAAACAGGTGGAATATTGAAGGTACAATCTAATAAACTATGAGGTTTATATATCTTTATTACCTGAACAAGTGCTGTATTTTGAAAAGAGTGATTGGCATGGTGCTTTGTTTGTTTTTCATTAGCTTCTTTGTTTTATTTTTAGCCCTTTCTAAAGCGCCTTTGTTGCTTTTAAGGAAAATAAGAAGATGACCGGAAATTTTTGAAAAATATAACAAACGTGTTTTAAAACTTCCGACTAGTAAACCAAAGAGACAGATGCGTCTGTTTATTATATGTGCGCTTCTCAAAAGGACTAGAAACTGTCCAATCATATTATTGATCTAGTCAATATTTGCCCATTTACACCGATATTTTTGGTTTTTTCCCCACCAAGTTACAATAGGACAGAAAATGCCCGATCCTTATCCATAATAGTAAATGGAACAGAAAAAAGAACGGCATTGGCAACTTCAAATCAAGTTACGAGCAAAGGCAACGTCGAAATTGAAATGTTTTTACAAGCGCAAAAATATAAAAACATTAAATGTAATACTAAGAGCGACTGAAAAGTATGGAAGTAGTTTTGAGTGTCACCAAAAGAATGAGGTTTATTGAAAACATACCTGCCTTTGTGCTGGAGCCCCCTTTGTTTTAGTGTTTTTTCAATTATCATTATTTTTGTGTCAGTTCGTCCACAAGATGGTGCCAAGTACGATCTATGCACAGTTTTTTTAAGCTGCCTGCATGAAAGCCCGAGATTAAGGATGCACTTCCACTACAACGCAGCAAAATGACTTCAAGTTTTGTCAGAGCGTGCACAGTGACGAGCTTGAAGATTGTATAGACAACATCAACGTTTTCTGCGGTGATTAGTCTAAGATCGCAATGTTGAATTGACGAGAACTGATCGAGCCACAGACAGGCGTCAAATTCACTGCATTTTCTTTATCGAGCGTGTATTAGAATAACGGCCTTTTTTTTTTCTTCATTAACCAAATTTGTCTAAGGCTGGCCTTTCAAAAGCTATTTCAGCCCTGTTTCAACTGGATTCAAATGACAGAATCAATGGAAAGGAAGAGTGAGCCATAAAAACTGATAAAATAACTGGCTGGGGAAATTTAGTTGCATGTGGTATGGATCCTAAGGAGAGTCCAAGCCATCGGAGTTACATTGTGTCGTCATCGAGCCAGTCAGAAGATTGTAACATAAAACTATAACTACATTTCGAAACGGTAAGGTACGAAGCTCCAAAAAAAAAAATGCCTAGAAACATTCTGCCGGTAAGAAAAAAGTTCGTAATATTGACTGCTTAATGCGTTAACTCTGTTATCTTAACTCGTAACTCGTCAGATAAGACATCGTTTGGAGTCCTTACACCATTTAAAATTAATAGCAAATGTCAGCAAAGGATCGAAAAAAGTTTATGCAAAATCTGTTTTATGTGTCATACATAAAATGCATCTGCCAGCGCTATCACTGCAGATGAACTTGATCGCTGCTCTCGTCTTGAACGGCTATTCAACGAAAGTCAGTCATTACGAAAAAGAAAATTTCCCCAATTACGGAGGGTTGTTACATCTTGAAATATGGTTTTATTAGAATTTATTAATTGGTGCGTCGATAAATCCTATACAATCTTTCTACATAGTCATAATAATTAATAAAATTCCCCCTTTTAGACGAAAAAAGGAAAATGTAGTTCAACCGAGACTGGTTTTCAGAAGAGGCACTGTACTGATCCTTACACTTGTGCACTCAGAATAGATGTTGAGAAATTAATGGTTTAATTCTTAAAACTTTCGTTCATACGTTTAACACCTTTGTTAATGGAGCTCTTCTTGAGATGGAGATAAGCTAAATATGTATCCATGAAAAACACAATTTTACAGCAGAATTGATTAGCCTATTTTTCTTATTTACCACCGGTTCGATTATTTTGAGGCTGATGGTAAAAACCTCCGACTTTTAAGTGGATTGGTAGCTCGCGAGTTGATCTGCGTCTAATAAATTTCATAATTTCTTCCTCGGAAGAATTCTTTGACTCACTGCTCCTGTTATATTCAGTGTTGTCTTGTGAAGTGATTGGTACCGAGTAAGGCTCTTCGATCTGACGTAGTTTAGATGACGTTCTTTGGCATGGAATTTCATGATTGTTTCTAAGGATCTGGCTGATCGCATTGAGCAATTTTGCATCCTGTTGTTCATCTTCCATAGCGAGATCACCGGCCAACACACCAATCCTTTCAAACAGCTGTTCTAATGAAGAATCCAAATCAAGCTCACTTGAAGAAACCTTTTCGGGTGTTTCGGGCGTTCTTTTTGAAGATTTTGGACTAATCGGTCTCTCGAACTCTAGCTTGGTTGCCAAATGCTGTGATGGGGATTTTTTAATGGCTGTCTGCTTAACTTTGGCGCTCAGGTTTTCGTTAGGTTTTGAGCCGCTTTCCTCGGACGTTTCTCTTAGAGGAAAATCGAAGTTATCCTGGGAATTGGTAGAAGCTGCGTCATCCTCCCTCACTGAGGCATTCTGACCCGCATCTTTCCCTCGCTTGCTAATTCCTAACATTTCACACAATCTCTCTAGTATAAAATCAGCCATCTCAAATTCTTTGGATTGTTTATCAGTGTTTCTTTTGACGTCTTCTAAAGAATCGTTCAAAATTGCCACGAAAAAGTTCATAAAAATGAAGGACATCAGAGCAAGGAATGAAATACCGTATAAAGGACCCAAAAAGCGATGAACTCCTGTTAACTCATGAAATCTCATTTGGCCGCCAAGGCACACGATGACTTCTGAAAACAATGCATTGTAGACTGATGAGTAACCATGAATGTGGTCGCCGAACGCCAGCTTCCCCATCTGAGCGTATGAGACGAAAATAATGATAAAAATCACAGAATAGGACAACAATAAATTCTTAGAAACGCGAAAAGAGGACATCATTATGGAGACGTGCTGATTAAAGCGAATTACGTGTAGAAGTTTCAAGGTTGTGAAGAAAGCTGCAATGGCTAAAGCAGTGGTTTCTGCATGGCTCCAGGTAACAGCTTCTCCAAAACTTACGGTGGCGAATGGGTTTTCCTTCACAATAGCAGCGAGTTTAAGTATCAGCTTTGACTTTATTATGTAGAACACCACGACCAGTACCGACAAAAATATTCTTAGAATTTCCACCCAGTTCCACACATCTCTTAAATAGGTCCACGTGGCTCGATATAGCTTGTGCATTTCGATAATGAAAAATACGAATGCCGTCATGATAAATAAGAACTGACAAATCAAGTAAAACTGGTAAAAGCCTGTTTCAGTACTTGTCAGCAGAAGAGTGTCTATCTTTGGAAAAGGATAGCCATACCCTGTCGGCAATATTTCAAAATGGTACGCTGAAATGATAAGGTAGCCCGTGTTAGGGTTATAGATAGTGAACTCAAGTAGGACGACGCGGGTCTGCCGGTCGATCCAACCGTATTCTATCAAGTCGGAGATGACTGCCTGAGCTGTACTGCTATTGTAGCCTAGATCTGCAACATAACCACCTCCGTCATAAACATCGAAGTAACCCCAGCTCGGTGATAGTTCCTCGTTTGGCACATATTGCCATGGTACCGGGCATAGCTCGGAAAAATTCGCCCATTCTACAGAACCACTGAAGGGTTCCCAGCCTGGAAGGTTTGCAGGAGTTTTATCCTCTTCATCGAAATTATAGAGGTCGTAGCAGCCCCTGTTTATGATGTCTCGTACTATCCTTGGAACAATGCAAGAATCTGATAAAAAAAAAAAAAAGTAAATTACTGTCGAATACAGTCCTCACAACTTTGATTGCCTTGTGTACTTCTCTTTCGTGTTGCCGGAGCAAGATTTCATTGTTATAATCAGAGGAATCTGCCCTCTCTTTATTCTTTTATTTCTTTTATTATCCAATTTTTCCCCTTATTCTCTCTCTTTCTTTTCTTCTCCATAATTTAGGTTCTAATATTTGCTATATTTGCAATAAAAACAGAAAAAAAGTTGCGAACTTTTTTTTAAATAATCACCACAATTAACAACAACGATGATTTTTACCAGTTCTACGTTTATAAGATTGAAAGTTCTCAAATAATGTCATACTTACCTTTCTTTATTCTTAGTTGTCTCAAGCGAGGCATTCCTAAGAGAATAGACATCTTGTTACCAATGTACTCTTGCTTTTTGATTTTGTCGTTGTTGTACCAGTTGCTGCCGTAGACACCATCCACAAACTGAATGTCGAGCCATTTCCAGAAATACGGAGGATCGTAAGCCTAGGCAGGAAAAAAACGTTCTAAAATGTGCAGTGACCACGAACCAAAAGACACACATACCAGGAAGGAAGAGAAATATTCTGCGTAATTATAACGTGATAAATTAAAAGTTGAATGTGTGTGGTTCCAGGTGTTTAAGTGCAGCTAAGTAATAGCCACCTTCCGTATAGCGAATTTTCAGTAGTTAAATCTCGCTTTGAAATAGAATATAACAGTATCATATCGCGTTTAGCTACATTTAAATGCGCTTGGTGGAACTTTCGGAGTAATGACAAAAATTCAAAAACGTCCCATATCTTCATCTATTCTAAGCAAACCCAGGCCCTGGCCGTGGAATGCTATTGATCGTATCACTGCCTCATTCCTGTCTCCCTATCACCATGACGTTCGAATAGGGACGTTTACACTGACCGGGTCAGTCGGTTACCCTAAGATTCAGAGCTACTTACCAAAGAAAAGTTGCCAAGTGTATCTTTTAGATCCATAGTCATGAGATATCCGTGATAACTTCTGCTACCGTAACACACAATTATAAGCAAAAAGAGAAACAGAAGATATCCCAGAAGCTCTCTCAAAAAGGAAAACATCTTTGCCTCCTTTGTGCTGTTCTCTCTTGCAAGTATGAGGTCATCCTCTTTTGGCATCTCTACTTTAACACTCTGATTGCCGCCGTGAGATTTTATTTGTGATTGCAGTTTCTCTTCACTATTGTAGCTGACAGTTTCAGTTTCATTTTTATCGCGAAACAAAGAAGCTGTTAACACCATGATAAGCAATATCTTCAAAGGCTGTATGACAAATAGGTCTTGGGTGAAAGATACTAACATTGAGGAAAGCCACTGGTTCGAAATATCCTTTCCCCACTGCAAGCTGAAGAAGAACGTAAAAACGGCGCACACAGAAACAGTAACAAGGACCAAAAACCAAGCAACGTAGATAAAGAAGTGAGGGAGCATAAATTTCTTCTTGGCATCAGTCTGACTTTGGGAGTTTTTATCCAAGTAAGACCTCTTTTCGTTTAGCGTTACATCAATGTCGTGAATATCCCCTGAACTGGTAGTTGACAACTTGTCACAAAAGGGAGCAGGACTGTTTTTTGGTTTTTCCACGTCGACTTTATTTGGAGTTTTCTCGCCACTCCTCTTGAAAAATGTCATAATCATTAAGTTTACTGGAGTTATTATCAGGGCGCTTTCAATTCCCACCATTATTTGTCTCCAGCTGAATTTTAACGGACCAATTTGTAGAGTTGGATCTGGCTCTTTGTCCGTCCGGTAGAACAGGGCATTTGCTAACATCGCAGACAACAGTATGCAAAGGCAACAAGAAGCTCTTTGGACACGTGAGAATTTACTCCTCGGTGGCTTAGTAACAACTGAAAGCCAAATGTGTCCATCGGAAAAACCTCTGGAGCCTTGCGATCGCAAAGAATAACTAAACGTCTGCATCTCCTGCGAACCAACAGGAGTTAAAATTCTGTTTATTTTACCGTCCCCTTTCTCCAGCGCAAACCAATCGTTGCAAAAAAATGTCCATTTTCTACCCGTCTGAAGATCCAGGAGAATCGCATGGCTTAGAAACCATGAAGGATCTCTTCCCGAATTATCATGCCATATGCGAATGTATTCAATTTCACCCAGTGACATTGGCAGGTGAATCCTAAATGTATCCTCGTTTCCACGCGCCAACAACGTCCTTGAGTCTATTGTGCTTTTGTGCAATATCAGAGGTTCACTCTGCGCCTCGTTCCCATGAATGATGATAACGATACGAGCATCAGTCCCAGAATTCTTCCACACTCCCGTGGCCAATGTCAGTTGGTACTCAAAGTCATTTGCCTCATGGCAAGAAAGTAGATGGAAAACTGGACCACTCTGAGAATAAAACAAATGCGGTGACTCGTTAAGATCAGTTTGAATTAGCAATATTTAACTCATATCGTTACCGTAAATAGTTGCAGAAAGTGAAATACCTTTGCAAGATTTGCATTTGAAGGTTGTAAAATCTTCCTCCCGTAGGGAAGTAAATAAGCAAACAAGCGAAGCAATAAGGAATACAATTTGTTGAGGATAAAGGGAAGAAACCAAATTTCAAATGAGTTGGGTTTTTAATGAGGCGGAAATTCTGTAGGGACTGTCAGATCTGTTACAAAATAGTGAAGCTGCAATGTTGCATCGCTTAGTTGTTCCAATTTTTCTACTATTCGACCTTTTGCTGATGTGTTTTTTTTTTTGGACCTAACTTCCATACAGCTCAGCATCTGTCTGTGATCGACCTCCGTTAAAATCGTGCTGAGAAGTATATATAGAAAAGCATTACTATTATCATCATTTCTGATGTGATGGCATCGAACCGTCGAGACCATGTTCTCCTCCAATTTTGGGTAATCATGGTAACAATTTGACTGATTTGTGCTCACAAAATGAAAACTCGTTCTTTGTTCCTATCTACATTAATGTATCAATCATTCTTACTTCCGCTTGATTGGTTGTTGTTACGCTTCTGATTTTATGGCTTTTGTTAATTTGACAGCTGATTATATTTCATTCTTTTTAATTCTGTCCCTATTTCATAGAAAATGTAAGTTCTGTCTTTTACATACTTTGGCCTTATCTTGTCTATCATATTTCCTTGCAAATACTACCACTAAAAAGTACAATAGCAGTACTGCAATTATTGTGACAAGGACGGCAACATTTCCAGTCTCATGGAGGCGCGTGAGTTCATAGAAGACTACATCAAAATCTAGCTTGTTCGGCATCACTAGGACTCCTCCACCAAATGACGTCAGATGATTACACAAACAATGTAAGGATGAAACCTCTGAACCTGGGCCTACCTGCAAAAGATCAAAGGGTAAAAGGGTGAAATCATTGTCATATCGAAAAGATAGGAATAACTCGAATTCCTTAAAACCAAAATCCCGTCATAATATAATATTTGTGAGGCAAGAAACAGTTGAAAAGGAAATAATTTTTGCACCAGTCTTCAGAGATTGCATTTTTGAACAGGATTTTATATCAGCATTTTGCATTCCAGTGATTTCAAACTCAAACTTTGCATAGGCAAATAAGTCATTGTAATAAATAGGCTATGACTTCATGTGTAACACGACGCAAGGCAATTTACAACATAACTGATTTTTAGGTTTTTTCAACCGATGTTATGGAAAACAGCATATCTTTTATATCCACACATCGTCTTTTCCCATTATTTTAAACCACACCCTATGAAATATGTCATAAGTATCTTTCAACATCTCTCCTTCTCCCATTCAAATTTTGAAACAACTCATGTTTGGTCAGTTAAGAGGTGCAAAAAAAAAAGAGGATGATGCTTGTTTATGTAATTGGGTTTAAACAATAGTCGATAAACTTACTTTGCATCCCCTTGATAACCAGCGTTCTTCTATACTGTCCCAAAACAGACAGTTTTCTTCCACCAGATTCAAAGAGTAGTTTACGTCTGTCTTTGGGTCATAAACTGGCTTTACTGTGATGTTCTCAGGTCTTGGTGCTTCTTTAACCTCCACGCATGATCTCTTTTGGCGGCCCCCTCCGGAACATGATCGCTTCTTTCGTCGACTCGGAAGTTCTCCTTCATCATTTTCGTACAGTATGCCAATATAGTATTTCCCTGGTTTGTTCACCTTGTCAGGTAACAAAAGGACGTCGTACGCATCATTCCTGCAATGGCTGTAAGAATCTTGGGAGGACTTCAAGCATGAAGGATGCGGAATTTGCCTTGATACATCATGCTCTGTGACAGTTGGTCGCCGGCCATATCGCACGAATACTTTGAAGATGACTTTGCCTTTACTTGGTTTGATCTGAAAGAATAGTGATTTGACGAGTAACCATTTTAGTCTCAAGAAATTTCCAATTGAGCATCAAAGGTGTTCCTGGTTTGCGCCGCATTTAATCACTTTATTATGGACAAGAATAATACCGCTCCTTTAACCACTCAGTTGCAAAACGAGAGCTAGTCTCCTAGTCTTGGTCACTTGCTCTTTCCTAACCCTCTGGCTGCTTGCTTGATATAAGCCTCATATAAGTCCTTTTTGCAATTCTCTATTCTTAGGATTTTCGCTATGATCACTTTGGTTCGGGTTCACAAACTTCTCGAATGCACTATAGAGCGGTAAATCCCAATGTGCATCCTTTAGCCTTACAGCATCTTAAAAAGAAAACATTTCAGCCTCCTTAAGCATCTCTTCTAATCAACCAACACATATCCAGTTCTCGCCTCCACTTTCTGCCCTCTGAAAGATATTGCTTATAAGCTGAACGCACCCTCCCTCTAAAGGAAGATGTCCTCGTATTCTCTCCTCCAGAATCAGTTGTTCATTTTAAAGTCATAACACTTACTCGAAATCTTACAGCGTTACCGTCCGCATGCTGCAAACTCACTATATGGTATTGCATCTTTCCTTCACTACTGGGTTTAGTAAAATACAAGCCACTTCCTTCGGGCAGAAAATTGCCCTCACGCGGAATCTTCATCTCGATATATTCGTTGCTATCTTTCACTGATAAAGTCTGACCTTCGTGGTTTTTGATGGTCAAGCTAACGACGTTAGAATTAACACGGGCTGCACTGTCGTCCCACGTAAAAGGATTGAATGCACTCAGAGTTATCTGATAGAAAAATAAGAAAAACCAACTTTGTGTTTTATGGCAGCATTTTGCGTCGATGCGGGCTCAGAGGTGATATATAGTACCCTTGAGACATATATTGTTAAAGCAACCGCCAAAAAGTAGTGGATAAGTAGTAGATAAGTTTCGCAAAGAAATCCTTAAAGAACTGGGTAAGAGAAATGCATGTTTTGGAAAGACTGATAAAAATTCTTGTGTGATAGTCTCTTTGATAAGAGGGGAATGGTATCCGAAATATATCTGATAAACCAATTTTCTCCTACGAGACTAAGAAGTAAACTACACATAACTACAAATTTAAAATCATTCAAAGCTCTCAGAGAAGCTCAATTTGCTTACCACACTGTCGATGTACTCAGCATCTCTCGCTCTCTCGTCGGTTATGGCGTTAAAAGAAAATTTGAACTCTCCTGAATAAGGATCGTCAGTAAAATTTGTCGCTGTTTCCAGTGATTTGGGACTAAGTCTGTTGAGCACCATGCTCAAGGACTGTGTTTGCACGCGGTTGGGTTCCTGGTCCACTAACATTTTTGATAGGAGAGCAACGCTTACATCATCGATAAGCTTCGCTGTGTCTTTCGAGACATTTTCACTCTGTTAAAAACGAAAAAAAAAACATGGAAAGGTAGTATATATTTGCGTTTGGTTTAGGTGTCGGACCTCGCGTTGAAGAGACACATGCACCGCGAGAATGAGAAAAATGGAAAGTGAAGGAGGAGGTGAGAATGAAGGGTTGAATGAAAGAGGAAATGAACTGATGGATGAACAAATGGATGGAAACTGTCTAAATGAATGAACAAACTGACGAAAACACCAAGAAGAACGCACAAAGAAACAGGGAAAGAGCCAACAAATCAATCAGCGATTGGACGCATTCAGCAAAGAATACTCAGAAAAAAATGAAACGAGGTATTCACCTTGGATCGTATTTCCGATGTCTCCGCTGTCCTTTCGATCACACTTGCCTTCTGAGCAGCAGAGTTAAGAATGTTACCCAGACTCAGTACCAGGTTCTCCCCGCCTTGTTCAACTAAGACAGACTCTGAACCGTAATCTTCTTTGGTCTTGCTTCGTAACAATGACGTCATGGATCTTAAGGTTTGCAGAGCAAGATCCTAAAAGATAGATGAAAGATTGTTTTCAGAAGTCTCACAGTCGATGAACGTCAAACTTTAGAATAATATTCAGCTACCCCTTTTCTTTGAGACAATCATATAATTGAGACAATAAGACCTTTAAGAGCTGTAAATACCTGTGTATCAAATGTCACCTCACTCGGTTCCAGTGTGGCTCGTGCGATCACAGACGTCACTTGAGTCAAGGATTGTAGATTTTTTACTTGAATATTTGACACACTTCGTACAATGGAGTCTTTGATCTGAAATACCGATAGAACCTTTAGCCTAACGTTGAATAACACCTTTACTAAGGATCATTTAACCCCCTTCCCCCCTCCCCCGTGCCACTTAAGTACCTCTTAAAGAGAAAAACTGGTAACAAAATACGGTGCTGTTCGTCAAACGAAGTCAATACATTTTTCAAATCAACAGTCTTTCTCCTTCTTTGGTAAAAAAAAAGGAAAAAAAGGAAGAGGAGAGAAATGTCTTTTAACCCGCAGTTGTAGAATTTGATTCAGTTAAATAGTATTCCTATAATTTTTGTAGTAATTCCAAATTTTTGAAAATTCAATCCATTCTGAGCGAGAAGTTGACTTTAGATGACTTCCAGTCAAGCTTGCGAAACGTCAGGCAGTACTTCCCATAGCTGTCTTTCTTAGGGTCACCCTGACCCAAACGTTGCAAATACACGGTCACAGATAACTTGAGAGGATAATTGGCACAAATACCTCTATCTTGTCCTCGGTCGACGTAGAATTTGATTCCTCGACTGTTCCTAGCACGGCATTTGCTAGTTGTGTAGCACCTATAACATTCCCTGACTTAACCAAAATGTTAAACTGACTATTGTTTCCAACTGCGAGTGCACTGAGACTGTCGTTAGCAGGCGGCGGCTCGACCTAAGAACAAGATAAGGCAATATAGGGTTCCTGTGAACTAAAACTAACTTTCCCCTTGATAAACTATCACACTAGGGCGAAGGTAAAGCTTTCTTAAAGGCAAACAACCTACAATATTCAGGTTGCGAAAACTGTTGAGTATCCTGTTTTTGACAAAGTGTGGCCCCCCTCCCCCCACGCCATTGTGACCTGACACGATAGAGCAGCGCAAAGTGACTCGAAAGGGATTTCGCTGAAAGACAAAAAACTGAGAGAGTAACAGACAAACAGGCAAGCAATAAAAACGAAAAGTAAACAAAAACAAAAAAAATCATTGAACAGAATGTTTGCAAATTGCATCTAGTTTGGAAATTACACAATTTACTTGCGTATATTCCAGGGAAATATCCTAATTATGTTCTATTACCTGACCCTCCTTACGAGTTCGAGTTGCTGGTAATTCGAATTTTCAAAAGTTTTCAAGTTTTTCCGTGGAAAATTTACATCTTACTCTGATCATCAAATCCTTTGAACTCAAACAATGGTAAACATTTTTCAACAATACTTTGTAATTTCAGACAAAGCTAGCAAGTACTAAAACAATCACCTTTACGTGGAGAACATAGCTGCTGGAGGCCGACAGACTGTCTGTTATCAAAATTTCAAAATCAATGATATATCCACCATTTCTCTTTCCCGAGGGAAGCACTGTTGACACGTGATTAATAGACCCGTATTGCACGACGGTGTACAAGCCATGGTCCGTTTTGTAATGAAACTGATACGTCAGAGGTTGGTGTGGATCCTTAAAAAAAATAACTAATGTATAATCTTTGTATAATGTTTCAAACCAGGGATCAATGATCATTTGTGCCAGGATTTCTCCTCAGTTTATCCCTGTTTAGCCTGGGGTATTGATTTCAGCTCTTTGTTCATGAGACGTGGGAATTCCTCATTCATTTTGATGGCGAGGGACTTGATAGAGAAGTAGAGGTATTGGTATAGTGTCTTTACATAAAAGCGACATTTAGCACTACACAACATGAATCATTCACACGGAAACTCCATCGACTAGAACTTCCATTAGTCTCTCTAATGCCATCACTTTCTTCGGTTTACTTTTTTTCATTTAACTCATGAACTAATCGATTGACTACTTTTATTAATTCATTTCTTAATTTAGAATGAAAGCCTGAAAGTGTGAAGGAGGAAACTGCGGGAAGAAAAATTTATCAACAATGAAAGATAAGATTTGGTTAGGAATTCCTGTTGAAGTGTGGCCTTCATGTGAAGTCGCATGCCAAAGGATTGCTTAAAAGGTTGGTAAGTTTTGCTCTCTATGTTTTTGGTCGTCATACAAGAGAAGTCTCTCAGGAAAAGGCAATTTCATTTTTTATCTGTCCTCAGGAATAGGCAATTTATTTCTCACCAGCCAACCAGTGCATAAAAATGAAAATGCCGTCTTCAACGCCTGTCCACTCTTCGGAGTCACAGTGCAATTTCCGGAACTTGGCGGAGCGTTCACTCTGAACTGATAAGCTGCATTTCCAGCGGGTCCGTGGTCTTGCGAGACCCAGACTTTCAGTCGATAAAACCACTCACTGACATTGAGTGGAGGCAGTTGATTTCCTTTAATAATGATACCAGGAAGATCCATATCAGTCTCTGTCATGTTACGGGTCAGGATTTTTCCTGGGAGCTCATGTCCAATGGAATTTACAATGACAAGCTGCCAGCTGTAGGTTGCTGTCTGACACGCTAATCCCTTGCACGTAGTTGCAATGCTGATTCTTGTGGAGGCGCTTGCCATCTTCTCACAATTAATTAGGCATCTATGATATAATGGGAATGAAGTTGCTAAAGGATGTGATATCACAGTTGTTGTCGTTGTTGTTGTTTTTGTTGTTGCTTATCTAAATCTACACAACACAAAATACTTACGCCTTTCTCAACCAACAATTTGCACAAATGCATTGCACGCATGCATTGCTAGTATACATTGTAAGCTTGCTTTGAGCAGGCAGGCTTTTAAAATATTTAGAGGGCAATCGCCCAGCCTTTTAAATGACAGTTCCAAAGATGGAGCCATGAAAATTTTTGGGAGGAATGTGGCAATATGTTCACTAAAACTGCAAGTGGCATATATATATATATATATATATATTCCTGTGAAATCGATTTCCCGACAGTTATTCTCAGGATCATGGTTAAAAAAATTTGACAATGAGTTAATAGAATGAATTCTCATCGTCAAACGACACCAATTCATTAAAAATTCGTTTCGAATGGCCAAAACATTTCAAAATAGAATAAAGGTATTAATTCTTATAGGTGCTTACCGGATAGTCACTTGTGGTGGATTACCGACGACAATCTTAATTTCTTGAGTGAAGTCGTCTATTCTGTTATCCTTCGTAACGATGAGCTTGACGTCATACATCTCACCAACAGTCATCTGACTCGTGTCCAATTCCACTATTGAACCATTGGAGTTTAGTTTTCCAACACCGGTTCCAAAACATCCACCACTACCAGGACCCAGAGAGTTGTTAATCACTGGTAGCGAGTCCAACGAACCATTGGGAAAGTGCTCTTGACGTTTCTTACACAGCCACGTGAAATGCATCGATGCGTGGTTACCAGACTCTACGTCTGGATCTCTGGAGGCTGATCCGTCTAATAAAATGGGATTTACCTTTCCTCTCGTGACTTTGTTCCCTCCTGCAACGTCAGCTATAAGTTTAGACTTGCTAATTTTGAAAAATCCTAAAGAACTGCTTATTACAGAAGGTTGGTTTGAGTAAGTTGCTCTAATATCCACGTAGTACTGCCCGTAATCAAATGTCCGTTTTTGCAAGGTCCACTCTGTAATTCTTGAATCCAAGAGAACTTTATCCTGTATCTGAACCTTTCCTGAAGCTTTAACCTTATATTTGAATAGATACCACGCAAATTGTAGTGCTTGTGAAGAGTTACACTCCGCCTTTCCGACAGTAGCCTGGATGATAAAATCTTTGGAACGCAAGATGGAAACAGCAGATTGTCTCGCTCTTCTCTCTGGTAAATTAGTTATTCTGACTTCTGGAGGAATGCAAGATTTATCTGTGAGAGAATAAGACATGCTAAAGAGTTTTTAAATATTTAATGTTTGGTTACAAGGTTACGGGCAGTTTAAATTGTAACAGCAAAAGACACTTCACAAAAACATCTCTGAGTGATTTGGGGTGCTCCTTTACAGAATCTATGGTGGAATGAGCTTCCCAGTAATGTCTAATCTTTGCGTCGTCTTTTGACCGAAAACGGGTTCAGCGCAGAGATTTTGGCCATTGTGACTACTTTGGTCTCAAATCGTTTGGTTCTCAAGTGAACGAAAATAGATCATTGAGTTAACGGTTGAACTTCGCCAAATTTGACTCAGCATTGGTGTCAGGTCTCCAAAATAGAAGGGGTTTTAGAGGCAGGTTCTAAAAGTGTGGAAAACGGTTTAAAACAGGCTCCAGATTGGAATAACCGCGGGGCATCGAATTCTTTCTAGAGACTCTTCAGAATCCCTCCACAAAGGAACGACTCGACAACATCAGTAATGCATAGTTGCATTAGCATTGACCTAGGCTAGCGTTGATATCCTCATTGACACATCACTGCATTAAAGAAATTAGTGACGTACCTTCCACACCCCAGTAAAGCGCAGTCCAAGTTATCTTCCCCAATTTACCGGTCTTGTTTAACTTGTTTAATTGTTCTTGAACCTTTGGTGTGTCGTATTCATTTTCAAGGATTAAGACCGCGGTTACTTCCACGCTTGCGGGTCTGTTAGATCAAGGAAACAGAATGGAATATGAAGCTTTCGACTAACAGCGTATTGGAAAATTGACTAATCTGTTTCTTCGAGCCAGTTCCAAGACATTCAACTATGGTAATGACTTGTGCTCAAGTTTCGAAACATAAATGAATGTCATCAATAATCGACAGTTTTTTTAAAAATTTTACCCTTAAGAGTGAACCCTGAATCAAATATTCAGGTTACGAGAGTAAAGGAAATGATTACCGAGTGAAGAAGCTCGTGATAGAGAACAGTTTGGAGAATATGCATACTGATATTAGGGTTTTGAGTATTACAGATTTACTTTCATCCAGACCACAGCTTTAAACCATCAGCTGTTACTCTGAAGCTTAAACTGTTCAATATAAAGCAGAGCATGTCACTTATTCCCCCTGAGGCTACGAATATTTTTAACGAAAAAACCAACACTAAACATGATAATTACGTCACATATTCGAAACAGTCCACTCTGAAAAACTTCTGTTCTCAATATAGATACATGCAAGAAAGGCAGCTGCTCTTACTTCATAGAGAGAATCTTGACGGTTGTGACACCATGTGACCCAAGACGTGATAAAATCTGTAAAAACATCACGGTAGAAATGAACATATGTAAAATCGTGGCTTTGTTGTACGCATACCGCGTACTTTTTCACGGAGTTTTTCTTTTATGATAAGAACTGACACAACAAGTTATGATGGCTCAAGGGACTGCAAAGCAAATGCGTGCGCATATTTCAGACGGTAGGAAAGGAAAACAATCGAAACTGCGCAGCTTCCGTCACGGAAGTGTAGCGGTTTCGATTGTTTCCACAGCGAAAAAATCAGGGGGATTGATGTTTCGATTCTTGTTTAAACTTGCAAGGTCGAACCACTTTCTGTTGAAGATCAGCTAGATCTGATAAATGGAGCAATTCAAGTGACATGAAAATAAAATATTTTTTCGATACAAAGTTTAATAACGCAAGATGCAATCTTCCTAAAAGTCGATATTTCTTTACGTCAAAGCGACTTTTGAGTCATTTTGATCTTCTGTTGAGCAATCCGCTTGAATTATTTGCCTAAGTCAAAGTATGTTGAGTTACTCAAAATAAAACAAAATACAGAATACACTGACCACCCAAAGTAGAGCTGATCCCTGTATCCCGAACACACGCTTTAAGCATGCTCTTACTTGAAGTGTCAGTTAAGGATGAGCTAATTTGGTGAGCTTTGTAGAGCAGTCTGGCTGAGATTGTCTTTTGCTCTTCTAGAAACCAATCTTGCCTTACCTCATTTGTTACGTTTGCCTCTAAACTTTCATAGGTTGCAGAGGAGTCGTCGAAAAGGTCGAAGTCAAAATCAACGTTTTTCAGCAAAAAGACAAATCGCAAAGTTGTCGCTAAAGGAAAGTAGAAAATTATACTCATTTAATGAATCATTAACTGAAATATTACTTCTAGAAGAACTAGAAAGCTTGGAAAAGGGCAAAAAGTCGGGAGTAAGCTAAGTGGATCACTCCTGGTGTGAGAGGCACAAATTGGAAGCAGTTGAGGGTTTTTTTCCCCAGGCGAGCGCTCCCCGCTTCCCTGCATTAGCTAGGTTCTTTTAAAATTTGTTGGAACAAGAGTGATCTACCACGATAAAAAAGACTTCTTCCTAAGCTTAGTATTCAATATTTTTTTCTTTCTCTTTTAGCAACTTCTTACCTTTTCGTAACAGTGGCAATGTAATTGCTGTTGATTGCTGAGTTGAGTAAAATTGACTTGAAGCTGCTGTTGTTTGGACAGTGAAGCTGGTTGAATTTTTCTCTTGTAAAGGTGAATGAACGCTAAATTTTGTCGTTTTAAATTTGTGCTCTGAAGAACTGATTTCAGGCAGTAAAGTAAAAGGTTTCGGAGTAGACTTGTCGTCAATTGTGGACGTTGGCGTAAGCTTTTGCTGAAGGGTGGAATTTACAACAAGTACAGGTGTGGCAAAAAGCCAAGAAGAGTTCTTATTTGGCGGTCTTAGTATCGTCGAATTATCTTGATGGATAACTGATGAATTTTTCTCAACAGTGTGTTTATGAGCCAACGTTGTTCGCAGGGAATTTGATTGTATAGAAGCTGACACCGTCATCGACTGTTCCCCAGAGTATTTTTGGGAGACAAGATTTGTTGGTTGCAATGCAGTTGTGACTTTTTGCTCCACGGTTAAATTTGTCTGATGAAGGGCTGATGGTGGTATTTCAGTGGGAATGGAATTGTTTTGAGGAATAAAAATTGTCAGATACACAAAGGAGTTCGCTTGAGATTCGGCGGATGTTGGCTTCAAGCCAAAAGGACTGTCTTGAGAAAGGGATTTCTCAGCCAATTTTGTTTGATGAAGAGGTGATGACGGTTGTTCAGCGGAATTGCCTTGGAGAATCAACGAAGAAAGTTTGATCGAAAGATTCTGCCGGGACGCAGAAGTTGAAATCTGCTCAGTATTGCCATTGTAAGGTATCAGAGTTGCATTTTTCACCTTTGAGCCAACGTCAAATAAATCGGTTGTTGGTTTTCCACCATATATCAGCGATGTAGGTTGCTGCTTATAAGTTGTGTTTCCCTGGTGCATAATGGATAGTAACTGCTCAGTGTAATTATCTTTTGTAATCAAAGATGCTAACTTTATAGTAGAATACGGCCTAGTTGAAGTTGTTGCTAACTGTTCAGCAGAATCATTTTGAAACAGTGAAGGCAGTGGTTGTAGTTTTGGAGTTGAGTTTACGTAAGGTTCATTTGTCTGTTCCAAAATTCTGTTTTGAGGTTTCCTTGAAGAAAGTTGGACAGAGGAAGTAGAGTGAGATGACACAGTTGTTGGCTGTCCATTGGAACCATTTTGAACCATGAATGTGAAATTTTGTTTTTGTATAGGTAAAGTTAGCTTTTCCACTGATAATAGTGATTGAAGGGAGGAACTGTTTGAAGAAACCATAGTCTGAACTTTACCTTCGTAGGGTTTAACTGTCACTGATTGCCCATGGTATTTAGTCTGAGTGAGAGAAGTGTTATTGCGTTTTTCCTGTGCTGAAGTCACCTGATCCACTACCGATGATGGCTGAGTAGTTGAATTGTTTTGAAGTGTCAAAGATGGAAGATTGGCAGAAGAACCTTTGAGTGGAATAACGGTTATTGGCTGGCCGTACTGGGTACTATTTTGAACCAGAGAAGTGCTATTTTTTTGGTCCAGAGTTGACTGTAGCTGCACCGCTGGTAATAATGGGCGACTAGGGTAAATGTTTTGAGATATCGAGGGATGAAGCTCTGAAGGGTAACCGTTTAAGGATGTAAGGGTTTTTGGTTGTCCAAAGGACTTATTTTGAGCTAGAGAAATGGTGTTTTGATGTCTCAAGGATGTGGCTGGCTGGTCCAATGATGATATTTTCTGCCCAATGGAAGTGTTTTGGGGTAACAAAGATGAGATTTGGTTAAAGGAACCTTCATGAGGTGTACTAGTTGTTGGCCTTGGTTGCCCATAGGATGTGGTATTTAGTTGTTCCTGAGTTAAATTTGCCTGGTCCACTGACGATAATGGCTCACCAACAATCAAAGACGTAATCAGTGGAGATGGATTCAGCTGAGATTCAAACATCTTTGACTGTTCTGTATAAATTTTTCGAGGATGTAAAGGTAATGAATGTACTATATTCGTCGTTTGATATTGTGGAGTTGGATGTACGTCAGTCACAGAAGTTGCTTGCACTTCAGCAGTGCTCGAATGAATAGATTTATGTTCTTCAACGGAACTAACAACAGAACCCTCTGTTGTTATTGGCTCTGGTGCTCGAAGGATAACAGCTGGTAAGGGAACCAGTTGGAAATCTACTTGGAACTGTGGTTGTGCTTCTGTTGTTGTCTGGTGCTTAGTTCGGTGTACCGATGCCAAGGTTGTTGATGTTCCAAAAACTGATGTTAATAATTTTTCAGCGTAACTGTTGTGTGAAACTAGATTTGTCGTTTGATATTGTGGAGTTGAAAGCGCGTTAGGCACAGCCGTTCCTTGCTCTTCAGCAGTGCTTGAAGGCGTAGGTATCTGCTCTTCATAGGAACTATTCTTTGGCAAACTATTTATATTTTGATGATCCAGGATTGCATGTGCCTGTTGTATTAGGGATATCAGCCTTGGAGTGTCTTCGTCTTGAACATGCTCAGTAGTAGAATTCACCGCTGTCTTGGTCGCAATAGCGTAGGATGAAACTGTTGTTTGTAACTGAGTTGTATTTTTAAGAGTCAATAAAGTTGTTGGTTGTATTCTAGGGGCCAAATACAAATCAGGTCCGACCGTTGTTTTCTGTTCTGTCGCTCTTAAAATTGACGTTTCTTGATCTGCTGCTTTTCTTGATTGTCCACTGGGACTATCTAAGGACGCTGAAGCTGTTTGTTCTTTTTTAAGATATAAGTTTCCTTGCAGCGCCGTTGTTGATGTATGCCCAGAAGAACTCGTATGAGAAATCAAAGATGCAGGCTGCTCTTTAGAATTCTTGTGAGACTGTAAACTTACTAGCTGTTGTTTTCCGGTGGAGCTGTTTTCAGAAGCAACATTAAACGTTTCTAGAGATGCAGTCTGATTGTGTGTAGCCACAGTTGTGTTACTTGTATCGACCACAAGTATTGCTGGTTGATACCGCCGTTGCTGGTCTACCTGTGAAGCTACATCTGGAGATCGAGCCGTTACTGGTTCCTTCATAGACGCTTCCAATGCCTTTGATACAGTTGAGTCGGATTGCAGAGCTGTAAAAACTTGATGTGCAGTTGTTGTTGGATGCTCGGTGTAAGTTACTTGACGTTCTAAACTTGTCGTTTGTCGTTGCTTGCACAATCAGCCATGCTGAAATAAGTTGAAGTCTTGTAAACAAGAACATGGTCATCAGAAAGATGAGAACGTAACGTCTACCAATCAGGTACGCCACGACCCAAAAACAAATCAGTTGCTTGACATTAGTTGACCGTTCTGCAACGAAAACAATCACTTGGCAGTTAGACTTCTGAGGAGCTTCGGCTTTCAGTACAAAGCCGTGTAAGACTGAAATGTAACAGAGCTTGATAAAGAATATGTGCTAATTAAATTGACAAAGTGAAACGTAATCAAGGGATAGATGAGGGACAAACGTGCGAAATTAAAAGAAAAGAGTATTGTTTCGGCAACAGCTCGGAGTTATTGTTCGCTTTTTCACGGACAAATATTTGGCAATAACACTAAAGTTGTGTATACAATTTTTTTCTCCAACTGTCTTTGGCGCTATATGTGCAGTAGTGCTTGAGGATGTCTCCAGCCGTCAAGCAACTTAGCCACTCGGGGCTACACAGAACTTTTATGAAGTTCTGTAAGGTAACTGCTAGCGACCTACTACTTGTTACCGCATTCGAAACCCATTGTCGGGGTTAAATTAGATTATAGAAGGAATCATTTCCTTACTCGTCTCAACACAAACCCCCGAAAAATTTTCAACTTTTTTATACTTACCCGAAAAATGTTCTCAAAAGGCAAAAGAATGTCAAGGTAGACTGAGATTTTATCATGTTTCGTTGGGTAAACGATAGTGGAAAATAAATGTATACCTTTCGATTCCGAACCCAGGGAGAGCCGTCTTCTGAACATGGATGTTAAAGGCTTCTCGTAATGAAATTATGTTTTTACGGCATACGTCTTACGGTTTTTGTTTAATCTTAGGCGATGTTAATTGATCTCTTCTTCGTACCGAAGTTATTATGACTGACAAACAAAAGGAACCTGTAAGTCAATCAATGCTTACAGCTTTGACCACTCCAAGAAGTTCAAACAACTATTTTGAACTGTCAGTCACCTTCAATTGCTTATTTGAACCGTGAATCATAAAAGTTGTTCGAGCAGTTAACCACTAAATGAATTGACGCGTATTCATATTTAAAGTCGAGACAAAGCCTGGTCGCAAGCAGGACACGGCCAAATTATCCATTCTAAAAGGGTAATCGACTGGAAATTTTAATCAATTATTCAAAATTAACCGTTTGTGAGCCTGGATTAGCCATGAATTTATGAAACAAATATAGAATGACCGTACAGAAAAATGGTCACACCAGGCTTAGAACTCATCCCGACTTAAATTCCTCATGATATGTGCTTTTCTACTTACGTACCATTTTTTTCATCCGTAAAGCATTCGAAAATAAGATATACTGTTTATGAGTAACGAGTGTTTTTTTAAATGGCCGTTAATGACCGAGAGTAAGAATTATTTTCGTTCTGTCGCGAAGCAGTATAATTTCTCGCAACTTTCTTCAAGTTATTGCTTTTTCGTTAAGCAGTTCCACTTTCGTATGACCTAAGCCATCCTAGCTAGATAAACAATTGAAACATTAAGAGTTTATCATGAGTGAAAGAAAACACGATGAGCCTATGCTTATTACTGGCTAGAACATTCTCAATAATTTATTCAATACAATATTTCTGATTACAGTAATGTTACAGCAGAACACACCTAAGACATTTACCTATCTTTGCAAGGAGAGAGACGCATTTCGCACGGTCCCGTTTCGTTTTGTCTTGCCAGAATAATAGGGGAAAAATGTTCTCACTTAATATGAGAAAGATTGTAATTTTGCAGCACGACACGTGTCATATCAACTCCTATATCCAGACGACCTCTACGCAAACGGTAAAAATGGAACATATTACCGTCAGATACCGGCCTTTTTAACGCACCTTTGAAAGCATTCCGTAAAGAGTTTCAAGCTGACGTTTCGAGTGTTAGCCCTTCGTCAGAGCGATGAAGGTTTAACGCTCGAAACGTCAGCTTTGAAATTTTTTACGGTGGCCAATTTACTAAATTACCCTGTTATATTCTCCCACCGACGCAGCACCACAGTTTCTCTAGAAACTTGCCCTCTTTATGAAAGCATTTACTCGGAATAAGAATATTTTCCAACTGGAGTAAAACATAAGTTACCCGAGGTGAAATTTATTTTTGCCCTTTTTTTTTTGACGTCAAAACGACGTGCTTGAACCAACCTCACTGAAGTAAAATTTTGACTTCATAGAATTTGTGTTTTATGGAAGTTAAAAATACTACCTAACCCAGCCCCATTGTAGATTAATCTAATAGAGTAGATATAAGTTATTTGCTTTATAATACCTTGATCATTGAGTGAACTTTCGCGACTCTTGTGCACACTTTGTTATCCATTAAAATCTGTAATCATGCATGATGGCCGAGTTTGCGCCTGGTCGAGTTCGTAGACAAAACACCTATTTAGGTCATCAAGAAAAAATGTTCCTGTTAGATCTGTATCACATGGAATGATGACAATTGTTGTGTGAAGCCCTCAGGCACCCCGCATAAACTCTGTAAGAAACTGTTCAGTAGGGCGTCATCACTAACTACATTTAGCATAAAAATAGTTCCGCTTTTGCTAACAGCCGACAAGGGGAGCAAAATTAACCTTAATGTTGCATAAACCTTAATCTGATCATTGCAAAGGGAAGATTCTTGAGATTACCCGTGACTAATTCTTTTTTTATGTTAAGTAATTTATTTCAAAACAAGGTATCTTTAATTTAAAAATGTGGCCTAATGGATGTCGCTGACTAAAGCACACGGGCTCAAATTCCCAACCACCTGCTGATAAGTCGGCTGAATGTGAACACATCTCCATGACGTCAGTAAACATTACTTCTAACATAGTAGTCCATTTATTCGATGACGCACCGCATCATTCAAAGGTATCGCTTGAAGTTTAATAAGTATCATTTTTCAGAAAATGATAACAAGGAAAAGTTAACCGTAAACAGGAAAATGTTCAAAATGCTTTACACCATCTGTTTCGATAGGAGAAATTGGCTTACAATTTGCAAATATTAAAAAAAATTACACCTTCTCTTTTGATATTCGAGTACATTCGAGTACATTCGAGTGCGTTGTTGTTAATGCGAGGAAAACATTATTGTTGATATGGATCAACAAGCTTGTTTTAAGGCCCAGTCAAACGTACGCAATATTTCAACGCGGCATGTTGCAGCCTTGTTGGATCGTGTTGTAAATATTGCTACAAAAATGATATTTTAGCATTTTCAAACATCTCGCAACAGTTTGCAAACGGGAGGTCAAGCGCGTGTCGCGCATAACACGCTGTGCGAAGCATTGTTGCAGGATAATGGGTTGAAATGTTGAGTGCATTTGACTGAGCCTCAAGAAAAAATTTTCCCGCTCAGGTTACTTTTATTTCACACGCGTTATTGAAAACCCCCAAAAATACACCAGCTTCGCCGGTTATACTTCAATTTACCCCCAAAAAGGCTTTCCATAATTTGAAGAGTGTGTAGATCCCTCTTTCCAGAGGGATATGTGCACCATATGATAACTTTTTTGTTATTCAGTAGTGATCCCAGTTCTTTGAACTTGTCTAGAACAGAGAGAGTATGAGATTTTTAAAGATTTACACGGCTCTAGGTTTCCTTGATCTCTCAGGAACGAAAGTGAAATTTTACGAATGGAATGAACAAATGAGATGGGAATGGGACCAGAAGAGGACTGGGCACCAATGTATCGCTCGGCCGACACGTTGCTTCAAAACATTGCTTCGTCGGTCTGATGAGTGTAGCGATATGCGGCAACGAACTCAAACATCAGTAATTTCTTTAGTTTTTCTTTTTATCTGCGTTAGATGTTTTAATCCTTTTGACGAGGGGCAATATGATATTAATTGGGGTGGACCGGTATCATTGCGAGAAGGACAAGTCACAACGGTGAGTTGGCATGATAAATGCTCACTACTGTAAATCGCTTGTTCTGTATAACAATTGAGCAACTGTTTTGTAATATTTGCCACAAAATCTGCTACCTTTTGTCAAGATCATGAAATAAATTCCTGTAAGCAACAGTTCCGGCCTAGTACATCGAACAGTTAGAAATATTTACCGAAAGAGCCTAAGTTTTAGAATATCAGATGGAAACGGTGTTCTGTATATTTTTTAAGCTTTGGATCTGAGCTTAAATAATATCCTACCGGCACAGAAACGTTATGAATGGAATCTTTTATCATTTTGTAAATCCTAGGAGATAGTCTTTGGCATCAAATTGCTTCAAATAATTAGATGGAAGCGAAGAACTGCCAAAAGTCAGGAAGAATCTTCCAAACGACGCATTCAAAATTGTCCCAAATATTCTTATTCTTAGCTTGAAATACACAGATTGGAAAATGTTGTCATGTCCCATTGTGTATTTGTTTGTAGCAGAAGATATTCTTTGATACATTGATTATCAAATTTATATACAAGTATTTAATCTATCTACAATTCACAAAATCAACAGTAAAATTGAATAGAAATTTTCTGATATCAACCAGTGTCAATTGGATTTAAACTAAAATCTATAGTATGGTTGAACAAATACATGCATTGAAATGTTTTAATGGGGTTTGCCATTCATCACATCAGTAGGAAGAAATTTAACGTTGTCTCTGTGTCTGTAAGATACCATGCACCAGGACTGTAGGTAGGAAATGGGCCTGCTGGCTGAAATTTCAAATGAGGCAGCTTAAAGAAGGAACTTTGCGGCTTCTATTATTATGCTTTACCGAGCAATCACTGGAAAAAATCAAGCTGGAGATTGCTGCTTTTTCGTTCAGTCAATTTAGATGGCAGCCATGGCTTAGCAACAATCTTGCTTATACACTCATGAAATGAGCCAGTTTATCAATATTTCTTTCCATGTGCCAGTTTAAACATTCTCATACTCCCCAAGCTCATATTCTGAGCTAAATGGCAGCCAAGGCATAGCAACAATCTTGCCTGGATACTTATGAAATGAGCCAGTTTTTCTTGTACTGAACATTGCTTTGCCTTCCACGCCTCATGCATTGGGCATGCACAACATTACTGTGGATCAAAAACATCATCACAGGTACACAGGAAAATTTTGCATGCATGAATCAGGTGAAAGAAATTTTTCAAACTGGTCGAGCAATCCTTTTACCTGTGTAATTTTCCACAATTTATTACTGACACAGGGATAAGAGGTACCACAGGCAGTCTATTTGACTGGTTATTGTCGTTAAAGGAGAGTTCTAACATATTACTTTTTGCTAAGTGATTATAATGACTTACCTATAGATAGTTAAATGAGGTCTCACCTAAACTGCCATTTTACACAAGCAGTGGGCTGCAGGTATTCTTTATGAGAGGGTTGATTTAATGAAATAGTCATGTTCCTTCCACTCTTAGCTTTTGACCCTCTTGAAACTAGTCACAAAAAGAAATGTTCAGATTAAAGGTTCAGCTAAATTCAAGATAGTTAAGAATGTGGTTTTGTTAAGCAATGGCTAAACTTTATTTAAATAGCTGGCTCATAATTGTTTGAATGAATGAAAAATTAATTGAAGGAATATCTCATTGCCTTCAGAATGGTGAGGATTTCCTAAGCAGTAGAGAGTCAGTGGTAATGATAACAAAGGATAATGAAAAATACAGATGTATACTACCTAAAGATGAAACACTTAATGAGGTAAGTTGATTTAACATTGGACTACCTGTTGCTAATTTCTGAACCACACGATGTGATTATACTGAAGAGAATTTGGTTTTATCAACTGGGTTGATAATGTAAATTGACCTTGGTAAAAGGGTTTCTAAAATGATTTTTTAAGAGTCATTTTCTTTGACATAGAGCTAAATAATGGTTATTAACCTTTTACACCCTAACATCAATATACTTATTCTCCATACTGTTCTTTATACATTTCCTAAGGTGTTGACAAGGAGAATTTGTTTACCAATCAAATGCTTCTCTTGTTGGTGATCGTTTCCTTTATTCTCATGACCCAATGTGTGATTCAAGGATGAGACTGTAAGGAGAAATTTCATGCTGATCACTCTTAGGGGTCACGGGGTTAAATTATTCAAAGAGTGAGCTTTTCTGTAGGAGATTCAGCCAAACTATATGTTGACTTTTTAATTTGCATTATTTGTAGAAAAAATATTTGTACAATGAACCAGATCCAGAGATACTTTTAGAGTCTCTTTTAAGGAGAGGAGAGTGCTCATACAGGGTGAGTTCTGCCCTCTAGCTGTTACACATTACCTTGTCAATTAGTACATAGAATTTGTTCATAGATCATGATAACAACTTCTACCTGTCAGGTAAATAAGTTATAAGTTTGAGTAATTTCTCATGTACAATGGTGTACATCAGTCATAAGAGTTACAGGGTTAAATTTGTGACTAAAATTTTACTGCTGGCAATCATTTCCTGCCACCAAGGTTCCAAAAGGAAATAAAGATTTTTTTTTTAATTCAGGCTCTACTTCTAATGATATTTGTTTTGATTTGTTTTTGTTTTGTTTTTTTTTTGCTTTTGCCTTGTAGTTAGATTCATATTGGACATATGAACTCTGTCATGGAAGACATGTCAAACAGTTCCATGAGCTTAAAGCTGGTGTACAGGTTTGTAAAATCTTTCTTTCTCATAGAAAATTTTTGAACATTTTCTTAGTTTAAGTAGACATTCTCTATGATTATTTTTGAAAGAGAAGTATGCTTTTGATTAGTTTTCATTTCTGCCATTGAATACCATAATGAAATTATGATGGGCTTCATTTTGAGATTCAAAGGAGTAGCCTTAGCTGTTGAAAATTTTTCTTCAAGTGCGCTAAAAATTTTGACTACTGTTATTTATCATTTTAATTTTGCTCAGCTGTCTGACTCCTCATTTATGAAGCAACCAAGGCTTCCTTTTTTTCCATCTCATCCAAGCAATCTGTTCTCATAAATAAGACCCACCCAAATGGCATTCTTGCTTCAAATGATGAATTATTTTTTTTCAATGACCAGTGCTAATGTCATTCCTACTATTTTTGATGTAAGGCTCATAATGCCAGGTCACTAAGTTGATTTCATAATGGACTCTTCCAAGTTTTATTTCTGAATGGTCATGCTCAAAATGCACCTTAACCTTCTATACCTTATCATGAGTATGCATTTCTCCATTCTGGTCTCTTTGCATTTTCTCAGTTACTGACCAAGATAATATGTTTAACAATCAAGAGCCTCTTTATTTGGTGATCATTTCCTTTATTCTCCTGACCTTGATGTTTGATTAAGGGGTGATATTAGGAGGAGAAATTAGAACTCTTAGGGGTCAAAGAGGACAATCTCATAGAAACCCAGCCAAGAGGAAGGCTGACTGTTATTCTTTTTCCATTTACCTGTCATGTATTGCATGGTTTTCTTTGTACTGTATGCATGACCTAGAGCACTTTACTTTTTAGGATTCAAAAGTGCAGGAATATTACTTAGGAAAACTTGAACCCAAGATCCTAGACAAGAAGTCCTCAGGTACAAACATGTGTGGATGTAATTATTTTATCCCAGTAAATTGGCCATGAGTGAGTCCCTAAGATCCTCATCTTAAAATTCAAGCTAAATGCAAACCTTTTCTTGTGAGTTTGGTTGATTTAACCCTTAACTGACCACCAGAAGTGATTAACATGTTACTTCTCCCAACATTATCCAGCCATTATCTAGCAAACAGATGACGAGAATACTAAAACTTATCAGACCTGTACAAGTTGCTATCTTGATCTAACACCAAATTTTTGTAAAATGAAGAGTGTCTCAGCAAGAGGGGAGAATTAACTATTACATCTTGAGAGTTAAATGGTTAAAAGCAAGGCTTTGGTAAACTTCAATATGGCATAATGTGGACTGCCTCATTTTATTTTGTTATCTCAAATTTGTTTGTTTGTGTTAGGGTAGGAACAAACAGGTGAGCCTGTTTTTTTTAATCCTTCCTCCCCTCCCTCCCCTCCCTTTCCCACCCCATCCTCCAATGTAAACTATGTTTTCCATACAAACCTATAGCTTGATTTGGCATTGTGGTGTTCGCCTGGCTCAGAACTGTCGCTTTTGTTCAATTGTTTTGACTTACTCTGACTTCTGAATAAAGGGGGTAAGTTTTTTAAAAAACTGTGGTGCTGCGTCGGTGGGAGAGTATAGCAAGTAATTTAGTGTTAATAACTGAGTTGAAAATGTAAATGGGCCACCGCTAAGAGTGAATAGGCTGACGTTTCGAGCTGACGAAGGGCTAACGCTCGAAACGTCAGTCTGACACTGACTTCTGTTCTTGAGTATGAGTTTTGTGTTTATATGTTCATCTGTTGGATTGAAAATAATGTTGGATGCTTGTCTTTCAGGTGATCCCAAACCTTTAGATTCGCCTCCTATGGAAGCAGAAGATCCTAGCAAGATTGTAAGTTAGAATTGTGCCATACTAAAGGAACTAGTTGAGGTTTGCTTTCATGCTCAATTTTAAGTGTGGATAACTAAAATAAGTGCATTGTCACAATTTCTTAATAAAATCAGTTTCATTTCACCTTTGAATGAAATTCGAGCGAAGAAATACTCCTCTCAGGTGGACTGCAATTTTAGAAGTTGCAGAAAAGAAGCCTGAAAAAATCCAGGCTTCGACGGAATTCGAACCCGTGCCTCCTCGATATTAGTTGAGCGCTACAACCAACCGAACTACGAAGTCACACGCTGGCAGAGTGGCAAATCTCAGAGGGTTTGTCTTTCTCGTAAAGAAATCTTATCGCAATTTCTCCAGGCTTCTCGAATTTCTTATCCAGCGGATAAGTGTTAACAAAATGTACTGCGCTTTCCATCAGAAAGAAATTTGTCCAGTGGATAGTGTGAACCAACCTTCAAACAACTGGGGCCTGATCTGCCACGTTCTGTGGATCTCACTGTTTTACTTTAGTTAATAAGGCTCTTTAGATCAGAGAACTATCTGATGCCAATGGCGAACTATCTCGCTGGCGTCAACAATGACCTCGTAATGGACGAACTGATCATACTACTTGGTCACTGATTGATTTACTTTTTCATCACTATTGCCAGATTCCAACTCGCAAGATCAATGGTCAAGTGTTTCCTTACTACAAAGTGATCATGGATAATGGCACCGCTTGTGATCTGCTCGGCAATAAACCCCGAACAACAAATATAATTTACATGTGTGCACCGAGGTCAAGCAACGAGGTAAGACATTGAGGCAAATTTGTCCATACTACGCTAGATGCATTTGAAAACGACTTTTCTTTCTTTTTTTCCGGTAAACGCAATTTAGTGTCTTAGGTTCTTGTTATTATTATCATTAATTACGATTAATTTTACAGTTGATGAAAATGAATTGCGATTGTAAATTGGAACCCATGTTCCTGAATGAGAACGAAGCAAAATAGCAGAACGGGCCAATGATAGATAAACACGAAAAGTGATTGCCCGAAGCGCGGGAAAACGCGGGTGACCAAGTCGCGACAACTTGTAGTTTTATTTACATCTGATTGGCTGAGAGGATGACGCGAGTTGTCAAGGCTAATCACAGACCATGATGACGTTTACTCGAAAACTGATGTCAAATGGTTTTCTTGGTTCAGCGTAGCTGTAAGCTGAAAATAGCTTGGGTTAAGGACTGAAAATGACCGTAATTGTAGAACAAAGAAAATAAATAGAGGGATAAAATACCGAAGGAAGTAGAAAACAGAAAACTATGGGTGCTCTGTTTCAGTTCCAAAGATTTGTTTTTTTCCCCTAAACTTTATTAACAAATTAGGACTCTTTTTCAAAAGTTGTCACGTGGGCGAATTATCATGTTGTATTTATCAACGCACACTTTTCTTTGGAACCGATTACTGGGTGCTTGTTTATCGTCCCGATGGATCTTCGTGGCTCTTTTTATTATTTTATTTATTGTTTATCGCAGTTCGTGGCATGTCAATGTGCGCGTTGGAACCTTTTTTTCTTTTTCTATCTTTTATTTTTTTTGTAAATTAACGGCTTAGTACCTTGTGATCTTTGCCATGGCTGCCTGTCCTCAACAAAACCATATGTGCTTAAAAAAGTTTTTTTTTTTTTAATTTTGGTTAGTATAGAATAAAGGACATCGGAACATATATTATAACTTTAAACGGTTACGCAATTGCATTTAGTTTTGCAACAATTGTAGAATCTCTGAGTAGACGATGCTGTATTTGGTTCAATGTAGATTTTGCAATCGCCATTTTCAGTAGTCTTTTCTTCACTATCTGATGTCACGGTCTCGTCTTCCTGAACTTCTGTTTGTGTTCGTTTCGATTGTTCGTATTCCTCAGCAGACATTTCAGGTGTTGGCTTTGGTGTTGTTTTGTCAAAGGACGATAAGTCCGTCTTCATCGCGTCGTAGAGGGAAATGTTGCAAAACTTCTGACCCCAAAGAATTTCATCCGCCAAGTAAGAAGTTTTAGCCTGGATAACACTACCTGTTGATTCCACTACACCTTCTAACACAACGATGAATTCCATCCGGGAATTCGCCAGCTGTTGAGGCCCAATTTTGTACAGCGGACTTTGCTTGTCAATGACATGCACTACTGTCAGAGGTATCAGCAGAAACGGCTTGATGAGCTCGTCACTCTCCTGTTCATGCTCGATAGTGATCGGAATTTTTCTTTGAGACTTCAACACTTCGTGTCCATTTTCGTCGGTCTTAAAGCGAAAGCAGTGGAGAGAGATTGTCGCGTCTATCAGTTGGCTCTTACGCGCGTCAGCAACCCGAAACATTAATGCCAACTGGTCGTTGTGTAGCTTCACGACTGCACACTCCGAGAACAGGACCATTTTGCTCCTGGGATTAGCGCGGGAGAGTTTTGCGAAAAAAAAGCCAAGGAGCGACGTAGTTAAGAGGAAGCCAGCGAGAGACTGGAGAAGAAGGCAGACCACGGCCTCAGGGCATTGAGGGGTTATCTGAAGTAAAACAAGAAAAGAAGAGAAAAGTTAAAAAATATATATTTATTCGCGTAAGTTTTACTTGTTTGCGTAATGTGTTTTTCACGACTTTGTCGATTGCGAGACAACACTGCATGGCTCAATATCTTGTTTCAGATATTAAGTAGGACGAATTTTGTAAAGAGTGGAAAAAGTCCTTGATTCTCAATTTAATTAAAATGGCCGGAAAGTTTTATTGTTTAAATTTTAAAACTATGTAGACCCTCATCTTGAATTAAAACAGGACAGCTCTACGGGCTCGCTAAGTTACCGAGACCTTCGAGAAATGGTTCCCTGGCCGGGTCAAATTGTTGTGTTGTTGGGCAAAACGTTTTACTATCACGATACCTCTCTCCACCAAGGAGTATAAATGGGTATCGGAATCGTGATGAAATGCTGGGGAGTTACTTTGTAAGCATGCTTCAGGGGTGGGGGAAGGGAGCAGGGATACTCCCAGTCACTTCATGCTTCAGAAACTGGGTTATACTCCGACTGGATGTGTCGCTAGGCTCGAGTACAGACTGATTGAGACTTGTAGACCTTTTTACAACAAGAGAATTATGCGGTGTGTTTGTAGTGGTTTTTCGACCAGTACCGGACGAAGATGAGCAAAACAAAAACAATCCTGAACCACTTTTGACACTGAATCGGATGATACTTTTTATCACTTACAGTCCGCTTTTTGTTTCAACAGGTTCATCAGTACTTAAAAAGGACACTTAAGTTTTAAGTTCATCCTCGGCAGATCCTCGGATTGGCGCATGAAACGCTTATTTAAAATTCTCATTTCATTTGTCCAAATCGTGGCAAGATATAATATTTGTTGTTGTTGTTGTCGTTTTTATATATATATTTTTAATTGTTTCTTCCTTTTCGGATTGCAAAATTTGCGCGTAAACAGCGACATAAACTTTGTGTTCATACACAACGCTTATCGTAAGCACACGTGATGGGCGGGGGAGGGGGGGTGCTGCTCCCCTCGGGCATGTCTCGCCCCTCGTGTTCGCCTCGCGCCTGCTTCAATTCGCATGAAAATGCAGGAAAGAGGAAGGGGAAGAACAAGAGCGCCATACCTGTCGACCGCCATAACCAATAGTAGTCTGCGTTTCCACAGAGAGTAAGAAAGCAGAGGTCCATGAATCAACATTGTCCACGCAAGTGACCCCACTATCGAACCGAAATCGGAGCCAAAAGATCGCAAACCAAACTGTGCCGAAAAATGCCCAGCTGAAGATGAAAACAACCAAGTACATCCCAATCACCAAACACCAATTAGCCTCGACGAAGGTCGTGAAAAAATCACTCATGGTGAGCTTTTTCTTCTGAGGTACTCTGGAGGGCTGCAGAGTCACTTTGCCACTTTTTTGCATCAACCGATTGGCCTTTGATGGGAGAGTGTAACTCTTTGTTAGCGAGAAATCTGAAAAGATAGGGTAAAAAGTTATGTAAATTTTTTAGAATTGTTTCTGGAAGAAATGCTCGCCGAAGTTGGGCTGGGTCTGCATGCCACTTATCTCTCCAAAATGCCTCGAACCTCTTGCTCTTCTTCAAGTTGCACAATTGAAAGTATTTCTAGTTGAACTCGTGAAAAGGAAAGAAAAGAAGAGAAAAGAAAGACCCAATGATAAGAAAAATAAAACAAAGGAAAACGACTTTATTTGCGTTTTTCCGAATAATTTTCTTTGAGACGTTTCCAGGAGGACTCGCTTTCATGTACTCGATCCAGGTCCACTGGCTAGCGTCCAAACACATTAAAGGTTGACTTGCCAGACGTTTCACTTTATTTCCAGCTATTAACAACTCTCTCACTGATTCAACTCACCTCCTCTCACACATGCTACATTACTATGAGAGAATTGTTTTTCTTACCTGGATAACTGAGATCACGACAATCCAATTTTCTTTTGGGTATCGGTTTCATACTGTACGCCATAACTGCAGAAAAATTATACCGTATTTATATTACCCCAAAACTGTCTTTATATTATCGTTGTTTCAGAAATTTTAAAATCCTAGACTGTCATCTATTACAGTTTTGTTGACAGTAAAGCAGGCAAGGAAAGTTAAGGTTCTCTTCCGTCAAGGAATTAACGTTAAACGTTTTCGTTAAACTTACTGATGCTATACAGCCATTGAAGCAGTTAAAAGTGAAAGAGAACTTTAAGCGTGACATTGTGGGTACAATTCCAGCATGAAGTCAAGATGAAGTAGTGAGCTAAGATCTTGGCCACATCTGTACACTTCTACTGGCTAAACGTATGTAGTTTTTCCTTTGAAGAGGTGCACTCTATTGTACTCGAGTCGTGAGTTACAGTTTATCAATACGGTAAAACCGCCCTTTGCAATAGATTTCTATAAAAGTCGGTTATTAGCGGTCTACCGCCGTCTGTTTAGCCTGCGAGCTGCCTCTCTCGCTGGGGTTTCGCCTTATGGCCACTATTATGGCACAGTCGCCTATCATACCTTCGGCAACCATTGAACCCCTACCTTTGGGGAGACGTGCAATCGAGTGCTTCAAGAAAACGTTACTCGCAATCCGGCGATCCTGACTTTGACTCCTTCGCTATGCTCGTAAAGAACAAACTGGTGCTCCTCCTAACTGTTACTTTAAAGCCAAATATTTATCATTGAAAGTTTTGCTCAGCCTAACGAGCGTTTATGTTATGAATGCTGCCGATGTAAACGCCGGGATTACTTACTTGAATTTACCGTTCAGAAGTTCGACTTACCACGTTAAACGAGAAGATGACCGATTCACTTTGATGACGATCAGAGGAAAAGAAATATTTGCTTGTAGATGTAGGACTGCTGCTGCTTTTAGGAGAGAGTAAAGTTGAATAATAGAGTCATTTCAAGCAAGGTCGTACTTTAAAAGCGTTTGTGATCCGAAAGTGGAAGAAAGTTAAACTCCGCTGTCAAGTAATGTTGAATACAGAATTAGATGGAATCAACGTGGTCGGAATTTTACGGTGAATAACAGTGAAATCCCGATCTAGCGCCGGATGTGACGACACACTTTAACAAATACGTTTGTGCCTGAAGAAAGAAGTTCTAGTGTTGGAAGACCTGAGTAATTTTTTTCTATATATACACGATTAAGCTGAGCCAAACATGGATTAAATTTTTACTGAACCCTTTAACACCAAATAATGACTAGCATCTAATTTCTCCTTACAATATCACCCCTGAATCAAATATAAAGGTCATGAGAGTAAAGGAAATTATCATTTACTAAAAAAAGCTGTTGATTGTTAAACAAATTCTCCTTGTCATCGCCAAAGGAAACACTAGTTTGTCCGTGTTAAGTTTCAGCGTGTGCGTTTTTCTGACGTTCAAGTAAATCCCACGTGTTTCTTTTTCGGGTTTATTATTCCCTCGTTCACGTTCATGTCGAAACCGAAAAACTTAGTGGTGTAATCTTTCGAAATTCAGAAGCTTAGAACAATGTCTTTTTTGTAAAGTCGAACAAATAAACTGTGAACGCAAGTGGTTGAGGCGTTTGTTTATATTTTGTGTTGCAAAACATATTTTCGAATAGTTATAGCGCGCCTCTGAGAGCTGTCAACTTCTATTCCCGTCATCTGCGTTGTAACCTTCCCCTCAAGCTACTCTACAGCTCTTTGAGAATGAATAATGTTAATGTTAAATTAAGATAACACCCCAAAGCTGATAAGTTTGTATTTTCTAATGATCCGTTCGCAGGTTGTGTTAACATTTTAAACACACGGTTTTTTCTAAAATTCTCCTCCAAGAATTGTAAGGCTGAAAATAGAAAAAAATTGCTTTATCAACTGAGTTGGTAATGTAAATTGGCCGCTGTAAAGAGTTCAGCTCTAAAGCTGACGGTTCGAGCGTTCGTTCTTTCGATTCGTTCTGACGAAGGGCCAACTCTCGAAACGTCAGCGTTTGAAACTCTTTACGGTGGCCAATTTACGTTATCAACTAAGTTATAAAAACCAATTAGGCCATTTTACAGTTGGGCACTTAGTCGCGAAGCCTTTGATTTGGAGTGAGGCTGAAGGTGACCTTGTTGTGATAAAGGTCAGTATCTAGTTAGCATGATAACAAAGTAATTTACATTTGAAAAGCAGCAAGGTTTGTATCATAACAAGGTCACCCTTAGCCTCACTCCTATTCAAAGGCTTGGCAACCAAGCACACAACTGTAAATGGGCTATTGTCTTGTAACACACCCTCCCCTCCCCCCTAATCGACGCATCACCATAGTTGTTTTTAGAAATTTACCTCCCTTTAAAAATAGAGTCCAACCTCTGGAGTCCTTATGTGGAAGTTCTGCACCGCAACTTAACAATACTAAATCATGTTCTTGTTTCGATCATCAGATTATTTCTGTCAAAGAGATCCATACCTGTCACTATGAGGTTGAAGTGTTCACGCCACTTATTTGTGCCAACCCAGCATACAGGTTTGTTTCTACTTTATCTTTCGAATGAGACTTCGATGGTCTGTATCACGAAAGTCTGAAATTGTTAGAGAACGGTCATTATTTATCGCGCAAGGGGGTAGGGGAGGGGGAGGGGGAAAGGATTTTGGTTGTATCACGATAACATTTGCCCGACAAAGCTCTGTAATATTTTAAAAAATTCCCACCCATGATTGGCAGTTAATTTTCGGTTGTTCCTTCTTTGGCTTTGAATAGCAAAAAAATGATAAAAAGATGAAACAAGATCAGTAAAATTATAATTTGCGAAGTAAGAAAAACACAAGAGGTACAAGGTTACCAGAATGAAACGGGAATGGTTAACCCTAGGACCTTTAGAGTGGCTGGCGTCTAATTTCTCCTTACAATATCACTCTTGAATCAAGCTTAAAGGTGATGGGAGTAATAGAAATGATCACCTATTTAGGAAGCTTTTATTTTATCACAAATTCTCTTGTCAATACCTCAGGAATTGTAAAGAGATTAGTGTGGAGAATATGAAGGCTTATGTTAGGGTGTAAAGGGTTAAGAACCAAGAAGAAGAGCGCAGATTGCAAATTGGATGCGTAAGTCATTACACAGCTGCTTGTAGATATGTGCAAAATATTGCCGACTCGTTTTATTGCGATACAACTATGGCACTGCTCCATCAGTACTGTTTTAAGCAAGTGGAAAGTGATGTTTGTCGTTGCTGTATATAATTCTAAGTTCCTCTTTATTTTTTTCAGTTATCGTGAAAAGCCTGTGCATCATATAAGTTGTCACTCGATGGAGGGTTCACCAGAGTGAGTAACCGTTGTTCTTAACATCTCTAATCAGAAGAATTTTCAATTCGATATCTTAAAGCGAAAGAAAGAAATCGCGGGGGTCCATCAGAAAAATCTCAAATGGAGCAATTTTTATTTGAGTTTTGAAAGTTATCCATGTGTTCCTTAAGTTTTGCGTACTTCCGCTCTGTGATTGGCCTAGAACACTCGCGCCACTCTCTAAGCCAATAAGATTTAAAAGTAAATCTAATTCGCGTTTTCCCGCCCTTCAGGCAGATTGCTTTGAGTTCTTAGTGGCCACTTCTGATATTTTTCTTAACTCTGAGTGGCTGTTTTGATAACTATGATTTTGGTATTTGGATACTGTAATTATAAACTAATCAAGACTCGAAGTAGAAAAAACGGAAACTGCCGGAAGCAGAACGAAACGGGAGTCACGAAGTTGCGCTTAGACATAGTTTTGTGCATTTTCTTCCCGTTCAAACGGGGGTAAATTTTCAACGCTGCAGATTTTTAAGGTAGGGAAAATACATGATGACACGGCAAATAGCAAATGAAAAATTTATGGCACTCAATTTTCAGGCAAATTTTGTGGAGCTAATTCCTATCGTGGCCATCGATTTTCATTGTGACATCATTGATTAGTAGTGTAACGTTTATGGAAAGAAAGATGAGTGTCCCTTCAAGTTCCTTCTCAAGATTAGGCCAGCTCTGTGTTCGCTAAAGTTTTCAGGTCTAGGAATGTTATCAATTACGGTTCTTTAATTATATTTGTAGTGAGCCCAGAAGTTATTCTGAATTGATGGAGGAGAAATTTAGTGTTGAGGGATTCTTGGTAAGAAAACTGATTATAATTAGCCAGTCATTAGTGTTCACCGAGTATTGCCGCGTATAGGTGTTTCAAATGTTTTAAAATATTCGTAGTGAGATTTGTTTGTTTAATCCTCCTATAACTTGTTAAAAGGTGTTTCCGTTTTTTTTATGACCCATTTAACAAGTGAAACAAATATTCGGCGGTTTTCCCTTTTGTGTCAAGGTCCAAAGTCTTTCACTGGCCTGTTTTACTCCTGAGATCGCTGGCTCAACTACTAACAGAGAACTCCTGTCCAGAGATGGAACACCTCTGGTTAGAGATTCTCGGCCGAAACAAGTACAGCAAAGCGTTGGTGGGCGTGATTTATAATTCTGAACGTATTCTAAATCCATCTAGCTGGTTAGATAGCCTCAAGAGTTTGCTTGGTCATCTCAAAGTGTCATGGGATGGCATGCTAATCCTTACAGGCGATATCAATATCGACATACTTAGTCCTCTCCACTACCTTACAAAAAGGTACCAGACCATCCTTTATGTCTTTGGATTAACGCAAGTGGTGACGCATCCAGCAAGAATTACAAAGACAGCGGAAACTCTTATAGATCACCTTATCAAAAACTACCCACAGAAGGTTACGGATAGTAAGAGATCACGACGCCATCTACGCTTGCATCAAGCGGTTTTAACACAAACGGGATATGAAAAACTTCAAAGAGGAGTCTCTTGTTGAGGATTTCTCTACGCTCCCCATGTTCATCATATCATATTCGGACGATCCAGACGAACAATTAGAGACCCTCAACTCCCTGATTCGAGAATGCATAGAGAGACACGCCCCGTTAAAAAGGATACGTGTTACTAGGCCATCAGCGCCTTGGACGAAATGTTCCAACATTAGAGACCTACAAAAGGAGAGAGACACAGCCAGATATGAGGCCCACAGTACCCCTTCTGTTACAAAGTGGGACTACTTTCGTTCAGTAAGGAACAAACTGAAAGCTGCTATCCGAACTGCCCGTAAAACTTTTATTGAGAAAGCGCTTTACTCAAACAAGTCAAGTGAAGTATGGAAGGTCATCCACAGAATTCTTAAGCCTAGCCCAAAGCCTTTGTGTTTCAACCCTGATGAGCTGAATGGTCATTTCACGTCTACAGCGCAAAGAACTCTTAACATAAATGCGACCTCCTACGTTTAGCTGACGGAACTGATAGAAAATCTCCTCGATGATTTGGATGACCATACTCGATTCCACATTTCTCCTGTTACTAGAGAAGAGGTATTCAAAGCGATTAAAACCTTAAGGTCCGATTGTTCCACGGAAGCTGTTCAGATTCCACCTACATTCATAAAGCTAGTGGCCTGACCACTTGGCGGGCCCCTTCACTAGGATCATTAACGGTTGCATAACTGAAGCATACTTCCCAAAGCTTTGGAAGATCGCCAGAGTGTCGCTTATATCCAAAGTAGACAACCCAACGACCAATAACGAACTAAGACCAATCTCGATATTACCGGTGTTGTCTAAGGTGTGCGAAAGGTTGGTCGGCTGGTAGATGTCGGAGCTCGCAAATAGCGCCTCTCTTCTTCGTGATAACATTTCCAGTTTCCGTAAAGAGCACTCTACCACTACTGCCCTTCTTGGAGTAAGAGATGACATAAAGCGCTATGAAAAGGAGAGAGGTCACCTTGATGGTTCTCGCCGATTTTTCTAAGGCTTTTGGTACGGATACGGTTTGTTTCAAGACGACGCTAAAGAAATTCTACAAACTCGGCTTCTCCAAAAACTATTTAAAATGGCTCCTTTTTGTTGCGCGGGGTTAACATCCACATCTGCTTTAGCATATTCAGTTTTCCGCTGCCAGCTTTGTCACGGGTCACTATGTGAAGTCTGTGAATACTCTATTTAAATTGGGCTGGTTTCCAATGAGAGAGCGTAGGGACTGGTATTTAATTAAAGAAGCACACAAAGCCTTGTATGATGAACATTGGCCCAGGAATCTGAGGCTTGAAGCTGGCGGTAGATGCTTACGTTCCAGCGAAACTATTCACCTTAAAATACCACTGGAGGCAGGCACATTTCAAGACTGTGCCGCTAAGCCTTTTAACTCCCTCCCAGCTTCAGTGAAATCCTGCCCAGACTTTAATACCTTTTCAAAAGAAACTCATAAAATTTCAAAAGCCGCAGTAGATATTTCTTAGAGATACGCATGTATATATTATTATAAGTAATCCTGATTTATAGCTTTTTTAATTTTATTTTATTGTTATACCCAATTTTATGTTTGTATATTTCTTTGAGGAATATCTCGTAATAATCGTGTCGTGGCCATTATGAATTTTTTTTCCTCAAGTATTACATTCACATGGCGCTGGGTGATATGGCTTAACGACCTTAGCAGCTACACTGAAATGACTTAATTCTTTGGTTTTATTTCCTTGAAAGCCTCCAGAAGACGATGACAAGTCACCAGTGCCAGCAGATGAACACAGAAAAATTTTACCCCAGCCTGACAATCTGCTGACTGCATCATTTCTAAGTGGAGATTACTGTCTTGTTGGTGTGAGTACAAAGCAGACATACCTGAGTGAGCTTTGCAGATACGTACAGGAAGGCCATCATTATTAGTGTTACAGGACGCGCTTTTCTCCGCCCGCAGGAAGATCTGAGACTAGTCGGGTACTTTCCCAATGGTGACGAGACGCTCGTGCTGAAGTGCTTATAATTAGGGCCGTCCCGTTTTCTACTCTTTACGAGAAGTGCGTGGATTCTTTAACGTCCCCTGCTAACCAGTACCCAGATGTAGGGGACGGGGCCTACGGCTTATCGTCCTTACTCGCGAAGGCTAGAAAGTCTAACCTTTTTGCAAATGTCATAGCGAAGGCAGCATATTCCCATCAGTTATTGTAAGACCCTGAGTGTTAGTCCGGTGTGGGACGAATTTTGGTCATCTATTCATAGAAAAAGATTACAGCGCAATTTACCTGTGAACTGAGAAACAACAGCGAGTCATTTAGAAGTCAAATTGAACACACGTAACTTACTTTAAACTTGGGAATATGTGAGAGATCAAGTCGCAACAAGTTTTGCACCTGATTGCGGGAAGGGGCGGGTAGTTTACTCAGAGCCACTTGAAGCAAATGCACTTCCAGGTTGCTTTAACCCCTCCACTATTACGAGTGACTAGCATCTAATTTCACAACGTAATAAAACATAAAGGTCACGAGAATATAGGAAATTACCACCCATTCATGAAGCTCTTCATGGTTAAACAAATTCTCCTTTTAATACCGTGGGAACTGTACAGAGAATAGTATGGAGAATGTGCATACTGATGCATACTGATGTTAGGGTGTTTTTCGCTTGGTGTTTCTTTTTAGGGAGGGTCTGGCTGGTGGAAATATGAGTTTTGTTACGGCAAACAAGTGACGCAGTTTCACCAAGAGGTAGGGAACGTTTTTGACACAAACTAAACGGAGAGATATTGCAGCATTTTTAAAACAGTTCTTCTGCCTTTTTGGACATTGGAGGTCGTGTGGTTAGGGTGTTAGGCCAGTAATCTGATGGCTCTAGGTTCATTCCTTTTACCCTGCTACTTATTTATAATTGCATTTTGTTCTCTTTGCACCAAGTTCAACTCCTTGGCTTTATGTAGCCTAATGGTCTACCTCCTGCCAGTTGGGATTTTTATAACACACGATGGTCTGACCATTTATGTAAACTTTAGTCGTTGTTCAACAACACTACGTTCTAAACTGTGTACAATTTAGCTGAACCTTTTATCTGAACATTTATTTTTTGTGAACCGTGTCAATAAAGCCGAAGGCTACACTGGAAGGACATTTAGTTAATTAAATCAATCCTCTTATAAAGAATACCTGAGGCCCGTTGCCTACATAAAAACCTTACTCTGGGTTGGACCTCGTGTAAATAGCCGGCAATGTTGGGTTCCAGTTTGTTTGTATTGGCTCTGAACTGAAAATCCCCATTGGGGGAGAGGCCAATTAGGTATACATACGTTGTGAATTGATGAATGACTCATTTTATTTTATTTTGTAGGCAAATGGTCCCAGAATAAATATACTTCTCGGAAAATGGGTGGAAAATGTATGTTGTTGTCTTGAAATGTTTAACTTGTACAGTTTGCATTGGCTAATTAAGCATGAATGAAATTCCAGTCATTTAGGGAAATTTATTATATGCAAAATAAAAAAAAAAGCAAATAGAATATCTGTACTACCCTGAAACAAACTTAGACGTAATCCTTACAAGAGTCCTCCCCAATTGATCACTCCTATTTAATAATCCGTTCACCATCTTAAATAAGATGCATGCCTAAGATGCATGCCTAAGGCTGTGCTAACGGCTCGACCTTTTGCATATCGATTCCCCTCTTTCACTCGTTCCAATGCCTTGCATATCCAACGGTAAAAAGATCTGTTTTGAATTACAGGCTCATATCAGCTGGAAGAAAGATAAATGGGCAGGTGACGGGTAAGATATACCAGTTACATCTTCAAAAGTAAATAACAATTATTCACTGAAGTGGAGGCAAATATCCACCACTTTCACCGACACTGCGAGAAATAATGTTTTTATTTTTTTTATTTTATTTTTTTTTTACGGAATACACCACACAGGAAGCACCGAAATTAGTGTACTTCTTTTAATAAACCAGTGATTTTGTCTCTTCGGCTGCTCGGAGTTGAATGATACCTGTTACTCACTCCCGAACTGTTCAATCCGCGTGCGCTAACAGCACTATTCGCTTGTGTGGTATATACTAATCATAATTAGTAGTACATGAGAGCTGAGCCAGTTTACTAGTTAGTCCGCTGGATTGTTGACTTTTGTTTGTCTTTGGGTTTTTTTTCTCTGTTTTAGTGTTTTGTTTTGTTTGTTTGTTTGTTTTTTAATGGTTATACTAGTCACGGGCGCAAGGGAGACCTTTTTTTTAGGTAACGCTGCTTGAATTTGATGCTCTAAAGCTCTCATTTGAATGGTCACACCCAGTGGTCTGTCCAGCGGAGATCATCATAATCGTAAAACTAGAAAGCCAAGCTAGCACATGTCGTTAAGTTAACGATGGAGTCGTATTTGTAGGGTTAAAACATTTCTGGCGCTGTGTCGCATATTCTGTTTTCAGGTACATCGATCATTTTTACAGTGGAGGGGACGTTTGCGACTTAACTGGAAAACCAAGGAGTGTCATAGTTAGATTAAAGTAGGTGTAAAGCCTTCAAAGAGCCATTGAACGATTTTATGATGCATCGTAAGTCTTTTTAAGATGGGACAATAGAGACGTTACGGCGTTTTTTTTCGTCCTAAAGGAGCAAAGAGGTTTTCATATCGGTAGAGCTTTCGGTTTAATTTTTTTAGCAGTTATTGTGAATGGGTCAGTGGATCATGCGCAAAGGACCAATAGGTATAGAAACAAACATGATCAAAGAGACAGACAGACAGACAGACAGACACGATTGAAGGACGTAAGGCAGCTTTTCAAGGAGTTCAGTCAGTAACACGGGGCGAAATAGCAAACGGAGTGATGGTAGCAGAAGAGCAAGTGAAAATTCGAGGAAAGTCTGGGTCACGTGGGATTCATTACGCGACTCGACCTAAACCTCCCTCGGTTTTTCACTTCTCTGCTTCTCTAGTTAATAATTATCCACCGAAGTGGAGGTGAATAGTGAAATATCCACCACTTTCACCGACACTTAAATGAATAATTGTCTTAGTGTATACCACACAGATACCGAAAAAATATATAGCGAAAAGTAGTCGTAAATTAGACGCTTGACGCTCGATTTTGTCCCGTAGGCTGTTTGGAAGTGAACATTACTTGCTATTCAGTTCCGAATTAGCCAATCAATGCAGGCGAAAAGCATTTTCACTTGTGTGGTATATACTAATACTGTTTACTTTTGCGCTTCGTTTTACTAACTGAACGCTCGGAACAGAGTAGACGAGCAGACGTAACGACGGACGAGCCGGTGGACGAACAAACGTGTACGGAAAGACTATTAGTTTGAAGATCTGACAGGCAGACCGAGAGACAGCACTGGAACATATCAACAACAAGGTCTGGTAGTTAAAAGTAGCATTCGACCGCGCGATCGAAACTGGCTTGAGTTGGAACCCCCACAAACGTGACAATTGTGCAACATCTCACAATTTGACACATACTTGTTGCAGATGCAAGGAGTCGACACATCTACAAGAAGTTGCCCTTTCGCTAACGGAGCCAAGCACGTGTGAATATATTCTAAGGGTAAGATCGATAAACGTAAGGAAAAAAAATACCTGATTCAATTTTTAAGATGCCAGGTGTCAATTGTCTGCAACCTCATTTCAGGTGACCGCTTAATACGAATATTCAGGGGCCGGTTTTTCAAAAGGCGGTTAGCGGTAATCCAGGATTCAAAAAATTGATTTAACCTGTATTTCTCGTTAAATTTGGGGTATATAACGGCTCACGTTTTGAAGAGTTTAACAATAGTGTATAACAAAACTGAGGAAAAAAGTACAAATTGTTTTAAACTGTCTTTAAAGCAACAAAACTGAATCAAATATTGTTGGGTGACCGGATAGCTTAATCTTGCTTTGAACAACCTGGCCCAGGCCTTTATATTCAAGTGTAAAGTGGAAGACGCAATGGCCTATTGGTTGGACTCTGGGTTGAGAGGTCTGGGTTCGAGATCTGGCTGAGTCATTGTGTTGTGTTCTTAGACAAAACACTTGACTCTCCCTCTGTTTCTCTTCACCCATGAGTATAAACGGATAGTGGCGAATTGTCGGGGAAGCCGGATTAAATGCTGAGGGGTAACCTCGTGATGGACACTGGCATGCCAACCAGGGGGGAGAAGTGACGATCTTTGTTGCTTCATGCCATGAAATCCGGGTTAAGCTCCGGCTGGTTGAGACACTGGGCTTGAGTGCAGGCTTTACCTTACCATCTCGAGTGAAAAATTATGTCTGTCCTTATTTTACGTCTACTGCAGGTTGAATCTCCAATTATTTGTCCTCTCTTGGAAAAGATGGATGAACATGGATTATTTGTAGTGGAAAATTTGTGAAAAAAAAAAACCCGTCTGCCGATGAACGTCTTCATCCGAAAATACCAGCAAATTTCTTTTTGTGAAAATATAAGTGAGAAAGACAGTGTTTATCTATGAAAATCAGAACACCCTGTTTTCTGGGCTTAAGTATCAATTAATTAAAACTATTGCATCAGGGTCAACCAAAGAAGCATATGTAAATGAGGAACCAACTTTGGATGAACTCCGACGCTCCGCTTTGTTGGCTTCGCTGACCTCAATTTTAAGAACCATCACAAAACTGCTAGCCTGAAAGGTTACATAATGGTTCTATATCGTAAGGTATTTTCACGAAATTTGCTGAAACTTACGTTGGGCGGGTTTTCTCGCCAAGTGTCCCATAAACCGTTGCATTGCTCGGCTCTTTTGTTAAGAGAACAGAATCTTGTTCTGCTTGGTTTCTACGTTTCCTGTCTCAATAGCCTAAGTCCTCTTTTTATCGCTGTGAAAAAAATATCGCAATTATGCAAGGGGTTACAAAATATTACAAAGACAAGAAAACGCATCAAAAAGGTAGTGATATTAAGAGGAAGGAGTGATTGTTAAGGACAGAGAGGATTAAATCGGTTAACAAATACTTAGCCTCATTAGGTTTGGGTATTTTGTTTTCGTTTTGTATTATTATTATTATTATTATTATTATTATTATTATTATTTTATTTATCTATTTTGTGTGCGTGTGTGTGTGTGTGTATGTCTGTCATGCAATAACCGTGAACCTCAATATCGTAGTTGAAGACACTTTCTCTAAACTGACATCGCTGGAAATAGTTTTGAAACGAGCAAAAGAAAAAAATTAGGAAAAGAAGACGAAGAAGAAACTGAGGGCGCTCGCCTTACATAAGAACTGGCCGGCCATTCCGGTTTATCAGAAAAGAGAATTCCTCTGTAGATCAGAGGTGTGCGGCTACATTTTTAATTCCTATATTCCTATAACCTCTACAGTGTACTGTTGCGTTTTTATAGGGGATCACTCCACTGGGAGACATTTTTATTTGCCATGTGTCGTTTTGGCCCGTGATTTCTGTAAAATAGGCGCCCCATTGTTTAGAATGCTCTCGTGTTGTTCTTTCAGTACGATTTGCTACGGTTTGTAATTAAGATATTTTTACAAATTTGAAAGGAAACAATTTATGTAGGGTAATTATATTTTATGCGAAAGTCTAATGAAAAAGGTAAAAATCAGAGAAAAAAAACCATAGGGCTTTTGTTTGTGTTTTATTAACGTCGTTTTAAAACATGATTCAGCTGTCTAAAAAAATCCTTTCAATTGGTAACACAATAGTGAATTGTGTTGAAATTGGAGGAAAGATTGTGGATTGCAGTTTCCGTTGCGGCCGTGCTTTGGGCTGAATCAATACCTTTCCTTACCCCTCCCCCTCCCACCCCTCCTCTCTACCCGCTCCCTTCCACCCCTACTCGTTGTAAATAAAAACAAATTTCGACAGCGCCTCCCAAGCCGGGACACACTTGAATTTTTTTAGTCATTACCGCTTCACTGCTTGCCATTTTACCACAAACCCTATGAGAGGTTTAAATATGAAAATTTAGGAAAGTTTTGCTTATATTGCTGAAAGGAAACCAGAAGCGTTTTTCTCAGAATCTGAAACAACCACAAGACAACAAAGGTACGTGCGGAAGGAAGTGTTCGTTCTGAATCAACACAATTTATTTTGTTACACCCAGTTTCTGTTCAGGGAAGGATTGAATTTATGTCTCAGTTTGTCAGGCCTTTGAGGCGATTTTAATATCTGAAGCAATTGGGTTCCCTGAAGCATATCCTTCATGTAATTGAGGAGTTTAGTAACAGTTTGTGAATCGTAAATTTACTGTGAATCTTCAAAGCCCATAAATTGCAATCCGTAACAGTCTGCTCCATCCTTGACAACTGGTACCCTTCCTTTTTGACAATTGTCTATCACACCGAAAATTAATTTAATTCTTCCAGATTATTTTCTTTTGTTCAAGCTTTCCTTCTCGCTGAAAGTAATTTTCACCTTACTCAAATTATCTCACCGCGGAAGATGTTTTCTTCCGCATACTCTGCAGTAGAAAGGGGGAAATTACAGTGGATGGAAATCGGAGTAACAGTATACGAAAGAAATAGTCATTTGTCGTTTATGAATTCAAATTGGTGCATAGGTTTAGCGACATCGAAATACCATGTTTCAAGGGAACGATTTAGACAAAAACAGGAAACCGAACGTAACACCCGTTTGACTTCGAGAAACGCTTCAGTGACAGTTTCCGCTATGATGAGGTGAAGCACTTTGCGTAATTACTGAAATTACAGGACTGATTAGATTAATGAGCTCATTCGAAAAAGAGGGAATAGCGAAACACTTTGATGTATGGAGACATTAGTGACGTTAAATGAATGAGTAAAGATTGGGTAAACTAAGTTGGAATTCTTTTTGAGTTCACAATGCCTCTACTTCTCAAGTTCATCTTACAAACAGCCCATACGTGGGCGAATGCCGTCGCCAAACATTAGAAGATCGATGACAACATTAATTGACCTCTGAAATCTCATCCACTTCCGTTCAAACTCTATTAAAAAACCGCCGTCAGCGCACGAGACGTTATTCTTCATCAACTTACCTACCTTGTTTCAACAGGTAGTTTAACCCTCCTAGCCATGAAGAAAGCAACTTTGCTCCCCTTTACTGTGCTCGTTGCCTTAGTACTTTCACTTGATTTTTCTGAAAGCGCTGGGGATTTTTTTTCGATCTTAGACCAAGAAACGGCAGAGTATCTAACCAAAGATGGCACAGTTAAACTTCATCGAAGCAGTTCTGGTGCAGTTCCAGCGCCTAGGAATAACAAGTATTTGGAAGCATCGATGCAGATCATCAGGGGTAAGATCGTACAAACTGAGATAAGTTGTACACCTCTGCGATTTGTATGTCGTAACGAATTTTTCAAACACTTTGTTCTCAGGTAATATATTATGTCTGCTGACTCTCAGGCTTGCAGAACGCTTTTTTTTTTCTGACGCCAGCTAAGTCTGCGAATTAATCGCTCGCGCCTTGAAGCGGAAAATTTGTGGCACAATAGCCTTCACTGACACATTTCCACATTGCCTCAATGCAAGAAGAAGAGTTTATATGAATTATCATATTTTTTTGAAATTTGCGATCTCTTTTAAGAGAGCACTGGACACAAGGCTTAGTCTGATTTCGGAAACTTTCGCAAAGTCTCCTGAGCGATTGCGAGAAATGACCTAAAACAGAATTCGTCTCTTTAAACTCCCATTTCCCCACGCGAATATGCTTGTTTAGAAATGTTAGTTTAGTAAAAACTTCGACTTTAGGCTCGCGGGTTTTGTTGCTCTCAGGTCCTTGTCTCGCATAAAACATTTGCAATTAATGAGGACTGAGAATAGTTTGTAAAAACAACAGAATTTTAATCAGCAGCGTGTAAATGTAATGTAATTTTGTAATTGCGTTATTACACGACAGGAGTGCGTGGGTAGATTCGGTCCATGGGCACCATGTATTTCGATCGTCACAAGCAGTATAAATGTTCGGATTTTTTTTTTTTTTTTTCATATTGTTTTGAAATTTCCGCTTATCCGATTTCGGATTTTTCTCTTCCGCCAGGTATGGCCGAGGCAAAGGTGACGACAAGAGGAAGAAGTATGGATTTGGATTCTACCATCAAGAAAGCTGTCAAGAACAAAGAGATCCCAAAGGCACGACAGATGATAGGTCACCTGGTGAGATGGTCATTTTCAAAACAATTCAGTCATTTAAAACAATCCAGTCGTGTTATAGAAAATGTTTTTGTTCACCGTGGTTCTAGAGATAAATGTGTATTTAATTGTGTTTCACGATGCAAGAGTCAGACTAATCAGTTGTGGTAATCGCAACGTTTCGATTGCTAGTCTTCGTCAGGCGACGAGGTCAAAATTGTACATGTCGCTCATGACCGTGGTGTGTTATGGCACGCTGTCATTGTTGCATTTCGTTCCTCATAATTATTCCGACTATAAGATCCTGTTCCCATCATGCCCCGACTCGTCACTCCTGCTTTTTTCCTGCATCGTTCATTTCCGAATTTGCTCATTCTTGTTTGCGTTCATTCCTGCATGTTTGAGTTTCCTTGTGTTCTTTCTCCGCAAATGTTAATCCCTGTCTTTGTTCATACCTGTGTGTGTTCATGATAGTATAAAGTTAGCAAACAGTTTATACGTATCGCCAACGTTGATGTGTGACGCATGAATTTTACAGAAAGGCGTGCGTAATTCTTTAATATATGAACCAGCGTGAGGCGTGATTGGCTTCCTGAAATATACGTGACCCGTGAATCTTTAATTTCGGGAAAACCTTAAGATTTCCCTGAATCGTCGCATACATGTGGAGTGATTTGAAGTTTCCCTTTACATACGTGACGCATGTTTTTTTTTCTAAAAATTTGCGCATGAAACGGGATTAGGACATTACTTTGCCACCCTCTAGGAAATATCCGTCATTTCATACGGTTCTTCATTTGATGACCCATGATCCATGGAGTTGTCTACATTATACCGGCCTGATTTTCAGCATAATAGTGAGGCAAAAAAATCCAGCATTATGCTGGAATAAAAAATAAAAAAAAAAGAATTTCATATACATTTCTTTGATTTGACTCTTTGCGTTTTATAAAAAAAATTGACAAAACCATAAGATTTTTCTATGAGACACCAGTCCTTTTACCGCTTTGTTTAAACATTTTTAAACCACGCTGGTGACAAATAATTAACCAGGTATTGCATTTCAAGATTAGTCTTGGTTACAAATTAGCAAAAAGAAAAACATGGCTACCAGTACTTCAAGCATTTCAGGAGTTCTTATTCAAATTATAATGGAGCATAACAGTGATGTGATTTGAGCATAATTGTGACATCTAATTTCTAAGTATAAATAATCAGCGTTACATGAAGCATCGAGATTTATCGTTCGAAAATATCCGTTAACCTAAATTTTAATTGTTTGTTGTTGTTGTTGTTGTTTCAATCAAAACAGTTTGAGTGCCACTGTCCACCGGAGCAAGGAAAATGCCGGAAAGGAGACCTGCCGCGCCACTGTAGAAAGAAGAACAAATCGCATGAAAATGTTTTCAAAAAGCTTCGTAAAGTTTTAAGCAAAACAGAATTTGACATTCTGCTGGGAATCACTGGCGATGTATCACTTGTTTTCGTCATTGATACAACAGGAAGTATGGGTGACGAGATTGAAGCCGCAAAGACAATCGTTAAGGCTATTGCAGCTCATCCGAGGGATTCTTCGGTAGATTTTATCCTGTCGCCATTCAGTGATCCAAGTAAGTGTACAGGTTTGAGGTGTGAATAAACTAAAATGAGGACTAATTTGTCACACTTCTGCTGGCAGCGTCTATATATCTATTTGCAGTTGTAATTACAACTGCATCAATTGCAGAGGGTATGATCAGACCTAGAATCCCATAGAATCTCTTTGTCTTATATGAGTAACCCTTTAACTCCCAAGATCTCAATAGTAATTCTCCTTACTGTCTGCCATACAGTTCTTGTGATGTTAGTTTGGAGAATTTAGTATTGGATCAACTTATAATCCACTGACTGATGTTTTTCTTTATTCTCACACTTGTCTGCTTGATATTGTATTCATACTGTGAGGAGAAATTCTGTCTTGGTCACTCATGGGAGTTAAAGGATTAAGAGGCGAAAGGTTGATAATGGTGACTTCATCTACTTCAGCATAAGAAAGATCCAATCAGAGAAGACGTGTATAATTTAGCTAAGTGTATAACGGTTTTTGACCAATCGGAGCACAATCGTACTCACTTTATGATTTAACAGCGACCACCTTTATACCCCCTAATTTATTTTGTGAAACCAATTTTATTTTAAACAGCCTGGGGAAACACACACAGATTTTCTGATGAACAGTCGTTCGTGCAAGCCCTGGACCAGCTGACGGCTAAGGGAGGTGGGGATTGCCCTGAGTTAACTTTCAACGGGGTCATCGACGCCATAGAGAATGGAGACCCCTATGTCGGCTCGCCCATGTTCGTATTCACCGATGCTGGCGCCAAAGACGGTGAGAGGCCTAAGTACACCCAGGAAAACTCTATTGGCCTCGCCCTGCAGTACATGATACCTGTGAACTTCTTCTATAGTACCGAATCTGGGCGTTGTGGTTCCTTTCGCAACCACGACAGCCTCATTGATCTCATGGACAGTACTGGAGGCTTTGGACTGCAGTTCAATTCCTCCGGACAGATATCGAAGATGGGTAGTGTTGTATCTGCAGCTTTGGACGGTACAACAACTATCGACGAGGGCCGATCAAGCTTGGGAGAAGTACGATCTTTACGTTCCTCTCCGCGTCGCAACTCCAATATAAAGAAGAGATACACAATTCCAGTTGACAACACTGTTGAATCGTTAATTGTTACATACTTCGCCTCAGCTAGAGCCAATCTGGTCGAGCTCCGCTCTCCTAAAGGGGTTGCTCAACCTCGAACGGAAAACCTTTCCCAGGGAGGGTTGTGGATGATCGAGAGCCCCACCTTAGGGATGTGGGAGCTGTTTGTGCCAGCTGCGGTCGGGACGCATTCTTTCAAGGTCAAAGCAACCAGCAGGCTGAACTTGGAATTTGATTTCTTCTTCCTTCTAAGAAAGAGGCTTGGAAGGCGGTGGTACGAGTATCCAATTGATTACCCATTATTAAGTAAGTAACTTGCGGAACGTTTTGTTAAATGGCGGTGTTAGTGAATGCTGAAATGATGCACAGAGTTAATCCGCCGACATAGACCCTGCAATGTGATTTTGCCTAACTAAACTTGTAATGACTTAAAATTTGACATAGAAAAAATATTACAAATTCGCAAGCGTTTAGGACAGCTAGAGAACACTGATAAACAGTTTTCTATCCCTTGTTCCTAGTAATACTGTTATACGTAAGAGCACTAACTAACACGAGCATAAAGTAAGCGAGGTAGGTCTTTGAGGCTGTGGGAAAACACGCCATTATTCAGTCAGGTAGTCATTCATTCAGTCAGTCACTAAATAAATTCAGTCAGTCAGTCAGTGCGTCAGGCAGGCTGACACTAACAGCCAGTCAGCCTGCAGGTCCTGCAGTCAGTCAGCCACGCAGGCCATTTCGTTGGACAATTCGTCAGATAGTTTGGTCGTTATACAAACGGTAAGACTAGCAGTTTGAGGTTGAGGCGAGCAGTAAAAGAAGCCAGGCAGAGAGGTAGACAATCAATCAGTTAGTCTGTTAGAAAAAAAAAAGAAAGCAGCTACACATTCAGTCCGTCAAGTTGCACCAGCTGCACCGCTACGAAGGCAGGCAAGCGTCAAGGAGGTTAGTAAGTGGCGACAATATATATTTATAAATACATACACGTATCATTCTTACAGCTTTACGTCACCTTAAATTCCAGATCAAAGGTCAACTCTAAGCCTGGTAATTCCACTACAAAAACGCTTAAAACGTTCATCCCTCCGATTGTCCCTCGTCGATGGATCAGGACGCGTCATTCAGAACGCCAACCTAGCCACACCTAGTCTGGTAGGTACATTTGTTCCCCCTGCAGTGCCCTTCAAACTCAAGCTGTCTGGGACAACAAAGGCCGGTCGGCCTTTCCAAAGGATCTCTCGTAAATTCATAAACGCAAAAAACGTTTTGCTTCAGCTGCGAAACACACAGCGGTATGATACTTTAGAGTGTGGCAAAACCTTACGACTCTATTTTGTGATCGACTACAGTGGCGCTGCAGGCGAGGTATTTGATGTCATGGTAAACTCGACCCTGAAAGATTCCAACACGTCGGCAAAAGCAACTGAAGTTAAGTACAGAAAGACGGTGCAGAATGTTTGGACTGGTAATAGAGTTTTCCTGACTGTACGTCTGAAGACACCTCTGGATGTCGAGGAACATATTGGTAAGTGGGATACTATTCAAGTCACTGTGAAGAAGAATCCCGTCACCAGTGAAGCTGATGTTGCATACTTCACCGAGCACTTCAAGATAACATGCTCCGAAGAATTTGAACTTTGATAGACAGGACGTAAAACGTTAGACATTTTGTTTTGGCTCACTGGGAGTGCTCTTGTCATCTTCTAAAACAGTCAAAGACAAACCTAAAAACCAATCACAACTTGGCTAATTGCGTTTTCTAGCCCTTAGGACAGTTTAACCGTATTTACATGCTTCTGTTTCATGTCAATGATCCCTTTTTAAGGCTGTAGTGATTGATTTTGTTTTGGTTTCACGATGCTTCGATCAAAATACGCTAAACTCAGGGTCTGAATCAGTATAAGTAGTTGCTACTGAAATCGCCACGAGTTAGGGAGTTGGTAGAATAATAGGCACAGCTTAGGGGAAATGAAAGCGTTTTTCTCATGAAAGATTTTGCAATATGCTCTCACTTGTTAGGAAATTACAGGGACATTTATACGCTCTGTTAACGAATTATATTTTTCCGTCTTTCAACCGGTATCCGAAATCGTAATCATGGAGAAAGGAACACTTGTATAATGAAGAGATGTCATGAAATATATTTCGCTTTTTAGTGTGGAAAGTAAACGAAATTTTTATGAACAATCTTTCATATGGTGCTTTAGAAACGTGAGAGGTGATTGAATCTTTAGTTATCTTGGAAAAGCTATCAGTATTGAAAGAATACAGAATGAAAATTCATAATAACAAGTTTCTATCGTGGAGCTCCCTTCTGCTAATAAATCAACCTTCCAGCTGCGTGAAAATGTAACATTGACTTTCACTAGGCTCGATTTCCACCGCTCTCTTGTGTCTTATGGTCTTATGTCCAGTCTTCGCTCCCCTGTCATCAGAAGGGGGGAGAGGGGGAAGGGGGAGGCGCGCGGGCTCATATTCCCGAACAGCGCCTGGTAATCAAGCCTATAATTTCATGTGGTGCAGTTTATTTGACTGTGTAGTCTGATCGTTCAAGTGAGGGTCGTCCTCAGAAGGACTGTAGTCAGCAGCTGTGACTCACGTTTCGAAGATCAGAGTGGATGACATTATCAGAGTTGCGGTCAGTCGAGTGTTGCGAATCCGGTTCATGTAAACCAATTGTCTCCATTTAGCTTATACCAGTACAGCGAAACACATTTGACGCTGATACAAAGTTTACATTTCAGTTGCACCATGATGTTATTGGCTGTAAGACCAAAGTAGCCTAAGTTTTGCGTGATGGATCACTTTCTTTCACTCGGTAAAGGTGGGTCGTTCTGTTCGGTTTGCTGCGAAAGAAATCGTTTGCATGTTGCCGGTAGTGCGAGGAGTTGAGTTAGTGCAAGCGTGAACATACGTGCGGTCGATGCACGAACTACAGAGTAGCTCTAAAGTAATGGATGGTAAGGATTGGGAATCAGTAAGACCCTTCGGAAAAATTCCAGGAAAAGACTCCAAGCAGAACTTATACAAGGTACTGTTTATTTCAAGCTGTACAAGATGTTTCAACTCAATAGTCTGTTGGTGAATCGCTTAACTGTGACAATAAAATGAAAGGGAAGAGAAGAGCTCTGATCTTTAACAAAACGCAAATAGTCAACAAAGCATATAATTTTAACGCAGTCACTTTAAGAGTAACACGGTTTTGTTTATGATCACTGATTGTCCTCGGGTCTCCTTCGGAGACCACGTGGCCTCAGGAAAAGTATTACGATATTTTTAGAGCACGGTGATATTTCGTCGGCTCACGAAATTGAATCAAACGTTAGTTAGAGATTGGTCAGATTGTGAGAATAAGGAGAAAACTGAAATTTCAATTTGTTCTGAACTCAGTTAGTCATGACATATTGTGAAGTTTTCGCAATTTCCTGCGCTCCCAGTGGTTTGACTGCTATAAATTCGAGATAAGATTAGCTCCTTGGGATATTTTCTTTGTTTTAATTGCCGTTTAGTTGTTCTTAGAAAAGCATTCTTCTGAGGAGAACTTTTGGAGTATAGCCTTTGGAATAGAGCACTTTTCAACTGAGTGTTGAGGGTGGGTTTTGCTCATGTCGCTGTACGATTGGCCCAGAAAACCCGTGCCACTTTTTCGACCAATCAGATTTAAAACCAAAACTAAATGCTGCTTGGTCACTCGCTTTTCCCGCTCTTAAGGCAGCTTGCTTGTTCTTTTACCACGAGTTCTCACTGACTCCTGGTGTATTTTCCTTACTATGGTTGGCTGTTGTCGACACTCAATCGAAAAGCGCTCAAAACGGTTTCTAACTCAATTGCTTCAGCCGCTCGCATACCACTACAAAAACTTCAACACTCCTACAATGCAATTCAATCACTTACATGAAACAGGATTCAAACTTAAAAACCCTAACGTTTTTTTTTTTCAGCAGAAAAATATATATACTTTCACCTAACTAGTGTGAATTCAAATTCCCGACTTTCAAACATTAGTATCACATGCCAGAGCGTGTCTGCCGCAAGGGAGGGGTACCAGAGGCACTATGCGGTGATTCAGATCTACCGACAGGACCACCGAGGGGGTTTTGCTCCATCATTTGTTGAATTAGATGTGAGTGAGCTGGCGGGGATTGCCGCATCATTGGGTTCGCTTGAGGATGAAGTGGCTGAAAATAAATCAGTAAATAAGTAAAACGAATGGAAATCTAAGACCTCCGGCACAGTTTTTCCCCAATACGGACCTCCCGTCTGGTGAATAACATATATGTATGTACACACCCATTACTGAATGAGGACGCGACTTTTTCAAGGGTTATATTACTTTTCTCTTGCTCTTACGCACAGCAAGCGGAAACGTACATCGCAGTTTCACTGGCCCCGATTCTACCAGACCAAGTCAACTCCATACCGCTTTTCAAGATCTTCCCCGAGCGCACTTAACTCTAGTTAATCTTCAGCTACCGAAGGTTCCTTGAGCAGGATTTCACAGCGCAGTTTAACTTATTATTATGTATTCTCTATGTCCTACATGTTAATGTCAATGTTTGATTAGCGTCAAAAGGTCTTAGTAGGCCTACAAGTCCGTGAGGCGTGGTAGATCCGTCCCAAACTTCTCGCCGCTTTGACACTCGCTATTACGTTTTGACGCCGCTTGATGCTTCAACTATGCAAGCAGTTTTTTTTTCTTTAAGTTTTCAAAGATTTCCGAACAAAACCTATCACTTTCCAACCCCTACTCCCCCTCTAAAAAAGAAAAAAAAAAACGTAACAAGAAAAAGCAAAACGAAGTACCCCCTTCATTATATTATGAGAATAAACATCGTCACGATCGTCACCTGTGGTCGTATAGGTGGGACCATTGGTTTTATCAGTGGAGGCGGGCCCTGCAGACCCCCCTGACTGGTTCGTGGGACTCCGACCTGAGCTTGCAAGGGGGGAGGATGACGTTGAGCTTGTGATCCAGACGGCTTTAGAAGAGGCGGCGGCTGACTGGGGAGGCCTGGAATGGGATGCAAATCAAAAGTTTTGCTTTTCAGCGTAAACTCACCTCAGGGAACTTTTTCAGGGCACATTTCCATCGCGTATCGTTTAAGCAAAACCAAAGTAATCACAACAGTTAATCAGAGGGAAAATAAAATTCTCAGGAAGCCGATGTGAACTCAACCTCACAAAAAAAAAAACAACACAAAACAAAACAAGCAAACTACCTTAGCTAGTCACGATCGGCTTAAGTTTTGAGTCCTATTGGTTGGAAAAGTATCGCGAGTTTCTGGACCAATCCCAGAGCAAAGTTAGGCAAAACTATTTAAACTAATCTCTGACTACTCTCCACAGTAATAAAAATTTCTCTGAGAGTCCAAGGTAATTCAGAACGATCATCTGGGAATGTAGTGGTTTAGGTTCACTGCACTATGTGACCGGTCTGGGAACGCGACTCATCCTCTCAAAAAATCAGAAGCACACTCGTGTTTCCCCAGTGCATCAAGCAGCCTTTTTTCACTGCTTCTGGAATATTTACCTTTTCCCTGATTATCGACTTATGTGACTGATGATTCTAGCTATATCGAAATCCCATCAAAACTCTAACCAGGAACCAACAGAATAAAACTGCAACAAGCATATCGCCTCCACTAGCAGAATTATGTACGCAGCAGTATTCAATTTTGTTCCATACATGTACGTTTGAAAATTGCACAGAAGACAAATACTTACCCTGATTGGGAATGGACGGAGAGGACCTGTCTTGTTGATTGGGAGATGAGTTTCCACTGCTTCCGGGAGATCCTGACATGTGCAGAACCTGCAAGTCATCGTCTTTTCTGTCACTGCTTGTGATTCCTTGTTCCGCTTCATACTCTTCCAGAACTTGTTGAAGATTGAAGCGTCTTCGGTAGTTTACGAAGAAATTTCGGCACTGGCTGACACTCTTATTGCCCAAGACTTCAGCCATGGCTTGGAAGTCTTTCCCATAGCGTCTGACGGCTATGCAGAAAATACGCAAACATCAAACCTCCTCGAAGCAACCACACTTAAATTTGATATCAAGCCTTCATCCGAGTTTTCAAGTAGAGCAACTTTCATCTCCGTATCAAAGCATTCATGATCTGCACTACTTTTCTTAGCAAACGTTGTTGTGTTTTATCACTAAACGGAAATCGAAATTTCTGACGCCTACCTTCTACTGTCAGCACACACTACTTGTTAAGAATAAAATACTTTTCCGCCCCTTCCTTCCCAGTTAATTCAAGGAGCAGAGGAAGGGCGTGCAAAATCAGGGTTCCTGTTTGATATAAACCCCTGCTGTGACCATCACATTGTCGCTCGGTGATCAAAAGTCAACCAGTCTCTGACTGAGGCAAGATAAAGAGGAACTAATTCCAAACTTACATTGCACCGCTAAGAGAAGCTCATCGTTTGACCATCTGGCATTGTTTTTGTTATTTTGCTAAAAAATATAAAATCAAACAAAAAAGCAATGGAAAAAAAACGTTCCACTACAAGAAAAAAACGTTTCTTCGCGGTATACTTATCAAGTCTAAAGTTAAAGACAGTAAATTATATGTATCATTTTCATCACAAGCGGCGTGTAACTAGAGGTACAAAACAGGTCAAAATTCCTTGGGATGGTAACTGAACATGTCCCACATCCAAATATATGTAGAGTATTACAAAAGACCACTTGTTGTTTCTTTATGGTATACTTATCAAGTCTGAAGTTAAAGACAGTAAATTATATGTATCATTTTCATCACAAGCGGCATGTAACTAGAGGTACAAAACAGGTCAAAATTCCTTGGGACAGTAACTGAACATGTCCCACATTTATATATATGTAGGGTATTACAAAAGACCACTTGTTGTTTCTTCATGGTATACTTATCAAGTCTAAAGCTAAAGAGAGTAAATTGTATGTATAATTTCCATCACAAGTGCCGTGTAACTAGAGGTACAAAAGAGGTCAAAATTCCTTGGGATGGTAACTGAAAGCATATCCCACATTCAAATGTATGTAGGGTATTGCAAAAGACCACTTATTGCCAATTCAGGTGTGTACACAGAACTTCATAAAGCACACAAAATTCAAAATACTTAGGGGGGGAGTGGGAGGATTAAACTTTCGTAACATCCCGTTCTATGTTTTAACCTCCCATTGTAGCTTTAGCATGGGGTGTGAACTGCCATCGGATCAATATCAGTATCTGGGCAACTGTCCACCTACCCCTCCCCTAACCCAACATTAACCTTAAATTGTTATCAATTGACTGTTGTTGAGTTAGGGGAGGGGTAGGTGGGCAGGACACTGTGACAGTGCTACTGCAGTTCTGCTCTGAATATGTCATATGATCTTAGAAAATAACCAACACACTTTTTTCTTTCAAACAGTGTTCAAACCCCTATCGAAGTTTCTTACCACTGTTAAATCTCAAATACAATTTCACTGCCTTTCATTATTTATTCAACTTACATCTCCAGGTCTCATAGTTTCTACACCACCATCCAGCATGTACTTGTGCTGACTTATCTCCTGCTTGTTTGTCTGGATCTGTCTCTTGAGGTTGACAATATCCACCTCCAAAGGTCGCACATGATTATCCCCAAGGGTACCAGACACAGACACAAGGTATTCCTGTGACAGAACCATTCCCTATAGTGATTATGGACAGAATTCATTAATAATCCACAGGGTACATGTACTTCGTACAAATTCAATTAAAAAAGCTCAAGGGGAGAACTAAAATCAGATCTTTGGAATTAAAGGGTTAACCATTGACATATCTATGGTTTCAGTTCTTGGTTAATTAAGGAAAACGCATTCTTAACCATGAATGAGAGTAACTGAGGACTGAACAAAGGAGGGGGGAAATGAGGTGTCACAAGTCAAATTACAATATTCAATAGTTCAAATAGTTGTAACAGAAATAAAAACAAGAATCCTTGCAGAAAATAGTTGCCTTTGCACAGAAAAGGCAAGCTTAAATGCAATTGCTGTTGCATTTGTAATAACCCAACCTTAGGAGCTTTTCGTTTTACTTTGTTTCCTCGGTGGCCAGCTCTTGTCTCTCTTCCTTCATGCCTTGGTCGCAGAGTTCCTGTTCTCCTGTAAAATGAGGCCAGACTCAGAGTTGGTACTGCCAAATTGTGTTGTACTTTTTTACTAATGATATAAAGCAAAGGATTATCTTCACAATTTGTTAGTTTTGTGTTAGTGTAGTTTGTGACTTCAACCCTTTCACTCCCAAGATCTCATTAGTAATTCTCCTTACTGTCTGCCAAACAACTATCATGATGTTACTTCAGAGAATTTGATATTGGATCAACTAATAACCCCCTAATTGATATTTTCCCTAATTCTCATCACTTTTCTTCTTAACATTGTATTCGATATAGTAAGGAGAAATTCTGTCTTAGTTATTCATGGGAGTTTCAGGGTTAAAGCAGCTGTGAGTTGTATGTTTACATTAGTCTTGTTTTTCCAGCTCCACGACATTGAAATAAAATACCTGTAGAACTGATAACATGCACTACACATGTTCCCCCTCTGGGTGGCATGCAGTTGATTAGCTTGTGTACGGCAATTTGCACAAGAACCAGAAATGTTTGTTGCCGTTGCTGCTCCCTGCATAAAAAAGGCAAAAATACTTGATCACACATTAGTGTCTAAACGATAATGATAACAGTTATAAGGGTATTATTTCTAATGATAATAGCAATAATAACACTAGTGTTAACGATATGGAATGAAAACAAAAATGTAATAATACTACAAGTGGTCAAGCTTTGCAGTGAGGCTGGATGTTTTTTAGAGCACAACTTTGCACAACTGTAGTCGGTATTTTAAAATGCAAGTTATCAAAATTTAAAAAAAATTACATATTTTTTTTTGCACAATCATCTGTTACAACTCAAACTGAACTTGCAAGTTGTTCCTTACAAACTGCTGATAACAACATCAATGTAGTGTAACATCAATGTAGTGTAACATGATATGTAGTGTAACATGATTGCAAAGTCACATTAAGTCAATGCAATTGGAGTAATCATAAAACCATCCAAGCTGTTTACAAAACCAGTTCTGTTTCCTCAGTACAAAGTGCATGAAGGACACCAGACATAGGTGTATATTAATAATGGTAACTGTTATATGATTGTGTAATCTAAATTGAAAATTGAAAATATACATACAATGGGCTGCTTGTTCATGATCTTTGGTTTGCTTTGACCATTTGCTTGTCTTGCCTATTACAGAGAAAAAAAATCAGAAAGATTTATCTAGTTTAAAGCACCAACGATCAAAGATATATTGAAAGTTATTAAGTAGTTAAGGAACAGACTTTCTATTTCTATTTGCTCTGATAAAGGGATAATGCACAAAATGTCAGCTTAAGAAACTCATTATGGTGGCCAATTTACATTTAATTGTCAACTCAGTTGATAAAACCAACCTATCATGTTATACTCCCTGCTGATGCAGAACCACTGTTTCTTTAGAAACTTACCCCCTTTACTTAACTTTCTATTGACTCATCAGTAATGGCTGATGCAGGGTAATGGGGATAAAGAGGCCAGTCAAGGTTAATTTGAGGAAAAACCATGAACCTTTATCTCCCTAGAGTGATTTAAATGTAACTTCTCCCTAAAATATCCAAACACTATCCAACAAACAGGTAACAAGAGTACTCAAACTTATCAGTTAAAAGCTGTCATCATGATATAACACAGAATTCTTGTAACTAAATTACAAGGAAATCTGTAACAACTGGATGGGAGAATTACCAATCAGATCTTGGGAGTTAAAGGGTTAAAGAGCTGCCTTCATACTTCTACAAGGAATATAGAATTGCAACCAAAAGTAAACATACACACACAGGAAGAAAAAAAAAAAAGGAAAAGGCTAAAACATTAAGAAAATGAAACCACTGCAATCAAGTATCATTTCCAGTTACCTCTTTTTCTGGCTCAAAATCACTGTCACTTGAGTCACTATTGTCACTCTCAGGGTCACTGTTTGAAAATGAAAAATTGTGCGATAAAGTTGAGTCAGCAAATCCTTCTCATAAGATTTCTACATGCTGCAACCAAACAGACAAAATCTAAAAAGCTCTGAGAGATTCTGGGCTTCTATTATCAACCAGTTTAATAGAATTACTTGCAACAAGTGATAACAGAGATCTACTCACTCTGTTTGCTGTGGGACTAAGTTATAGCTTGCTGTAATTTTAAGACTTACACCTTTAAACTCCCAGAAGTTATGAAAATGCAACTTCTCCTTCATAATTCCATAAATTTTCTTGTAAAGAAGTGATGAGAACAGAGTAGCTTACCAGCCAGCATTTTTTTTTAAGTTAGTAGGGAAAATCACTGATTGGATCTTGGGTGTGAATGGGTCAAGATAAATAAAATGCAAAATGCCAATACTCAAAAAAGCTGCAAAATAATCTTTTGAAGCCTTTCAAGAGACAAAATGAAGCAGAAGTTTTTAAATCATGTTTTTTACTTATTTTCTTGTTAGGGATATTTGAATTATTTCATCTGCTTGTTTATAATGGGTAAGAGTATCTCCTGAATAAGGGAGCATCTCTTAACCTCCTCATAGCTCCCTGTCCCCATATTTCTTCAATTTAACTTTACTGACTTACTTGATGGGTTCCTTTTGAACAGCCATCTTCTTGGCTTGCCGATCAATCAAACTGGTTCGGCTTCTGGTTTTTTTCCAGGAGTAGTAATATTTTACGAGCGTGGCTACTGATTTGTCAGGCAACTAAGAGTTAAAACAATATAAAACCAATGACTTGCATTTCTGGTGTTAAACAATAAAAATGACACAACTCCATACAGAGATATCATTTATTGTTTCACAGCTTTGCAAGTTGCACACAGCAACAGAACAAACCAAGGCAAGGAGATCCATGTCCCAATAAATGCCAAGTTTCCACTATTACACATTACACTAAAAAATTCACAGTTATACATGCAAGATCACATTGCATTTATACTCACAATTTGTTGAATCCTCTTGAAGCTTTTGCCATGAGAACTGTATGCTTGTTCAAACAGGATCTTATCTTCCATGCTCCACTCATCTGGTTATTGGTAATTCAAAATTATAAAAAGCAAAAAAAAGAGAGAAATTGAGTAATATATATTACCAGCTGTGATCATAATGGTTTTCATGGCCTATATCATCAGCTGTGATCATCACCAGCTGTGATCATCACCAGCTGTGATCATAATGGTTTTCATAGCCTATATCTGAACCTTGTACATATAACTAATGATTTAAGGCACAACATTATCTACTTAGTTTTTCTAAACAAAAGTGGTTTGGTGTCACATACTGTAGTTTATATTTTTTTTCCTGAGTGAATTACAAATTTATGATCACGCATTTGTGATTACAAAGGAGGGAAACATGGAAAAAAGACCAATGTTCTCCTTTTCAGGGGGTAACCAGTAAAATTTATTGCCTGCAATAACTCTAAATACTGCCGACAATTGCTTGGAATTCTTGAAAACTCCATCGGTAAAAGGATTACTTTACTATGTATAGTTTAAAAATTTCTTCAACCTATCCTGTTTAAAACAAGGGAGAATGCTGAAAGTCCTAAGTGAATTCTGGAACACTGGCACATTTCCACTGCAAATTGTCCTGCATTCTCTTGCAAAATACAGTGAACGTTTGATATTGCATGAATTGTTACTTAGGCATTATTACAAACATCTTTCCAGTGATTAAAGAATCATCACACACATGGTCGGTGACATTTTACTAAAAACACAATTGAACCTATACCTGGGAAAGGTGTAAAGTTTGCCAAATCAGTCAGAGACTTATCTAGATTATGCTTGTGCCAGAACAGCATTCCAAGTGCCTGAGGTAAAAAAGAGAATGCTCAGAAAAAAGTGAACTCAGGAGACCAACAGATTCTTACCAGCAAACTGCAATTAAAGCAGTAAATACAGAAAGTAAACTAAGGTAAATGCAAAAACGCAAGTCCAAAAATGTGCCCATACCTGTTCAACATTGTATCCATGCTTGTCCTTTGCTACTGTTACATAATCATCCACTGAAAATTGAACAGAAAATAAACTTAAAAAGACATTTCATGAGCAATTTGAACTTAAAGACTAAGGTTCCATCAAATAACAGTTACAGAATCAATTGTGCAATTGTTTGAAAGACATGTATCTTGCACATTACAAATGTGTACCAGTATATTGCATAAACATGAGAAAATATCATTACTTGATTTGAAAAAGCACTGTTATAATCCAGATTAAACATGTTGCTGTTCCAGTAAATACATGTCTTTACCATCAATAATCCAAACAAAAATGTTGTGCAATAAGATAATCCTCTCCAATCTTAAAAACACCTACTGTTGCAATAATTTTTGCTAGTGGCTTGTTGTTAATTTTTTTTAATAGTTAAAGATCATCTCAAGCAATTTTTTGACTGAAATTGAATCACTTGTATGTTTGCCTGAAGTTGAAAGGTTACATCAACCCTGAAAAAAAACTCATAATGGTTTTTGCTGGACACAAAAATGGTTAATGCATGTTAACACAGTAAAAGAACAGAACAAAAGGTGATATTTTAGTGGGAAATTATGTGAAAGTTATTGTACTTACATTTTGAATTTGGAATATCTTCAACAGGGGCCCACACGAGAAGAGCATTATGGCGAAGAGTTGAGTCATGTTTAGCTTCCTCCTTGTCTGAATTTAGAATAACAAAAGAAAAAAAAAAGACGAATTAAATGGATAGGAAAATTTTACTACACTAATTTATGCAGGGAAGCCTGATGAAATGATGAAGGCAGAGGGGCTAACTTTGAGACAGACTGGCATCCCATTTAGGGGGGAGTCGTGATACTCCTAATAGCTTCATGCCATGGACACTTAAACAAGCTTCAAATGGATGGGTGACATGAAGTGAGAACTGACTTTACCTTTAACCTTCCTCATTCATGTACCTCTAAATCACGAGTCAACTAAAGATGTATTTCAGTGTGCTTAGTACTACTTCAATTGAAAAATAGACAAAATGTTTGGTTGAACCTTCACTCCAAAACACAATGTTTGGTGGTACACCTACTACCTCTGTTGCCCCTCTTTGTGTTGTTATGCTGTTCACAGTCTTTCTGCGAGCCAGGCATAATGGATAAAATGAGAGCATTATTTTGGTTAAGTGAAGCATTTCTAAAACTGTGCAAAACCTATTCCATTCTTAAGCCAGATTAGTAGGTTCACAACTGCACAATGTACACAGGTGTATTGTGTGTGTGTGGATTTTGATGATGCACTGCATAGTTTGAACTATTTTCAATCAAGTACAAATCATTTGTAAATTGATCTCATGATACCTATGACAAATCATGAGATTTAAAGCAAATTATGCAACAAACACCCTTTGCCTTGAAAAACCAGCTGCAGGATAAAACACAGACTGGTTTAAACCAAGCATAAATAATTCATAGTGAAGAAACATCAAAATTTGAATGTTGGTAAAAGAGCCAAAGTATAAAACATTTTTTTGTCATCTATGAACAAAGAAACTAGAATTTTGGCATCCTTACTGTATTAACTTGTAAAAAAAAGCGTTCTGGTTAAAAAAAATGGTGTTTTGAAAAGCTTTTCCCAAAACTTCGATTCCCATCCATTCACCTTCTCGTTGTCAGAACATCAAAGTAATTTTCCTGACTTAACGTTTTAAAACAGGAATTTTATGGAAGGTTTAAATGATAAATTGTAAATGCTGGTCTTAGCTTACAATTAAAAGATGCAAACGAGGGATCGACCGAACCGGAAACTCGCTTAAGTCAGGAAAAAATCACGAAATTCTTATCACAAAGTACTTCATGTATTTCCAGTGCGACATAGTAACGCGAAATCCCTATTAAAGTTCCGAGTTTTAATTAGCTAAAACAAGTTGCACATAATCAGATCGATGCAAAGTTAAAATACTTAAGTCATAAATGCGTTGAAATGCGGTGGAAAATACATCAAAAAGTTCAAAGAATTAACGAAAGAAACCATCAAAGTTAAGTCAAAATTTGTGCAATTACAAGTCGGCGGGCCGGTGAAGTAAAAATCTTTCCGATTTTAAAGAATATCTCTATCAGGCCCTCTATCAGTTAAACAACTTCTTAATTGAATCATTTTTCGCCTTTCACAGCAAGAAATGTCCATCTTCATTTAACGTAAACACAGGAAACTTACTCTCGGTAACGAGCTCTGGTATGGAGGCTTGGTACTCCTCACCGACTCTCATCCCCGGCTCTGCAAAAACAAACATTTAAGAACAATTCATAGGTGTTTACGATTTCCAGGAAGAAGTTGCACTTCTCCCGGGAAGGACATTGTGGTTTTGATTCTCTAACCGTGGTATTCCCCGTCACTATCGCTTTCTATCTTAGACACGTGTTGGTTGTTGTCAGTGTCTTTCTCTTCTCCTTTCTTCCCATCCACTCTCGAATGTGCCATGATTGAAGTTCGAGTCTCCGAAGCCATTGAAATCGTCTAAATGCTTTAAATCACTTCAGTGTACTTAATTAAGTTGTTTTCCGCCTCTTACTACCTCAAGAGACGAAACGCATGGAAATTAAAAGAAATATTAAGAGGTTTTCCCACTTTTCAGAGACGAAAGACGAAGCGAAGCCGACGTTAACAGAACAAAATCACGTGATGTGTTTTCATACTAACATATGATAATGTATTCATGACAATGCAAATAAATTATATAAGAATGCGTTACCTTTGTAAGAATGTCCATTTCCATTTTCCCTTTTATCTGTCCAAAAGAAAACAAATTAAAATCTTGATTTGATACACAGTAACAAAGGGTACAGCCAATGAAAAAATCGTACAACGGTTCTTTAACTTTCATCAAGTTAGCATCATTGGTTATAGGATTAGTATCCGAAATAACAATATTTTATTTTAGTTTTTATATCTCGATGAGTGACTCTGGTGATTAGATCATGTCTCCTCCTGGTGTACCAGTTGCCTAGCGCCACAAATCAACCACATGGCTTTTAATTTCTGTCTGACAGAGTTTATCGCGGGCTGTAGTTTTCGGTCACTTTGTCGTCTGCACAGATTTAACAAGATATGATTAGAGCGTGACAATATATATATCAAGTTAGCGATTTTTATTTCTTAGCAATCGTCGAAATACTATCTAAGGAACTCCGAGAACATATACACTATTGAATTATTCATAAATAGAGGATGTCTTGTGAAAGAAATCAAACAATAAAACGCCTGTAAACTCATCTGAAAAAACGAGATGCCTTATTTGATGGAATTTTTGAATAAAGAAGCTTGGAAATTGAGAGTTTCTGAAAATTTCCTTTCCTGCTCGTTCGATAAGAAATTGACCGGAAATGAGAAGGAAAAATATTTTCCACAATCATAGAATATATTTTAGCGGTGCTTTTGGAATAAAGAAGGACATCTGAAAGCCCGGTGGATCGAACACTAGATCCAGAAGAAGAAGAGCTTTGTTTCGAGGTAAGAACCAAGTATTTGTTTCGTACCGAGCTAGACAACAGACGCTCAGAACTGGCAAGTCACGAAATTTTCAACACTTCGCTTGGTAAAAATTTGAAGCGAAAAGCGTTCGAGAACGTCATTTCAAGCAAATGTCGAGAATGAAGAAATTAATGGGAATCGGGCAATGCATTGATAAGTGTAGCAGAATAATAGATTTTTAAAATGATGTGGGATTGGACTGCTAAGTTGTTAACAATGGCTATTTACTCACGGCCTTTCATATTTTCTCCAGGAAAATTTCGCCAACCCACTTCTGCGACGTCTGACGCGTAGAAATCCTCTTCTCACTGCCTCGAAATAGCTTTCTCTCGAGTTTCCGAAAGTTCGGCCGAAAATCTACGCTAACGGGTAACCAGCCGCTCTTGAATCATATTTATAAAGTCATATATTTTCTGTCCACATGTCTGTATGTATGTTAATTTCTCGTGGTATTCAGGAGCAGTCAAGCATGGAAAATTATCACGTGTTGGATTTGCATGTGAATTTGCTGATTGGCGAACAACAATTCCGTGGAGATCTTTGCGACGAGGCCGACGGGTTTTCGATACGGAAACGAACTTTGGCAATTTTTCATCTAATATTTACTTCTCGTAGAGTCTTTAGGGAGATCTATCTTGTAGATGCTCAGCATGTATTTGATAGTCTGTGATGATAAATGCTAACTCAATATTTTGTTATCATGGACCTTGTTGACGTAAATGGGAAGTGAAAAATGGGACTGAATGGAAAGAAAGAAGTGAACTATACGAAAGTGGTAGTAATTAGCTTGGAATTAATTGTCCTCGTTAAAGTCACATCAACGGTTTTCAGAGCCGAATTTGGTTTTTTTCATTTTGAGGAGCACTTCTTAAAGTCGACCTGTCAAGTCATTATACCGGGCTACGTGACGTGTGCGTTCCTGATCAAAAACTTCATATGCGCCGAGGGTCACACATTTGGTCAGTGATTTCCTGCTCTTCTGCCCTTTTTGAGCGTGTAAATACGCAAAACATTTACAGATCAGATAAGCGGATGTTAATTCACTCAACGAGAGTGCAGGGGCACGTGTTACGAGAAGAAAACGCGTGTTTGCGCCCAATATCAGAATGACACGACGCTATTAATTATAAGCCGAAGAGTGAGACTTCGTCTATGAAACACTTGTAAATACGTAAGTAATGTCCACACTCGTTTTAATTTACATTAAATTCTCGACACTCGAGCAATTTAGATGATATATTATTTTACCACTTGGTGAACGCGCTTTTTAGAAAGAGGTTATCTAGTTATTAGTGGAGCGGGAAGATGGCGAAACGCTACAGACTAATTGTATCATACGCCTATTCTAAGCAAGGAAGGCATCTGCCTTACAAGCTATTTGATTTCCAGAGTTAAGGGTCTGCGCCTGGACCCTGAATGCCTTGGGAGAGAACGTTCTGACGTCACGCGGCGTCCTATTTTTGACTTTTTCGGAAGGGTGGTTGATGATCTTTCTCATGTGACCTCCACTGATGAGAGTTGGATTTTGTTTCGTTTTCGTATGTGACAGAAGTATGAAACTAAGTTCAAGAAGGGCAAACCTCGTAACACTAATCCGTCTGTTTTGGGCTAGTATCCTCCCAAGCCGTGACGCATGTGAGTTCTGATGGGGGACAGAGGACGTGTTGCATGACGGTTACTTGAGGGCCGGTTTCGCCGTTTTCCTTCTTTTTTATTTATTTATTTATTTATTTTTAACAAAACCGCGTTCTATGTCATCTTCAATTTAGCCGAAACTTTTATCGGTCTGAAAATTTATTTTTGTGGGTTGTGTCAAGATGACCGAAAGGAAACAGTGGAAGAACATGTATTTAATTAAATCAACTCTCTTACGTAGAATCCCTAAGGCCCACTACTTACGTAAAAACCGCGTCGTGTAAATAATCAGCCCTAAGCCTAAATTCTTTCCTTCTTTCGGATTTGTTTCTTGCTTTCTTGCTCTGGTCTGATCGAAATTTTGTTTTTTTTGCTTTCCTGGTTTGTTTCTTTGCTCATGCACTTTTTTGTTTGTCTAATTGTCTATTTGTTTGTTTGTTTTCGTTTTTTTCCTTTTTTGGCCTTCAAAATGGAAATTTAAGTTCGCCAGATCGCTTGTTGAAATCACTCACGAACAATGCGCTTTCACAGCCGAGGGTTCAATTCCATCAAGGGAGTCATGATAACTTAAACAGCCGACTTCCTATAAAGTTCTGTTAAGGGAAGTTTCATTTATCAGACCTAGTTGCCCTGCATATGAAAGACCCACTTTCTTGCCGGTGTCACAAGAAAAGAAGGGATCACCTTTAATGATCCCTAAATCGCGTGAGCAAATGGGCGGCTTGAGGAAAGGGGGACAGGGTGAGTGGGTAGACACTAGTTTGGAACGCCCCGTTAATAAATAACAACAACAGAAAAAAAAAAAAAAAAAAAAAAAAAGCAAAAGCAAAATATGAAAATTAATTTGCCACAAGGCTTTCGGCCGGGGTAGTTGTTACAAAGGATGGAACTTATTGAAAACTCACTGAGGGCCAAACCTTGATCCAACATGTAACTATATCTACAGCGTACATTTCTTTGATTAAAACCTATTACAAGGAAACTAATAAGCGTTTCGCAAAATTATAGAATAATAGGTTTTGAATTGATACCTATCTCCCCCCCCCTGAAAAAGACAAAAACAAAAACAGACAAGAAAATTAAAGACCAACGTTTACTTCCGGTGCAAAAGGACCGGTGAGTAAAATATACCTCTCCATCACCTTTTTACATTTTTACTACTGGTCTTCCGGTATTCCAAGGGGATATTGAGTCGCAGCACCTAAATCTATTCGTCTTAAAGGAAACGAACACAAGCTTTCAAATTCAAGTACATTATGTTTCGAAACGCTACCTAGCTCACAAAAACCAAGCCAAACCAAACCAAACCAAACCAATATCCGTTCGCAAAGCGTTATGCATGCAACCGTGACAAGGGCAGTTCCGAATTGATATTTTTACGCACGGGGGGTGGGGTGAGGTGTAAGCAAGGACCTTAGTTCCAACTGGGCAATTCTAAAAACAAGGACAGCAGTATTACCTATGTAACATATATATGAGGATATCCTAACGGAAAACGAAAAAGGATACGATCCATTTGCAACAGCTACCTTTGAAAACGAAAATCTGGGCACTACAATGACAACAGCTATATTTTTTTGTACAGTAAAGTACATAAATATATAATTTGTACTGAAATATTAGACGCTTAAGACTGAAAACATTTATGCCGTAAAAATGTAAAGCAAATCTGTGGCGTCATGATTAGATACAAGATTTTCAGTTGTGGTTTGGAATTGACCCAGCGTCACGTACTTCCTCGTTTTTCGTCCAGGTTGAGATCGTCAAATTTGTCTATTTTTTGTTCAGCATCGATTGGCGAACTGTGATTTTCTGAATCGGGTAAACTGTTCGTAGAACCCTCATCCATAGTTATGGTAGCTGATTTTGAGGCACCTGAAGTTCCTTTAACCTGAAGAAAAAATAACGAATGACATGCAACAGTTTTACGAAATCAGTTTTAAAGAAAAAGGATGCTTCTTCGATTTATTCGGAAGACAATGCATCTTTTTTGTCTACAAATGGAATAGAAGCGCGATGGAAAATATGAGTTGTTCGCAGTCGTTTTTTGCTGAAGCTTTGCTGAAAAAGTTACCAAAAGGAACTAGACGATTTTTCGCGCCCGCAAAAGAGTATTTCGAGGGATCCGGAGGCAAACGCAACGAGTAGGTGGCCGTATAGGCTTGATTGGAACAAAATATCGACCAAAACTATGGGGTTACAAAGCTTGAAAACCTGCTTGTGTTCAGGAAAAGCGGTTACCCGTGGAGCAGCGAGGATCTGATTCGCGTAGGCCTTCAGTATCATCGCTGCAGAACACTCATTTCTCTTCCTGTGAGAAGATTTTAAGACGGAAGAGATTTTCCGTGAGCCTAGCACTCAACATCAGTGCTAGACCCAGATCTCTCGCCGGCTCTCGTCGCTCAGACCTATTCAAGGCCAGGCCTTAAATCTTCCCGCGAGCAAAGAAACGCTCGGCCGAAGCATTTATAATCAGGGCCTGCTCGTGAGCTAGGACTGATATGGCGCCTATCAAAATGCTATCGAGCGCACAAAGACGCCTTTGGCATCCAGGGTCAGAAAAAACCAAGAAACGAAGAAGAAAAGAGAAGAAGCCAAAAATTAAAAAGAATAATGAGGATCGAATTTAATAAGCAAACCTGTTTTTGTTGCATTGGTTTTGGCGGTGGCGTTTCTAGGGATATTGTAACTGGACCATCATTCTGAATGTGAACTTGCATGTACGCTCCAAATTTTCCGTCTGAGACAGAAACATAAGAAAAAGATAGAAAATTTAAGAAAATATTTGTGTGTTTACTCAATTACTTTAAATTCACTTCACATGCACATCTATGGGACAAACAGTGACACGTTTCTTTAGTATCATTCGCTGCGTAATTAGCAAACTCTTTCCACAGCACTTCTCCCTCACAAAATCAATCTTTAGTAACTTTCCCGCCCTTGCGGTGAGCGAACGACAAGGCCCATTGCAATTGGCTTCTTTCGAAAAATGACCAGTGCTGATTGGTTTAAAATTTGTCAAACAGATCTTCGTCGCCCCGTAAGCGCTCAAAATGTTTTCAACTTCGTCTTCCCGCGCAGCCAGGTTTTACCTCTCATTGCACCTTCTAAGATCTATCACTGCCTCTAGGGTATTTTACCACCATTCTACACTATTTTAAAGTCTCCTTCAGACTATGAAAAGTCTCACAAGTTGCTCAGATTTACGTAAAATCCATTCTTGTTCCTTCACCGCTTACGACTCTCTAATTACAATGATCACCTTTAATGGCATCAGGTTTGTAGGCCGATTTCATTGCTTGAAGAAAGTTTCCATAAAAAGCCTTACTCTGTTCACCACCCATTGCAAGATGATAATCTGGTTTATTTCCCTTTAGAACTGCTTGTAGTGTGAACTAAACAGGAAGACAAATATACAGAAACCACAAAAAAGATTTAGGTGCACTAATTCAAAATTTGACACAAGAAAGATCCTTCAAAAAAGGCTTGTGATGGACTTTTTCCCCAGGCTCCCTCTCTCTGGTACAGACCCTTCCGATCAATGTCAGTATCTGTGCACCTACCCCTCCCTACCTCAACATTGATCCTAACTTGTTATTCAGTTGACTGTTGTGTAGTTAGGGGAGGGATAGCTGCACAGTTGCACAGATACTATCATTAATCTGACCCTTCTTGCCTCATAGAAGTTAGCTAATTGGGCTCTAAGGAGTGACCAGCATCTAATTTCTCCGCATAACATCACCCCTGAATCAAATATTAAGGTCTTGAGAATAAAGGAACTTATCATCAACTGTAGAAGCTCTTGATTGTTAAACAAATTCTCCTTGTCAGCAACTTTGAAAATGTATAGAGAACATTATGAAGAATATGCATACCAATGTTCGGGTGTGAAGAGTTAGTGCATTTATTTGTATGCATTTGTATGTACATACCCATTTGTTTGTGCACACAATTACATTTTTGTGTATTTCAAAGCAACAGTTATTTCAAAAGGCCTTTAACCCTTGAACTCACAAGATTTCATTACTAGGTAATTTTCCTTCCTGTCTGCCATACAATTCATATGATGTTAGTTTGGAGAATTTGGAATTGGATCAACCAATAGTCCCCTACTTAATATTTTTCTTTATTATCATTTCTTGTCTGCTTGATACTGTGCTGATGGTGTAAGGAGAAATTCTCTCCTGGTCACTAATGGGACTTAAAGGGTTAATCCTTGAATTCTCATGAGTGTCAGAAACAAAATCTTTCTTACAATACCAATAAAATATCAAGCAGACAACTGATGGGAATAAAGAAAAGCATCAATTAGCATATTACTAATTGATCCAATAACAAATTCTCCAATCTTACATCATTTATAGCAGACAGCAAGGAAGATTACTACTGGAATCTTGGGAGTCAAAGGGTTAACTGAGCTCATAGGGTAAGATCCAAGCCTTAGGCCTAACCTTATATTTGCAAAGTATGTATTAAGGAATTTTTTTAACTGAAAAAACCCCAACACAAAAATATAGGGACAGCAAGAGGCTTAGCTTCAAGCCTTAAATTATTGCTGCACAATTATTACCTATCAGTGTGTTACCAAAAAATTTGATACTATCAATTGAATCTAACTGCACACTAATGCCATAAGATTAATTGTCAAGATCATTTATTAAATTAAAAATTTGAGAAGGCTACCAGATTAACTCTTTACACCCTAACATCAGTATCAATATTCTCCATAGTCTACTCGATTCATTTCCCTTGATACTAACAAGGAGAATTCATTTAACAATCAAAGCTTCTTTCTTTATAATACAGTAAACACCCGCGTATAAGAACCTAGAATTTTTGGGTTCAGGCTGAATGGGTTCTTATATTTTGGGGTAGTTTTTCCGAACTCAGGCTGATTAGGTTCTTAGTAGGTTCTTACAGATTCAAGTCCCAAGGCTACACCAGTATAATTTTATACAGTATTCTATACTCTGTATTTATAAGATTTTCAATTAAACAAATAGATTTCATGGTGTTTCTCAGAAATTTCACAATTTCTATCAATTAAAATCCAGTATTTTGGCTACAAAATAAGAGTGTTTTTTGGTATAAGAACCTATTGTTCTTTTCCAGCCTAAATAGGTTCTTATATATTTGGGTACTAAAATGCCCAATTTCAGCCTGTAGGTTCTTAAATCACTAGGTTCTTATACGCGGGCGTTTACTGTATAGTGATCATTTCCTCTACTCGGCTCATGACTCTAATAAATGATTCAGCAATATTACTATAACAGGAAATTAAATGCTGGTCACTACTAAGATTTAAAGGGTTTAGGCATGTCTAAAAAGTGTAATTTTTTATCTTGCATATCACCAGCATTGGAAAAAAAAAGATCACTTAAGGTTGTTACAAAATCATAATTATTACCAATGATCAATTTCATTTTTTCTTTCAATCATAACTTACTTCAAATACATATCTAACGAGATCAAAGTGAAATTACCTCTGAAAATTATAATAATACAATATTGTAATGGAAATAAAAAGAAAGAGAAAACCTTGTGTATTTATTAAATTTCTAATTTAATCCTCATATTCTGCAAAGTTCTGTTAGCTCACCTGACTCACACAAAGTACTTCAAAATTTTTATCTACAACAGACTTCTTCCATCTTTGATCATTCTCATCAAAGACTCTTAAGTTCAGAATTTTTCTCACCCTTAAAGAGAAAATCACCAGAGCATAATTCAACAGTTTTTGGGAGGAGAGCATTGTATTATGTTGAAAATAAATGAACTTCTCCTTGACAGCAAAATAATTAAATTGTTTATTTCTCTCACTCTAGGTTTATGTTGAGGAAAAAAAATACTCACATATATTCAATGTCTTTGGGAGTGTCATACTTTGATATTCCCAGTAAAACACAGAGTCCTTTTCCAATGGAACTAATAACTTCACCATCAACTGTCAAATGCACACAAATTGAACAATTTTAACAAAAAATGCTTTTTAAGTACTCAAAATCTGTTGTGCCAGTTGACCATCTACGAACTACCATTGCAGAGTTTGTGAACTATTGACCTATATATTCATTAATCAAAACTATAACAAAATTCTTGAGTGTGATTGGTTATCACCAGCCTGATAGGACAGTGTACGTATCATGCTTGTAATTGGATAGAGTAAAAAGACAGTTGACACGTCATGCCTGTGTATGTGGAAGGTAAGCGTCTAGTATGTGCACTGTTGTTGGGAATTTTACCAGGTTATCCTTTGTTTTTGTTTTTGTTTTTTTAATAAAAATGTATAATCAATGTCTAATTTCTGTCTTGAACGATATCATAGTTTTGATTAATTGGTAACTCCGACTTTGTGTCATCTAATTGTCTGTAATCATACTCGTGATCAAAAAATTAACAAATTGGACAACAAAACAGACTCCTGCTTCATGGTTGTCTGATTTTGTTAATCACTCATGATTACAGACCAAATTGGATTCCACTCGGTCTTATTAACATTGTCAATCATCAACTATAGCCATGGTGCATGTAATACATATAGGAGATATGTGACACTAAAAAAAATTAATAATAATAATAATAATAATATTAATTACAATGAAAAAAAAAAAGAAGTGTCATAACTTCTATTATTCCACTGATAGATGGCTAGTTTGTCTAAAATTTTGGTGTTATAAAATCCACTTTACTCACAGTAGGTGTAAGAAATGCAGATCATGTGTGCCATAAGACATTTTGTTTCCTATATAATGAGATTTACATTGTAAAGTAATATCATTCATGTCTCTGATCAGGCCAACACAATATTTTAACTGTCCTTCACTTTCAATCTTTGAGAAAGAATCTCTGTCAGTATATATGGAAAAAAAGTATCATACCACAGAAAGAGCTTGAACAATTCTAATTCACTCATCACAATACAACAAAAAACTCACTCATTTGCTGCACTCACAAATTTTTTTTATCCATTGCAATGCCTGAATAAATTTTTTTGGCGCACACTGTCCATGGGATAATCTCTGTGTATCTATCCATGGTCAGTCAACATGACAGTTTGTAATTTGTCTTAACTTTTTGTTCAGTTGGTCAATAGGTTATCACCTGTTGACCAATAGTTGGCTGATACTCAAGTATCCTCCACCCTAAGGGATTTAGCCCGTTAATTTTCTCTGGGCCACAACACAATATAAACCTTTCTACAAGTCCTCCAAGGAAAGATGCAAAAAGAAAAATCAGCTGGAAAGGCCTGCCTAGCAGAGATGAACCTGTTTACTTCCGGATCAAATTTGTAATTCTCCTTACTGTCAACAATACAATTCTTATAATAATAGTTCAGAGAATTTAGTACTGGATCCACTAATTATTCCCAAATTGTTATTTTTCTTTATTCTCACCTCTTATCTGGTTGATATTGTTTTAATACTGCTAGGAGAAACTCTCTTTTGGTCACTCATGGAAGTTAAAGGTCAAAGATAAACCTAAAAATGACCTAGTTACCAGTAGGTGTTCAAAATCTTTTAGCTTCAAGGCTTCGGAGACGGCAGCCAGAAACACATCTATGGTCACTGATTGGCTAATCCCTGGGCTGGGACTAAGAGCAAGCCATTTAAACCGTAGGATGCCTTGCTATGCTTTTAAGCCTGCAGTGCAGGCATCTTATTAGGTTGAGTTAACTTAACTAGTGTGCAATTTTTAATCCATATGGCTGTGGTTTGTTTGGAGTCAGGGTGCATGGTGGAGGTAGGGGGCAGGGAAGGGCACTCCCCCACCCCACTCCTCTTCTTATTTTTGGCTGTCGATTGCCCCCTCGGTACAAATTTCTTTCTCTCCCCAGCCTTTCACTGCCATTAAAATCAGAGATGGTGGCCATAATTTTTGCAAGGGAAATAGGGAGCACTTCCTCGCCAATCCCGAAACAATAAATGATGACTGGAAAGACTGTGGCAGCTAATTGATAGCCTGACACTGACTACATTCACCCTGACAAAAATCTACCGTTCTCCTTTAAACAATGCAACTTGAAAGGAAGGCAGGAACGAGGCATAATTAAGGTGATGCAGTGAATTACACTCTTCGCTCGATGAGAACTGAACCCTTAATTAAGGAAAGTTCTTTCTTCCGCGTAGAGAAGTGAGAGAAATCTGTAGAACTGAGTCCAAGAAAAATTACAAGCAAGCTGATCTAGACAAAAAAAACCTTACCAGAAACACTTGCCTGTGTGACACGCTGAACAATGGCTCTCATTAGGATGAATGGTAAATAAAAACTCTAACGATCGTGAATATGTTATCGCAAACAGACATCTATAGGAAATAATTCCTTCCACCCAACACAAATCGGTACAGCCGTAGCCTCTCACAAAAGCATGCGTAGCACCTGTTTTATCCAGGCTATTGCTCGGCCATTAGTAGGTCGTAATTAACATAATTTCATAACCTAGGTGTCTTTATTGATGTCGTTGAGATATGGCTTTTGGCTTGTTCGTGGGAGCTATAGCTCTTTGGTATCATGTTTCTGCTTTCTGTTTTCTCCTGAGTTACTTCGTATCGCAGTTGTGATCAAGTCTGACCGTACAGAAAATTTATGGTTGCGACGGTGAGGGTTGTTGCGAAAATAGTGTTTTCCCGTGGACAATGACACGATTCTCGACAAAGTTCTGGCTATTTTTACGATTGCTTCGATGCAGTCCACAGCGGTGAAAACTTCTTCCTTGGAAACACCGATCAAATTCGTTGCAGTGACAAAATTTTACTACCAGAGCGTCGAAGCAATGCATGACTTCTGGCCTTAGAAACTTTCTCTCGTAGGAAAGCATTTCTATGAAAGAAATTACATCTAAACAAAAGGCCTTCCTTTTGTAAACATTAGCGGGCTTCAATGGGGATTGTACTTCTTTAACCGAAACTTTCAAGGAAATAGCTAGATGAACGACAATCAATTCTGCGGATCCATACTTGTTCAAGACGTTCTGTGGGTTATCTATCATCTCTCAGCTGTTCAAGAAGAATTTTGCGTTTGAATTATCAGAAAATGAATGCGTGGATGAATTCGTGTCAACTATCGCTGTAACAGGTGATTTGGACAGGCTTCAAACAGAATACACGACGTTATTTGAGGGAAGATATTGTCGAAAAACCTTTCTCCTCGTATTTGTTGAAAATTTGCGTTAGTTGAGAGGAAATATTAGTATGGAGTTGTGGAAAAAGTACTTGATTCGGTGGCGTTTATCTTTTAAGTCGTCTGCTGTTAGGATTTTAGATTTTTTTTATCATTTGCGTTTCTGTAAGCGCAGCGACTTATTCAACTTCAGTTGGTGCGACCTCTGTGGTTGGAAAAGCCATTTAAATGCGCGACGCAATAAAATTCGAACAAATGATCGACGTGAATGTGTGATAAATATTACTAGATAAGGCACGCGATTACAAAACTGTGTGATATCAGTATAATTATTCACATCTTGAAAGCCTCTCTTAAAGTTCTTTACAGAACGACAGTGATTGTCACTCCTTTTGATCTTGTAGCGCAAACATTTCTTTTTTTAATTTGGAAACAGCGGAAAAGTTCACCCATGTACTATTATTTATACGTGTGTCAAATTTTACAATGAGATGATAGATTTTTAGGCATTGGACAGATGTTGAGTATTGTGAAATTGACGCATTTTTAATAAAAATTAAGGAAAAAAAAAAGAGAAAGACGACAAACTGTCGCACTGATGTGTTTGTAGATATATGAATAAACATTAACGTGAGATAGAAAATATTGCTTTTTGCTTTTTTATTCGTTATAGCAGAAGAATTCTTAACGTGACTTTTTCATCATCGTAAATTAGTACAGGTGAGATTATGAGGTGACATCGAATTGATTTAAAGTGATGCAAAATTCCATTGCGAGGAAAATTTAATTTCTCACAATTCAAGTGATGTTCGGATCATTACAAGATTACAAACAGTATTTGAAGTTTTGAATTAAGTGTACATTTGCCTTTTGTTGTCAGTGAGACCAGTCCAGCAGTATGTTACAGCGCTTTCAACTCTGTTTTTTATTGACTGTTTGACAGCACTTCGGGCTTAAAGGGAAAAAAGGGGAAAAATGAGCTTTGAGTTCTCCCTACAGATGATATTTTGTTGTGTTTTTATGCAAATCCTGCCGTGAATAAATTGTTTTCGATTGGAGACCCTGCCGCAAGAAATTCGTCTTACGAAAGTGAAAGTGAAAGTAAAAAGAGAGACCATGTGCGTTCACAACGCTGCCTAAATGTGTTTGTTACTACCTTATGATACCAGCTTTTACTTCGATTCCATAACGAAAAAAAATAATTAAAGATCACAAGGCCTTTTTCTTTTGCAATTGCTATTCTCTTTGGAAATAGGAGCAAAAAGGATATTCAAGACCGTCATATTTTTTAAAAGCACGCAATCGATGTTACTTCGATGGAGTTCAAGTAAAAAACACTTATTATAACGGAAAATATTTGGGTAACTTTTCTGACGCATAAGCAGTTATCAAAATTAAAATCCAGGCATAACAAATATCGTTCTTCTGACGGACGATCTGACTTCAATTTTTTTAATACCTTCTTTTGTTTCGTTTTTTTTTAAAGGAGTCATTAAAAACTCAGAACATTATGTACAGAAAAGAACAATAATCTCTTGCTTCATTGGAATGCTGCGGAAATTCATTATTACTTTAACCTGCCGGCAAAGTAATAAAATATTCTTAGATAGCTATTGTTATATTATTATATTTCGCTGTTTGTTTTTATAAAGGTTTAAAAAATGTTTTACATAGAATCACCCTAGTTATGTTTCTGCCCGAATCAACCCGATTGCTCCAGTTTTCGAGACGGCCGGGACGATTCCACGATCGAAAAGACAAGCACAATCTGAAACCAGACAAATTTGGTTTCGTAGTACTAGAAACTAATGTTTTTATGCGTTTTTTCATGATCTTTCAAGTCGAAGACAGTCGAAAATACACATGGAAGCGAAGCCTTTCGAACACGATTTCAAAGTTAGGGCAACGCTTTGATACTATATCGTCTTTAAAAAAGGTCCGTTTTTTGCGTAGATGGGTGAAAACTGGGACTTTTGAAAACGTTAACGGAAAATACTTGACATATTGCCGCTTCCATCAGCGTTTGCGAGTGTTTTGACGGTACGTGGGGAAAGTTTCGTGTGTTACTAAAGGCAGGAATGTGGAATATGGACTATGGAATATGGACTATGGAATATGGACTACGATATGGAGAACGTGGAACGGGAAATAGAGTGAGGAACTGGGATTGGGAATGGAGAATGGGAAAGAGCAAATAAAAAATAGAAAATGGAAAATGGAAAATTGAGAGTGGTAAATAAAGAAAAAGAATAGGGAATAGGGGAGGAAGAGTGGAGAATGGAGAATGGAAAACGGGAAAAGAAAAATAAAAAATGGAAAACGAAAAATAGAAAATGGAGAATGAAGAACGAATAATGGAAAGTAATGGAGAATGAAGAATGGAGAATGGAGAATGGAGAATGGATAATGAAGAATGAAGAATGGAGAATGAAGAATGGAGAATGAAGAATGGGTAATGGGGAATGGGGAATGGAGAATGAAGAATGGAGAATAAAGAATGAAGAATGGAGAATGAAAAATGGAGAATGAAGAATGGAGAATGAAGAATGGAGAATGAAGAATGGGGAATGGGGAATGGAGAATGAAGAATGGAGAATGAAGAATGGAGAATGGAGAATGGAGAATGGAGAATGGAGAATGGAGAATGAAGAATGGAGAATGAAGAATGGAGAATGGAGAATGGAGAATGGAGAATGGAGAATGGAGAATGGAGAATGGAGAATGGAGAATGGAGAATGGAGAAATGAATGAGAATGGAGAATGAAGAATGGAGAATGAGATGAGAATGGAGAATGGAGAATGGAGAATGGAGAATGGAGAATGGAGAATGAAGAATGGAGAATGAAGAATGGAGAATGGAGAATGGAGAATGAAGAATGGAGAATGGGGAATGGAGAATGGAGAATGAAGAATGGAGAATGAAGAATGGAGAATGAAGAATGGAGAATGGGGAATGGAGAATGGAGAATGGAGAATGAAGAATGGAGAATGGGGTATGAAGAATGGAGAATGGAGAATGAAGAATGGAGAATGAAGAATGGAGAATGGAGAATGGGGAATGGAGAATGGAGAATGGAGAATGGAGAATGGAGAATGGAGAATGGAGAATGGAGAATGGAGAATGGAGAATGGAGAATGAAGAATGAAGAATGGAGAATGAAGAATGGAGAATGAAGAATGGAGAATGAAGAATGAAGAATGGAGAATGAAAAATGGAGAATGAAGAATGGGGAGGGAGAATGGAGAATGGAGAACGGAGGATGGAGAATGGAGAATGGAGCATGAAGAATGAAGAATGGAGAATGAAGAATGGAGAATGAAGAATGAAGAATGGAGAATGAAGAATGGAGAATGGGGAATGGGGAATGGAGAATGGAGAATGGAGAATGGAGAATGGAGAATGGAGAATGGAGAATGGAGAATGGAGAATGGAGAATGGAGAATGAATGAATGGAATGGAGAATGGAGAATGGAGAATGAAGAATGGAGAATGGAGAATGAAGAATGGAGAATGAAGAATGAAGAATGGAGAATGGAGAATGGAGAATGGAGAATGGAGAATGGAGAATGGAGAATGGGGAATGGAGAATGGAGAATGGAGAATGGAGAATGGGGAATGGAGAATGGAGAATGGAGAATGGAGAATGAAGAATGAAGAATGGGGAATGGAGAATGGAGAATGAAGAATGAAGAATGGGGAATGGAGAATGAAGAATGGGGAATGGAGAATGAAGAATGAAGAATGGGGAATGGAGAATGGAGAATGAAGAATGGAGAATGAAGAATGAAGAATGGGGAATGGGGAATGGAGAATGAAGAATGGGGAATGGGGAGCAGGGAATGGAGAATGGAGAATGAAGAATGGAGAATGAAGAATGGAGAATGGAGAATGGAGAATGGAGAATGGAGAATGGAGAATGGAGAATGGAGAATGGAGAATGGAGAATGGGGAATGAAGAATGGAGAATGGAGAATGGAGAATGGAGAATGGAGAATGAGAATGGAGAATGGAGAATGGAGAATGGAGAATGGAGAATGGAGAATGGAGAATGGAGAATGGGGAATGGAGAATGGAGAATGGAGAATGGAGAATGGAGAATGGAGAATGGAGAATGGAGAATGGAGAA